TTATCAATCACTGATGTAGCTGCGGTTTCTGCTGTGCAGAAACTTGTACGTAAGGAGCGGGGTCGTACACCTCTTATCGGTGCGTTTCTTGCCCGCGATACAGAATCAACTCTAAATAGTTCCAAGGACGCGATAAAGAATGAAGACACAGAGTCAGCCAAAGATCAGCAAGCGGGTCCAATTCCAGACACGCTACCGTTCTATCCAGTCGGTACGTTATGCACTATCGTTAGTGCGTTGCCGACTGGTGGAGGAGCTCCACTGACTCTTGTCGTTTATCCGCACTACCGTATCAAGGCAGATTTTGAGGCCCTGAATGATACTATTGCCAATAACGATACATCTGCTGATTCAGAATTGTCATCATCACCGTCTTCTCAGGTGTCTCAGTCACCCCGCACCCAGGCCTCTATGACGCTGCGGGTTCGGTTATTGGAACCACTACATATTGGTGCAACTGGATCCGAGAGAGCTCTGGCACAAGAGTGCATAACGCTGCTTAGTTCTCTCGCTAAATCGAACGCTTTCATTCGTGAACACCTTGCTTCATTCACGCAGCCACTGCCGAGTGTTGATGAGCCAGAAGCCTTGACAGACCTTATTGCTGTACTTTGTTCCGGACCACCACAATCACTTCAGAGGATCCTGGCCTCAGAGTCTATGGAAGAACGGTTACGGATTGCTCTCGAGTTATTGTTGCGCGAGTCTGAATCGACACAGTTGCTGATTGACATTCGGCGCAGTGTTGAAGAGCGGCTTTCTTCACGCCATCGTGAGGCGCTTTTACAAGAGCAGTTACGTGCTATTCAGCGTGAACTTGGCAATGCGAACAGCAATTCCCGGCCAACAGGAGAATCCCTCCGCGAGCGTGCGATTTCTCTTTTTGAAAGCCGTATTGCACCTCTACGAGCTAAAATAATTGCAGAATCTCCGACAGTAACTCCACTTAGCACACCATCAGCCCCAGTGGAGCCCCTTTCACAACCAACATCACCTGTTACATTTTCTTCCCTGTTAGCGCCTAGCATCCCTGCACTGCTGCAACTTATAGATGAGGAGATGGAGCGTCTTGCAAGCGTGGAAGTGAGTTCTGGCGAGTTTGGCATTATTCGTACGTATCTTGACTGGCTTACGGCGCTTCCATGGCTTTCCAGCCCTGCCAAAAATACGCCATCCCTTGAGGAGGCCCGTACAATTCTTGACACAGACCATTGGGGGCTGGCAGATGTTAAGCAGCGCATCATCGAGATGCTTGCATCTATCCGTTTGCAAGGCCAAAGCTCTGCTGTCGGAACCAACTCCTCACGCTCCGTATTGTTGCTAGTGGGTCCACCAGGCATCGGAAAAACTTCTATTGCGGCGAGCGTGGCTCGCGCCCTCGGAAGGCCCTTCTATCGTCTCTCATTAGGTGGCCTTGCGGATGTAGCTGAGATTAAGGGCCATCGACGCACATATCTCGGTGCCATGCCTGGAAAGCTTATCCAAGCATTGCTACAGACGCAATCACATGCTCCGGTCATTCTACTTGACGAGATCGATAAAGTTGGTATGGCAACAATGGGTGGACGCGTTGGCGGTGACCCAGGTGCTGCACTTCTTGAGGTTCTTGACGGCCGGCATTTCGTGGATTATTTCCTAGATACTCCCGTCGATCTTTCTGGAGTAATTTTTGTTGCCACTGCAAATCAGACAGATAGCATTTCTGCCCCATTGTTGGACCGGATGAGCATTATCAGATTGTCTTCATATGTTACCGAGGAAAAGATTGCTATTGCCAAGCGGCATTTACTTCCTCAGGCGCTTTCCTCTACAGGGCTCGGCCATGTTCATGTTATTGGCTCGGAATCACCTATTTCTGTGGACGAAAATGCTACTTGTAGTGACCAAGTTGACAAAACCATGCCCGGTGCCTCTGATCAGCTAAGCCCTGATAACAAGAAAAAATCCAGTGTTGAAGTTTGCTTGAGTCCCAAAACAAGCGAGTGCGTCATAGAATTTCCGGAGGCGACATTGCGGACGCTCATCGATAATTGGTGCCGGGAGCCAGGGGTGAGGCAATTACGACAATCCATCGAACGCATATGTCGGCGTATTGCGGCAACCATTCTTGAACATCCGGGTGCGGCATTTGATGCTGCCCTCAGCTCCCTATACATCAAAGGGAGGTCTGTTATGACAAAAATGACAACGGAAAATACAGTGTCAATTTCCTCACCCATTCGTATTGGTGTCGAGGCATTGCCGCAGCTCCTTGGTCTGGCACCATTCTCTTCTGAGCTTAGTGATTTCGGCAGCAAGTCATTGCCACCTGGTGTAGTGGCTGGACTTGCATGGACACCATATGGTGGGGCTATTATCCACATTGAAGTGATTCGTATCAATGAGACCGAGAATACCTCTGGATCTGAAAAAGAAAATGACCTGGTGCACTCCTCGTTGGCGCTACCATTGAAAACCACAGGACACCTTGGGAAAGTCATGGACGAATCGGCGGCGATTGCACATTCAGTAGTTCGCATGGCTCTAGCTGCAGATTCACAAACATCTCTTGAAGCTATACCTGCCAAGACAGGCTCGCATGGAACACTGCATCTACACGTGCCTGAAGGTGCGACTCCGAAAGATGGACCATCTGCCGGAGTTGCCATGGCCGTTGCTCTGCTCTCGCTGGCCCGAAATGTCCCCGTTCGCGCAGGGCTTGGTTTTACAGGTGAACTCACACTCTCTGGTCGTATCTTGCGGATTGGTGGTCTGCGAGAAAAAGCACTTGCTGCACGGCGGGAGGGGTTGACTGCGATAGCATTCCCACGAGCAAATATCCCCGAATGGGAGGAGATGGAATGTGCTAAGCCAGAGCCGCTCGTTGGTCCCAGTGTTGGCCTTGTTGGGTTTCCCGTCTCTTCCCTACAAGAGGTGCTCCCCATTGCCTTTCCGAAAACTTCCTCTCCCACCGCTTAGACTTTTAGCCATTCAACATGGTATACCACCGCCACCACCGCAATGGGCCAAATATGTATCCAAACAAACAAATAAATAACTATTTTAATCGCCGCTTAATTATACGACTATTATTAGCCATCGCTGAAAATGGAATACCAATCCATGGAATGGATATAAAGCAAATGTTAGCGGTTTATTTTGGCAAAAGAAATAAGCATCCTTTTTTTAAATCCCCCCTTTAATATTGCCAACGTTGTCAAGTTTAAAAGTTGAAAGAAAAGGAATTTGTCTACTAGCCCCTTTGAGATTTGGGTTCCCTGCAAACATGCATGGTCAAAACTGTGGTTAGCAGGCGATTCGCGTATTTATCTTCGATTTTACCTTTAGCCAAGTTATCTTGCTACAATCTTGAGCCACGTCGCTTCTGAACAAATGGGGAATCTTGCCTGTGGCGGCAGATTTATGCCGAGCCGTGGTATATTTAATTTACGAAAACCTCCAATCATGTGTTGATTGGATGTGATAGAGTAAACTTTGCGGTTGGGTTTAATTATGAACTTTTTAATTTTAATTAAATTGAAAGCTTTTTATGGCCAAATTCGCCAAGGTCAAGCGAATACAGAAAATCAAAAGGACAGCAAAGCTGGACGAAGAAAAGGCAAAGGCACAAACAAAGCTGAAATCAGATGAACAAGGAAATGAGGTGCGTCATGTTGCAAGACCTAACGCATCGTTTTTCTTTGAACACAACAAAGCGCTGGGACCGCCCTACCATGTGATCGTCGATACAAACTTTATCAACAAATCGATTCAAATGAAAATTGAAATCGTTCGCGGCGTAATGGACTGCCTCTTTTCCCGCTGCTTTTTGTACATCACCGATTGCGTAGTGGCTGAGATTGAAAAGCTTGGTCCAAAGTATCGCATTGCACTTACCTTTGCTCGAGATGAGAATATTTTTGAGCGACTTCCGTGCATGCATAAGGGCACATATGCAGATGACTGTATCCTTTCGCGCGTAGCGTCGCACCCATGCTTTATCGTTGCGACAAACGACAAGGAACTGAAATCCAGGATCAGAAAGCTGCCAGGAATTCCGATCATGTATGTGGCAAAGTACAAATACTCTATTGAGCGGTTACCTGAAGGCATGGTGTAACGTCGTAAATTATCTGAGATTATCAATAAATCCACAAGCTTTATTCCTGCTAAAGGGCAAGCAATTGCAAGACCTATTGGGAACAGGGGCTGTTTTAAACTGAGAAAACATGGTTCATAAATGGCTACTCAAATGCGGGTCAGGTGCAACGACCCGGGATATCCTGTTGCAGAAACATGGATTCCAAGGGAAGAAAGAAACCCAACAACAATGCCAACAATAATGGGATTGGGAACATATCTCTGGGTCGCATCTGCAGCCTTCCATCCGAGGACATATGTGCCCTGATGATTTGTTTTCAAATTCTCGATGGGAAATTTGTACCCATTGATGATCGGCCAAAGGTCCCTGCATATGCACTTGATCGCCTCAAGTTCTTCCGAAAAACTAGCGCCATTCCTGTCGCTCATAAACCTAGATAAGCTTAGAAAACCCGACATACCTTTCTGAAAAGCGCATCCCTATCTCTTTTCCGATTTCTTCCAGCTTTGATGCCTCCTTATTGTCTGGAGAAGATTTTCCAGATGTATGTTGACTAGCCTCTATGTTTGCCGAACTACATTGACTAATTTCTAGAGTCTGTGGATTTTGATCATTTGATGATATGATGTTTCTATGGCCCTTTAGTCCTTTTGCTGAGAGATGCACTATTTCCTGTAGAAGCAATTCATAGGGAAGCGCTGCAATTTGCATTCAAAATTTAAATCGACCAGCTAGCTTAAATTTTAACATTTTCAATCTCCAGGACTTGACCTGATTTGGCCAGCTTAGCCAAATAAGATATCTTTCATGGTAAGATATCTTTTATGGCGCTGACGATGAGACATTGACCGCCTAAATATTGAGCACCCTCCATGGTTATCTTTTGCTTACCATAGAATAAATAAATAAAATTTATTTTATCGACTCGTTCTTATCTTTTGGGCTTTGATTCTAACGATTGAGAGAATCGATGCTCTCATTTATGTTTTTTTCAAAGCTATTTGTAACATTAGAGGGTTCAGAGCTAATAGTATCTTTAGGGTTAGCCTTATTATCAAGCTTTTTCTGGTCCTCAGGATTGCTTGGCTTTTTAGGGTTAGATGTTTGTTCATCAATTGTAGAGGTAGATTTCTCATATTTCTCATATTTCTCAGATTTCTCAGATGCATTAGGTTTGGATTTTCCAATGTTTTGAGAAGCTTCGTCACCGAAAGCGATGAAGCTAGCAAGGAAATTTAGGCCATTAAAAAGTACGGAAAAAAAGCCCTTAACATAGTTGTCCCAAATATCTTTTGATACCTCTGTTGGCGATGTAAAATAAATGTTAAAGAACAAGATCGCCTGTATTGCTCTTGGCAGGAACCCAGACATTCCACATAAGCCATCCAGAATAACAAGGGCAGAGAACCTGATATAGGCAAAGTATTTCCAATAGATACTTTTTTCTTTCCCTTTAATGGCTCTCAATTTATGTTCATGAGATTCGCCAAAGCTGAAATAAGAATGATGGATAGCTTTTTCATCGGGATAAGTAACCTTTCGTTGTGGATACAACCATAGATAAGCGGGAAGAAAGATCGTATAGATATAAAAAACGACGGAATTAATAGCATTGTTATGAAGTCCAAGTATGAGACCAAAATACAAAACCACAGACAGCGTTAGCCGCGCATTTAATTGCAAAACAAACAGGACTGCTTCGCCATAACTCTCAATATGAAACATCTCGGCAATCGGAAACACTTCTTCAAGGGTAACAGCCCGATTATTATCAAGTTCATTGAAAGTAGAGCTCCTTTTTTTTCCATCAAGCAATGTCGTGTCGATAACCATGTTAGGAGGCAAGTTAATATAGGTATTCCCGCCATCAGACCATAGCATACGAACACCGTCGTTAAGGCGGTCAAAAATATATTTCCAGTGAATTGGCGCCGGTAGACCAAATGGATACCATAACCTGAATTCGTAAAGCATTAAGAAGATTTTTAGGATGAGGCCATCCGTTTTTAGGAAATATTGGGTAATTGTAATGGTAAAAAGTACCTTGAAATAGTCTAAGAAATTTGATTTGTGCTTATCGGACACAAAGTAATGGTATGCTGGAAACACAAAATTGATGATCAGAGCTGAGGTGGCCAATATCGATGGAAGAAACAGGGATACAAGCGATATTCCGAACACCACAAAAACAAGTGTATTATTGTCGCCATTTACATCAACCAGCCTGTTGAAAATTTCAGCCCCATGGGTAGAATTTATGCTTTGAATATATGGGGTTATAGACATTCGAAAGAGCTGAATTCACGTGTGTATGGTCTTTATGTAAGACAAAGCTTACTGTTGGTCGCATCCGAAAACAAGTTTTGCGACATTTTTTAAAATAAAATACCCCAAATTTTAAGTTTATGACACTGAAGCCTCAGCATAATAACCGTACATTTTGGCACCGATTTACTTTTAGAGGACGAGGACAATATAATTCAGGCTGTTGTTCTCATAGATCTCTCTACGGATAGGTCCTTTGAGCCTTTGACATTTGGCACCCAGCGAGTGAGCTTTATTTTTTAATCCCGACAGAGTCTATTACCGGTTGCCAACATCCCGCTGGTATCATACACGCTTGAATGGCTTGCCTCGTCCGGATGCATTTCCAGCATCATCTTGGCTGGGACCGTTGATTCAATATCTCCTCTTCTGGCAGCCATCAAGTAAGTTTGTTTTGGCAACTTTAGCGAGCTCGTCCAGCACAATTCGATTTATCCGCCGATTTCTCCATTTTACACAAGCACCTCATGTTCATCGCTTGGAGACCAGTTGAGAGACATCGATGCAGCTGGAATTGTTACGGGCGATTTTTTGCTTTTGCGCAGCGGCGCCTTGGATTATCTTTCAAATTCACCTCTTCTTCCGATGTTGGAGCTGCACCGCAGCCGGAGAAAATCGGCAAGCTCCATCATGACCACGCTATTGAGGCGGCTTCCTCCGTCGCATCATGCAAGAAATGCAAGAGATGCCTCCATTTATGTTATCGATGGCGAAAGACTGGTTTCAATGCACTCGATAGATCCCAAAATGGGTATTTTTAATTTCTTAAAGCCGGTTAGGGATCCCACTCTCTCTCAATGAACTGATTCCAAAGAAAACCTCTTCACTTGAAGTGCGGTTTGATCTTGTGGACTGCTGTTTGGATATTGTAGGCTCTTATTTTTCTTGCTCATCTAGTGCTCGCCAGAGGTGCTGGCCCTGTTCACAGAAAATTTCGACTACCAAGATATAAAGGTCGACTTTTTCCAGGGAATCTCAGCCAGTGATATTCTTTCCTATGAATTCTCAGTTTCTATCCTTGGCGAGCAAGCTAGCCCTAAAGGTAATGCTGGCTCTGGTAGCATCAATGGATCCTATTTTTCCGTGGTCAATTCGACCTTTGCTTTTATGGCTGCAAGCAGAGATATTCTGCAAAGATGGTGCTATCCGTTGGTTCCAGATATTCCAATGTCTTCTCTGCTGCATAAGGTTATATCACCAGCCATGGGTACTTCCACATCTCCCACCATAAAAGGCGCAAAAGGCTCTTCAACCAAGACAATCTGTCATGGCCAGGGCGTAAAATTAAGACGCTATGGCACTTGCATTGCGTATGTTGGGGAGAAAGTCACCATGGGAACCGGGGTGCGTTTTGAAGGCCATGTACTGATTGGGTCGAATTCGGTAATCGGCTCCGGGGTCGTTCTAATTGACTGTGTAATTGGTGCTAGAACGATCCTCGACGCAAACGCTTCTGTAAAAAATTCGATCCTTTTCTCATCAGATGATGCAAGTTGCCGTATAGGCACGAATGCCTCAATCCAGGGCTCTTTGCTTGCGCCTGGAACCGTCGTTGCAGATGGTGTTCGGACAAGAATAGGAACCATTCTGGGTACCTGGACAGGTCTATGCCCAATATATTTGGAGACTGATCTTGATCCAACTTGCTTGAGATGGGTATCCTCTAAGCTCCTTTCCATTGGATCAAAGACGGAAACAGACAGAAATACTCATCGGCCGAACCAGCCTTCAGTCTTTATGTTTATATCTTCAGATGAGGAGGAGGCTCACCATTTTACGCCACCTACTTCTTTAGTGCCCTGGAGTGTAGCTTTAGGCAATCGTCTTCGATTTGCGTTTAAAAAGAAAAAATTTGCAAGCCCTTTCCCTGCTCGACCTGAATCGGAGAATGAAGACAGTCATGAACGCGGGGAATCAGATAGTGATGATGACAATGAAGACGCTGATATGAAAGAAAATATTAATGACCTTAGGGATGTAGAAATAGAATTATCCAAGTCCGCTTTTTTCAAAACCAACGACAATTGGCTCACTCTGAACGAGCCCATGTTTTTTTCCACTAAAAAGACACCGTGGGTCGAGGACGTCCATGCAAGTCCTGATCCGACACAATCACCAGATTCATTAACATCTCTGAAGAACAAACAGAGCATATCGCTTTCTGGCCTTTCTGGCCTTTCTGGACTCGAGACTGCATCTGCTTCAATGAGCCAAACATCAAAAATGCCACCCGTGGTGCATACTCCCTCTGCTTCAAGTCATCCACAATTTGCGACAGAAATCGTAGAGACTCTAAAGCATGCTTTGGACTATGTTGCAGAAGTGGATAGCAGCCCATCATCGCCAATGGGCTCTTCGCCAACATCGGCAGATCTTCAGGCCTTTGTGGAGAACACTTGTGTCGAAATTAACGCCCTGAAATTTGCATTCAATGCAAATTTTCTTGAGGTAAGAAAAGCAGTGATCCCAGTGCTTGTTCGCCATAGTTTGAGTGGCGAGAGATCCTCCAAAATCCAACAAGTAAGCCGTACAAAGTAACTGCTAGGTGTTGGAGTGTTGGTTACCGTTGTTTTCCAAAATCTGCCACGGGTCAAGTGCCCAGAGTGAAATACTAACCCTACTTTTGGACACATGTGTTGGATGCAAGACAGGGATCGCCGATTTTCGTTGGATCGTATCGCATATGTATCAGCTAGATATCTTGGAAGAGGATGATATCCTCAAATGGTGGGAAAATGCCACTTCGGCAGAGCTCTCCGCTGACCTCAGGACACATGAGTATTCGTCAATCCTATTTTCGCTATCCTCCTTCATAGAATGGCTTGAAGAAGAAGATGACAGCGATCATTCCTAACCCTAAAATACATGTGTCAATCAGATGTTTTTAATAGGCCGGGAATTTGTTAAGTAGTCTCCCTAATATATTAAGATAGGCGGTTTGAATCTGTGCTAGTTTCTTTAAATTTTGTCGAATTATAACGATTCCCATGATGGGTGGCAGCACGATATTGTCTGCTGCCTGCACATAAGGGGTTTTTAAGCGCCTTGCATCCAGAAATTTTACAGGCAACGAAGAGCACGAGCCGGGATATCACTTACCCTGCCCTGTCCTCAAACCTCAATCGCTCTTTGTAAATACATTCCCGCAACGAAAGTAGGAGATCTTTGATTATATGAGTTAACCCAACTGAGCTCCTAAATTACAGGCACCCGATTAATTGAAATTTAATTTCGCTTAATTTAATGTCAGGTTCGGACTATATGGGAGCAGAGGCTCCTCTTTTCAAGCAGCAAAGCGAGACGATAATCGCTGCAGCTGGATAAAGAGGCTAGGAGGCTAATTTTATGAACCCCCATTTTGACTAAAATTTTGAGTTTCAAACTAAATCCCTTGCTTTCTGGTACATAATGAATTTGATCCCAAATAAGGGCGATCTGATGAGTAAATTTTCGGGGTTTCATTGGCCACTTTAGCAATTATTGAATTTAATATTCCGATTGGATGTAAAATTTCCGGTGCAAAACGGTCTAAAATTTTAAAAGCTTTTTCGAAAAGCTGTCCACATTGATGCACGTTCGAAAGCGTCTACTATTTCTGACAGCGTTGATCGCAATTCTCGTTTTGCCCTCTCTGCAATTTCAAGACGAAGTGCAAATAGACCATTATCAACAAGATGATTCAACAGGCGCGCAGAGCAGGGATACTGATTCAAAGGGCAACGAAGAAAGAGTTGACAGCATATTAAAGCGGGTTCAAAGTAGTTTTAGGAGGGCTCGTAAAGCCTTTCAAGTAAAAAAAAGGGCCTCTAAGAAAGTGTCTATGGAAGCAGCTGAGCCACTAGATACACCAGGATCAGCTTCGCAAAAACTATCAGATTTAAAAAGTCGAACAGGTCAAGAATATCCACCACTTCAACCAAATTTACAAAAAAAAGAAGCTCTACAGGCTCAAACAAGAGATGAAGAAAGTAAAACAATTGAAGAAATTCTGGTGTATCAACAAAATATATTGGTTTTAGAGCAGCTATTACTTAAACAAGATAAAAAAAAGTGCTCACTCGATTAGTTTATAGACCTATGCCAATGCAAAAGGCTCTACAAGATCGAGAAAATATAAACAACCTACTAGCCGAAAAAAATCTAAAAGATCTGCCGTCTTCATGTAGCCCTCTAAAGAAGCTGCTAGATCGACTATTTCAGATATCTCAGATATCTGAAATATCTCTAAAAAATCCAAAAGAGTTAGAAAAACTAAACGATCTGATGTCTCAAAAAAAGAAGCTAGCTCAAGAAGCTCGGGACGAATTAAGAGGACTACAAAGTAAGCTATCTCAAAAAGCTCAACAACAGTTTGAAGAAGCTAGAAAAGCTTTAAAAGATCAAAAAAGCGATCTTCTAGATCCACAAGACGCTCTACTAGCTCAAAAAAATCTACAGACTCGAGAACATATATTAGATCTACAATATCTACTAGTTCAACACGCTCAAAATGATCTAGAAGATCTAAAAGATGAAAATCGTATGTTAATTCAAAATTCTCGACGCTCTCAAAAAGATCTGAACGCCCTAAAAATGCTAATAGAAAAAGAAGATCTAAAAAACCACCTATCTTCATGCAATGCTCTAAAAGATCTTCTAGATGAACTACATAAGCTAAATCCAATATATAAACTAAAGCAGCCATATGAAATACTTAAAAAGCCAGAAATTCTAGAAACACTAAAATCTGTAGTAGCTGTAAAAAATGAGTTAGCTAAAAAAGCTCGAAATGAATTAATGGAACTACAAGATCGACTATCTCAAGAAGCCCAAAAAAAAGATGAGGAAGGTGGTTCTCTATCAACTGTAGAAGGTTCATCACCTCCGCAAAGTGATTCTCAAGAACCTAAATCAGATATACAACATTCATCAGTTAAAATGGATCTAGAAAATCAAAAAGGTTCATTCAGCAATCTAAACAGTCTGATAGATTACCTATTTCAAATATCTCAAACAGAATTACCACCACGAAAAAATGAAATATTTCAAGAAGCTCAAGAAGATATTCAAAATTGCGTGTTAAAAGATAAAAAAAAGAGCTAAAAAACCGTATACAAGATCTAAAAACCAAACTGCAAGATCTAGAAACCAAACTGCCAGATCTAGAAAACAAACTGCCAGATCTACAAAAAGAACTGGAAAATAATAAAAAAGAATTAAAAGATCTGATCGATCTGCAAGAACTGCAAGAACTACAAGAACTGAAAGAACTGCAAGAACTGAAAGAAACTGTGAAAGAAATGCAAGAAACTGTGAAAGAAATGCAAAAAAAATTTGATATTTTAATTGAATCTTTCCAAAAAGGTAAAGAAGCTCGGGAAAGAAACAAAGGCCCTATTAACTCAACAGGATATGTACTCTGCAGAAGAATAAGAAGTTAAACAATATCACCAAAAAAAGTGCAGCCGAAAAGCTCGATAAAACAATAAATTCAACGCGTTTAAGCCCGTTAAGTGGTAAATAATCGCATAAGAAGCTCCGCCTACTTTGGGAGCCCTAGTTTAAGGTCGTTCTGGTCACTGCTGACACGCGTTGCTAGAATCGTACAATCCTCGCGAGTGTTGGTTGAGTGCATTCCTTCAGTTCACCCAAATAACTGTCAGATCTGGCATTCTCACTCAGTGCTATTGAATCGATTTCGTATGCTAATATATTGAAATGCCCCGGAAAGGAATCGCCCCATCAATACCGCTAAGCTCTGCATTTCCCGGCTTTCTTGGTTAAGAATTTGTTTTAAAGTCGCTGACCGATAAAAGAATCACATAGAAGCAAGATTTATGACACGATGATGGCTCTTTTTCTTCACTCCATTTCAAAAAAGAAAAATACTGAAGCGCATCTTATCATTGGCGAATGATGCCCAATACTGATCCCTATGTTCATATCCGCTTGTGTAATTCTTCAATGTCATAGAAATTCTTACTAAATGATTTGGGCAGTTGCCAGTGGTGTGATTTCCACACTTGGAATGCTGATTCCCTTAGCTCTTTGCCCTTCAAACAAAAGTGCCCCTGGCGTATCTAAACCCAACCGAACCCTAAGCAGCTTCCGGATCTAGAGAGTGCATTCGGCGAGGGTGACATCCGAGACCCTGTCAGGATTTTTATTAATAGTATTTGTCTGATCCAAGTGCAATTTCAACGGATGGAAGGATACTTTTAATATCGTTATCGGCGAAGAGTTAAATATCGTTCAAAGTTGTCGTCTTTGTTGGTATTCTGATTCTAAAACAATTTAAGATTAAATAACCGATATTATATCACAGGACAACATATTCCAGCTATATGTCGATAGCCAATCTAGACTTGACAATCACAATTCTTATCAGTATCTTTATCGATGCTACCATTGACTTGTGTAGAACCTTGGATCTAAAATGGATCTGTGTAGCTAGTGAAGTTGGATTTCGGGTCGCTTCAGTGTTACCGGTTTATGGTCTCAATATCTTGGCTTGCGGATACCCTATAACGCTCACTACTGTCGCTTTTTTGGTTTCGGACTAAGATATGTTTTCCTTGCGCTATCATTCGAAAATAGCACTTATTAGGCATCAGCAAAGTATCGGCTCTCTTGATCTATTCTGAATTTGTCCCTCGTTATCTTATCTTGCTTCTATAAATCGCATATTTATTCATTTTAAAAGCGAATTTTTTTGGTTGTTTGAACCCTTTGTTTTGTATTACCGCTGATTATGGCAATCGCAGTTCCCAATCTAAATGAAAGAAATTCCGCGGTTTAGTGCGATTTTCTTCCAGAATGATTAGAAACACCCTCCTCGCGGTGATGGCAAAAACTCGAATTCTAAGACTAATGGGATACGGCTCCTGATTTGAGATCCCACAACATTGGTGAAGGAAGTTCTTAAATCGGTTTGGATCTATTCTAGGCTAAAAGGCACAATTCCTAACCATAACCCTATAAATTAAAGATTTGATATTACGGTCGCGATAATATGGGAATTTTCCAAAGACATTAAAGCACAAATTGCTGCCAACAAGAGGAAATACCGACTTTAAAAGGGTGAAAGAAAGACAGCGGGATAACCCCCCCCCCGCGGAAATATCATCATGCCCTGCATAAATGGCAGGAAGAAGGCTCTATACGCCGATAGGAGTCCTAGCTGAGAAAAGCCGTTACCTTTTGCGATCAAAAATGCCTTGTTCCTTGGAGAGACTTTGAAGATAATTAATGATCCTAAGATTTGAAAAATATCCTGTCAAGTAGTGAGACATGCGTAACAGAGCTATGAACCGAGATGACGCTGGTTTATAAATCAAGAGTGCACTACGACCCAACAAATTAATTTCGAGCAGCCATTTTTGGACGGGAAACGGGCCTTACATGTGAGATTTATAAGTTGACCGGAAAATCAAACTTTATCGGGTTTATCAGGTAGGGACAGGACTCCTTCTGGAATGTCAAGAGCAGCCTTAAGAGCTTCCTGTGAGACGGTATACTTTGCCAAAAGCTGGGCAATCGGACGGTATCTCATCCAGGAGGGATGTTTTGTGCGTCTATTGTGGTCATCTGCAATGGCACCTAGTGCGCTAATGGAGGAAAGACGAACAGCGCCGCAATGGAGCCCGATCAATGAGCAACGGGTGCCCAAGGCGTCGCTGGCTTCAAAAGCCTGTTTTTGTGCCATTTCCATGGGATTGGCATCATTCGATACCCTTCGGGCTTCCATTGCCATCGAAGCGAGATGTTCTACAGCCAGCCAGGCAAAACGCATCGCCAAAAGACGATCAAAGGGAGAAGGCTCGCGTCCCTGTTGTAGGTGCCCTAACTTTGAAACACGTACGTCAAATTCGCCCTCACTCTCCATTTCCAGCAGGGCTGCAAGTGATTCTCCAGTCAGTGCTGGTGAAAGATGCTCTGGTAATACGATTAGACGTCCCAGTCGTCGATCATCCTGAAAACGTCTCCGCAAATGTGCAGCTTCTCGCAGGATGTCTTCTACCATGATTCCCTCTTCAGGCAAATAGGAAAATGTTGCTGCAGCTGCAAGACCGCCCAGCAACGAAAGGTAGCCGCATTTTCCCCCGTGAACTTCCACCACAAAGGTGCGTTTTTGTGACGAGGCAGACTGTCGAATGGCGTCACATGATGCGACGATCATGTTAAGCGCAGTATCAGAGCCAAGCGTTATATCTGTCCCGGGCACATTGTTGGAAATGGTTGCAGGGACTACCACCATTTGGATACGTCCAAGAATGCTATGATCTGCCCCAGCAGCCTGCAGCTGACGCAGAGAGAGATAGGCCTCATAGCCGCCGATGATGAGAAGCGCTTGCACTCGTTCTTGTTCAAAAAGCCGTGCAATGTTACCAAGGCGCCCGCTTGGCAGTGTGCGGTCCGTACCTAAATGTGAACCACCTTCACCCACCCAGCCATCGACATCCATCCAGGAGAGCGTGGTCGTTGTCGGCTTGCGGTCACAGGCGCAGCAAAGCTTCTCAGGCTTGCTCCCATTTTCAGATTGACATCTGCAAGGTCCCGTTTCGGCATCTAAAGCTACCGATCCCCAGCCGCCAAGCAATGCCAAAGGCTGAAACCCGCGATTTATTGCCGCGCGCACCATGGCAAATGTAGCTGTGTTCATGCCTCCACATGGTGGACCCACATGTACCACAGCCATTCTGGGAGCATTTGGCGCAAGCAAGGAGGCTCCTTGTGCGCTGGCGCAGAGTGCTTCATAAATCTCAAAGTCTTGATGAAAATCACGATCTCGAAGTCGGAAAACTTCACCTAGGACGTTGCGTTTGGCAGCATCGTCAATGGAACGTGTTAAGGCAACGCATTCGCGCAATGGCAAAGTGCATATGGAGCCCCCCTGCATGCCAATGATGGTTGCGGCACCGTTGGGGTGTCGTTTCTTTGCTGCGTTTACAAGTGAACTGACAGCATATACACCCTGAAGCGCCGCAAGGATACGGTCGTATGCTGAGGGCATCCCTCCGCGCTGCACATGACCCAGGACCGTTGCCCGGACATCTAGCTTTAGACGTTCCGTAAGCGTCTTTTGCACCATTGCGGCTGTAATTGGTCGCCCATCTCCGTCAACAGCTCCTTCAGACAACAGCACAATGGATTCACGTTTACCAAGAGCTCGATTTCGCGTGATCGCCTGGCAGAGTGCCTCGGGCCATTTCTCTGAATTTTGTGGCTGCTCTGGAATGAAGAGCCAATCTGCACCAGAAGCCAGCGCTGCAGCCAGGGCAAGCCACCCGCAATTGCGACCCATCACTTCGATGATGAAGGCTCGCTGATGTGAGCATGCTGAAGTAGTGATCGCGTCAATTGCCTCGGTGATGCGATGCAGTGCTGAGTCTGCCCCAATGGTCATCTCTGTCCCGAGCATGTCCTTGTCGATGGATCCAATCAACCCAGCAATATTGACAGCTGGGTGCCTCTCAAGAGTACCCTTTGGGAGCTCACCTGTTGCCTCCAACTCTTGAACCAGAGATGGCCACTCTTGGCGAAGTAAGTCTGCGCCTGTTAAAGAACCGTCTCCACCGATGACGACAAGAGAATCGATCTGCAAAAGTAGAAGATTTCGCACAGCCGCCAATCTTCCTTCTCTGCTTCTAAACCTTGCAGAGCGGGCAGAGCCAATGATGGTGCCACCCAACGGCATGATTTGGGCGACGCTGTTCCAATTAAACTCGATGATCATTGGGCCACCTTGGACCAGTCCCTCATAGCCCTCACGCACAGCATAGGGGACACAGCCAGAAGAAAGGGACATTCGGACAACGGACCGAATGGCAGCATTCATGCCCTGCGAGTCGCCTCCACTGGTCAAAACAGCGATTCGTAACTTTTGCTTTGGCTGGTCGAGCCCCTCATCGTCTTCTTGGAAGGAACGGGGTGGTGGCGACGGGGTTACGCGATGATATTCGTAAATCTCGGAATCGATTGCCATTAAGTATGTGTATAAAAAGTTGCACGTCAATTCATTTTATAGGAATGCTTGCACCAATCGGAATCCTCCCCGGTGTATTAGTGTTGAGAATTAAAACTTGGTACCATTTAAAATTTAATTTCAACGATTTGAACTGTTGTACATCACTTGGGGGGAACGCTGGGTTGACCAATAAATTCCCTGTATTTCAAGCAAAGACAATCGAGAACAGTAAGGCATGCATTTCCAAATGCAGGCTTTCTTCAGGGCCAAGTTTTTATTTGGACAACAGTGTATATTAGTTGGCGTTGCGCATTGACCCGCTAGACCTTGGTAATTGAACATATAGTGAAAGGAGGCTTCATTTAAGGAATTTGGGAAAATCGCCATCAAAAGAAAACAAATGCTAAAGCATTAGAAATGAAAAGGGTCCACTGCGAGATTTTTTTAACAATAAAGCATGTCGCGTAAAATATGAGAATTGAATGCTCAACCAACAAAGGCTGAATACATCAAAATAGCACGAATCAATTTTGTAAATTCTCAAGCATGCATGTGTTTCAAAATTGGGGTACCTACCCCATTTTAAGATAATATTACGCAGGCTACGACAAATCAATGAAACATTTATGTTGTAAAAAATTAAACTTTGTAGCAACCAAGGGGACCAATCACAACATTGATCCATAAAGGGATATCATGTCATTGTGATCGATCAGGTAATCGAAAGTAAGAGGGAATTCCCATTTTTCCGGTTATGATTCATTTGCTTCTAAAAATTAGCTTTCTGATTCTTACATTCCAACCACATTCATTGACACATAGGGTATCCAAAGCCACACAACCAGATAGCCTAGAAAAGATGCTTGACAACGTTAAATGCAACCAACCGACTGATTTTCTGATTACTTTCAAAGACACTGCCAAGCAACAAGATATCGATCGGTTTATTAAGATTATCGAAAGCAAGGGCGGCCATGTTTTGGAGGCTTTTAAAGCGTTCAAGATCATCCTGGCACGTCTCCCTGAAAGCTTGGTGAGTAAGACGTCGCGTTTGTTATCTATCAAATAGGTTCCATGAATGAGAAACAATCGATATTCCAAGATTGTCATATCCACTCCATCGAGAAAAATGAAATCGTTAGGGCCATAAACCGAAAATGACACCAGCACATTTGGGACTGATGGTGAACCATATTAAATTTTGAGCACCGTCAGTATTAAGTACCAAGTAAATTTAAGTGCCGAATACCCGGTGAAGAGAATAAACACATATGACTGAATTTTTGGAAAACGAAATTAAATGATTTTGTTCTGCAAGGAGATGCATCGCTATAATGGGCCCGGAATGTAGCGTATCCAGCCTTGAAATTTTGGGACCCTGGTCCAATATATTTGAAAGCAAATAAATGCTAAGGAAGATGTTATGCCGAATTTTTACCTCCCGCCCCATGTTCCCGAAACAATCGAGCTTCCCTGGGAACAGCAAAGTGAGGAAGAAAGCCCCCCCTCACGAAGGTTGCGATAGACAATCGATGGGGTTTCCTAAGGATTAACATCCATTTTCATCGCCATACAAGATTTGAAAGAACGGCAACACGATTCTCAACACCGGAGATAACCAGGCGCGACTCTGGGGAATAAAACACGCTTAAAACTGAAATAAAATCTCAATAAAAACTTGGATGGCAAAACACGGCCACCAACGACATTAAAGTTCGTGACACTGCGTCATAAATGCAGATATTTCCACTCTCATAGCCGCATATGAGCTGAGAAAAGTCTGTTGAAAGGCACATCACCATGACGGTTCCTGCGATCAAAAAATAGAAAATACCGGCATTATTATCCGGGGCTTGCATTAAGTCTTCACAGGAAAATAGCGTAGGGCCGTCAAAATTCCATCCATACACCGAGATCTGTTCGGTAAAAATATCAGAACCATACAGCACTATTATTGGCAGAAGGTCGGTAAAGGCAAGAAAGTTTCTGTTTGTTAAAACAGCAAAGTACCTTATTGAATAGAATGGATGCATAAGATATCACAATTGGCAGCGACTTGGTTCTTTTTTCTTCTAAGATAAATCGATTTGAAACGCTCCATTCAATAAGCACGCCATCTTTTGAGCAAGAAAGTAAGGTCAGCGGAAATGTGTGGTAATAAATTGCTTGCAACCCTAACCCTGAATTAGGAAAAATTCAAACCCAGCAAATTAGGATCAGAGCCATGTGCATGAATGCCTTTGTAGGAGGCAATGATGGATCGTGTTGAGGCCTCCCAAATTACAAGATCGCCGCTGCTAAACCTAAAGGGTTTAGTTTTGACCGCGTGTACCCAACAAAATATATGTCTCTGCCACTTTCATTAGCGTGCATCCCGGGTACATGCAAATGATGGGTTGCCGAAATGGCGACCGCCATATCCCCTGAGGGGTTATATAGAAACGTAGTGAAGATCGGGTTCATGAGGATTTTGAAATTAAATTTACAGCCAATAAAATTAAAATGTGCAGCCAATTATATGTTGAGGAGACAAAGTTTTTAATTTTCATTGCATTCCTTTGATCTGGATGCATTGCTGGTTTTGCTGTCCCACTACTTTAATCTGATATAATGCTTACTTCTTCGATGGCTTCCCCAGAGCCTTTTTGTGAAAAGAAAAATAAACAATCATCATTCCAGCGATTTAGATCCAGCAAAGGCGCTGTCCTCTTTGTTTGCTCCCTGGCTTTGTTTACTGACATGCTGGTGTATGGAATAGTGATACCAATTCTTCCCTCCATTCTTCGATCGATTGGAATTCCTGCAGAACACGAAACCACATACTCCACAATTTTGTTCTCTGCCTATGCGCTTGGTCTTTTTTTAGCAACGCCAGTGTTTGGAATTTTATCGGACAAAACAGGAAATAGAATGACCCCGATGCTGCTTGGATTAGCAGGGCTTGCTTTAACGACGATTTTATTTGCCATTTCATCGCATTTTTATATTCTTTTGCTTGCAAGGTTTCTTCAAGGAATTGCTGGAGCGGCCTCCTGGGTTGTCGGGATGGCTTTGATTGCCGATACTTTCCCCATAAATCAGCTTGGTTCGTCGCTAGGATTTGTAATGTCATTCAATACTGTCGGATTTATTTGTGGGCCTATAATTTCTGGATATGCTGCCACTTACATCTCGCTTAGATCGCCGTTTTATATTTGTGCACTTTTCGCTTTGCTGGATTTTGTTTCGCGTATCATATTGAAGCCTCCTAAAAGCGCCAAGCCAGAAGCATCCTGCTTGGAGGTAGCACCGGCTTCCCAACCGGATCAATCTCTGCCTGACACTGCCACCGCTCCCAAGGCTTCCTTGCTGAAACGGTTTTTTGCCTCCGACATAATATCTATGCTTTGCCATATTGAAATTTTCCTTTTGTGTTTTGGCGTGACGTTAGAAACTGCATCGATGTCCATCATTGAAGCGCTTATAGCCGAGTACTTGGAGGTATATTTTGGGCTTTCAATAAGCGAATGTTCAAACACTCTGCTTTTTTTCATATTGCCAAGTGCCTTTTTTTCGATTCTCATGGGAAAGCTGACGGACACGTACAGCCGTAGTCGTCTTATCATCATTGGAACGCTATTGCATTCCGTGGCTTCTCCCTTTGTTGCGCTTGCGTCAACCCTGACTCAATTTAGAATTGCAGCCGTGATGTTTGGGCTCTCCACCTCATTTATGGTTACTCCAATCATGCCGCAAATGACATTTCTTATTGGATCCTATGGAAAACACACCACATCATATGCTAAGCTTTATTCTCTGTATCTGATTTTTTGCAGCCTTGGCATGGTGCTTGGGCCGATCATTGCCGGTTTACTTATGTCCTCGATTTCGTTTCTGGCTGCAATGTTTGTGTTCCCCATTATGGGATGTTTGGTATTCCTACCTTTATTTGTAACCATAACAATCTACAAAGAACGAAGCCGGTTCAGGTTAGCCAATTTATCTGATACTCTGTCTCCATTCTCATTTTTCAGGGAGTTATTTATACCGCTGCCAGAGCCTGTCTATTCCAAATCTTTTATTTGATAAAGCTGATAGCCTTCATTTGTCCAAAAATAGGGAGAGCACATGTTTAGGTTTCCATTGACGAGATAATTTGCATCGCCTTGGGCGTTGTCATTTGTACACAGTAGTAGGATATCTTTTTGTAAACATCGCCTTCATCTTTGGGGAGAAACCTAAAGCTGATCATCATGGGATGTGTACATCTTAATGCAGTCTAAAATGCCCTCTGCAATAATTAAAACGTCCTCGATAAATATATCTCGCAGCTCCAAAGCGGTAAGGGGCGTAGAGGTCGGTGGGAGCCTTTCCGATCGAACATCGTAGATGCCCTTCAAATATAAAGTGATCGTGTCGTCCAATAAGATCTACACGTAAAGTTTCGGGCTTTCCCACCTTTGACAGCCTCATATAGAAATTTAGCGTCAATGTTTGCAGATTGCACCATGAATGCTTTCTATATAGCCTCGAAATAAAGCCATAAATGAAGCTTCTCGAATCCGAATCAAAGATTCCTTCGCCGAAAATACCGAGCAACACGCACTTTATGGCTTTGATTGCTGTCCTAACTAGTGGAGACACTTTTAACACAACGGGAAAACTAAGTAGTTTAAAGAAGCATGCATACCTTTTTATGGAGTATGATCCCGAAAGAGAGGGCACCAATGCAAGCAACTCCCTCCACGCCACATCAGATGAAATGCTCAAACAAACATTGCCGTCAGCAAGCAAATCTTTCACACTCTACGTCGGTTACAACACAAATCAACACATTCTTGATTAAAGCGGCAGAAAACTCGGCAGACAATCCGGACCGAATTAATCGCAACATCATAGATTCCAAGGACCGGGTGAACAAAAAAGTTTCAACGCCTTTGGTCTAATGAATATGCAAACCAAAGCCTAGATACCTGTAAAAACGAAGGCAAAGCAGAAAGTTCTCGAACTAGTGTACAAACATTCACACCCTTTGCAAGCTCAAAAGTGATTTTGGATAATTTTTCGTCCACCAAAAAGGCTGAATATTCCCACAAAGATTGGATCTACACGTGTTTCAATATGAGCTATTTCCATACATGGTCAATGGAATACCCTTTGATCGAATGTAGCAGTGTAAATTCAAGGTAAAACAAAAACAGCAAGCGATCAAGCGTGGAATCGATGTCGTGGATAGAAAAATGTCGCAAATAGTCGTCCAACAAAAGCTACCGTAAACCTGCAAATTCTGGCTTACTTTTTTTTCAAGCAGAAACGAAGTGGGGATTGTATCTGAAATTTCGGAAATGTTTTTCAAGATCCCCGTGTCGGCATTGGTGAAGCCGAACAAACCCTGGTGATCTTGTTGAACGTGTGTGGCCTTTTTGCAAAAAGAGGCAACTTCGGAGATCAAACGGCTATCTTTCTGCAATCTATCCTCAGTAGAAAAAAGTACTTTTCAATCCATTCCAGCAACCCGATTGCAACCGCCTTCTGCATCGAGGCTGTGTATCTATGAAGCGCCTCATCTACAAATTAGCAGGCTCTTACTTATTATAAAAAGCGCATTGACGTTTTCCCCGTTATATTTATACAGTGCAGTGGAAATCTATCACGCAGTAAGGTAAGATAATTTGGATCTGCTACCTGTTTCAAAGAAAAAATGTCCTCTTTTCTGCTATGTCATAAAAGGAAAGGCTCTTACGATGATAAAAAGCCGTACACATCGACCGCCAAAATGTCGAGCAGTCGATTGAGTTCGTATGCAAATTCGACGCATTCATCTGTGTTTTGTTGGTGCAAGGAAGTCAAACTCATAACAAAAATGTAATCAATTTTTTTATTATGCTGATGACTAAAATTGGGCTTTGCGCTGAAAGCGCGCCCATCATCTGATATCGTGTACATGTGTTACTAGCACACGCCAGCCATCGATTTGGCCAATTTAAAGGTGTAAATTTTAATTGGTGCCTCCCACATGCTTGTGGAATGCTTCAAATATGACGCAAACAACAACTTGATAGCTCTTTGTTCCGGAAGTTTACATTCTTCCGAAACATCCCTGATCCTGGTGGGGGGGATGTATGATGGCCCTTTTTCTTTAGGTTACTCTGAAGCGTTACATTTTGCCGCTCAGGAAATGGGATCGACGTGCCTCATCCAGCCCATCCTTAGAAGTTCATATCGTCAATTTGGAATTTCAACATTGGACTCTGATGCTGAAGATCTTTATCAGCTTGTTTCCAAGCTAAGTTCCAAAAGGGTTATACTGATTGGTCATTCGTCTGGATGCAATGGGATTCTTCATTTCGTCCACCGATTTTTACCGACGCTTTGCTCTGAAGAGGCCGACATGATAAGAGGTAAAATTTGTGGAATCGTTCTGCAGGGTGCTGTTTCCGATCGGCAATACATTGTTTCTGTACTTGGAGAGACAAAAGCAACTCAATTTCTGGAAACATCAAAAGCGCTGATATCCTCTGGACAGGCACACTCGATCATGCCTGCGGAGGCTGTCCCGATGGAGCCTATTGTTCCAATCACAGCCAAAAGATTCTATTCTCTTCTCCAAGGCGATGATGAGATGTTTTCGACCGACAAAAACGAGTCCATTATGTTTTCTGTATCCGAAACGCTTCCAATTTTAGTATTTATATCGGACAAGGATGAATATGTTCCGCACAACCAGGTCAATCAATCATCGGTCGTTTCCTTTTTTTCGAAAATCCTCCCTCATCATGCAAGCAATAAGATTGTGGTTTTAAGAAACGCCAACCACGGTCTCTCCACGCTCACAAAGGAGCAGGTGGTCGAGCACTTTATCAATCCCATTGTTCAATGGATTGGCACTTTATAAACCGGATCCCAATAAATGTGGTTATTGTTCTGCAGCAGTGAAGGGCATAATTGCTTCAATTAACGACGCAATGTATAAGGACTTGTCGCCATCAATAAAAGGGGTTGAAAATAAAATGTCTGCGCGCTGTTCGCCTTTACACAAATCTATTATCAAAAAAAGGATTCCATCCATGAATTCAGATGTGTCTTTGCAAATTTCTTTCGATTGCTGAAGAAGCTTGTGACAGATCGTGAGAATTCTGTACGAATGCTTACTTCCCAGCTTAAAGCAAGCGGAAAGCAGCAGCTTCCAAAAGAAGATTTGCTCGTATGATTCCCAGCGCGAAAAGGAGGACTCTACAACGAAAATGATAACACATAAACCGGTACCAATGATGGCGTTTAAAATCTCATTTGGCGGCAAAAAAATCTCTGCAAGCGGCAGCGACTTGATTATCCCCATCCGTATACGGATACAGTCAGAAGAGTCCATATCTTGAACGATCATGTGGATAAAATCTTCATACTCACTGACAGTAACACTGTTAATCGAATACAATAGCAGCCCAGAAGCCTTAACTAGACAGCAGTAGAAAAGGGAGAGGTTTTCTATGTAAATGTTCTAAAACTAAAACCACCCACTTGGATACCTTTAAAGCCTGCACAAAAAGAAATGGAAAGTCTTCTGACCACTTTTTCAGCATCTCCTCAAATACACCGCCTTTACAATCCTCCAACGACGACCACCAGCAAATAAAATGAGAATAAAGTCTGGATGAATTTTGGATTGCATCGGATAAAATACATTCCGCCCCATTTTGATAAACAAAATATTTTTCCTCCGAAAAGGTGCTTTCAAAAGGGAAAGGAAAAATACGATCCAGCTGTGCAATTTCGCCTTCCTTAAAGGAAGCCCCTACTACTTTGCTTTCTAAATGCTCATGGGACTTGGAAGAATTATAAACCAACCCAGGTTCATCCTCATCAGGTAATCTCAATATAAGCAGCTCATTATCTTCTTCTGGACTGGATGCTTCCTTGTCTATTTGTGGGAACGTCACGTTCACATTTTCATCGTGCTTCTCAGGGGTTTCTGGCGAATTTAAAATTGAAATTGCCTCTTCAGGCGCTTCAAACGTCGAAACATTTAACGATATCGGAGTTTCCTGATTTCGGATCGGATCTTCATCCTCGCCATCGGAAAAACAAGGCGAAATGCTAGAGGCTGGCTTGAGAAGTGATAGCAACATGGACTTCATGTCTTTGCTCCATGAATCCTTCGCTGGGCCGCCAAATATGCTTTCCAGCGTGCTAAAAAGTTATGGACACCAAAAAAGCTACCAGATAACGCCTTTGGAAATTAGTTGCGAAAGAGAAACCGAAATTGAATTGGAAATGCTGGATGAAAATAGACTTCCAAAAACGCCGTTGGCATTAAATAAAAACTCAATCAAAGATGAGGTGATTGCGGGATATTTTACAACCGAATGTGTCAACAGCAAGATTCCAGGCTCTAACATAAAAACAACCAAATACCGATATTCATGATGCTCTCCCCCTCCGGATAGAAAAAGAGCCAATCGTAGAATATTGCCAATTTGGCCATCTTAATTGAGAAGGGTGACTAAATTTATAAGAAACTCAATCTCCTGCCTTTGCTAGTCTCAATAGCCATCCTAAAATCATCCATCGTGGGATAATATCAGAAGCTAGAACCGAATTTGAAGGGTGGATTACACAGCAAATGAATCGAATCAGGTCCGGAATAAGAATTTCTTTGATGGCTGAGCGAGATTCGTTGGTAAGATGCCATTCAGTGTACCATGTCTGATAGGTTCTTTGGGAGCCTATCTTAACATTTTCCAGCATAAAGACAATATTGGACTCCATCTCTGGAGAAAGTCGCATTGCCAGTAGCCTTTTTGATGGCGGCTTCAACCCGAAAGAATCGGGGCCATGGTTCTGCTTGATTATCGCCTGAAGATCATTCCAAAAGGGCGAAATCGCTGGATACGAAGAAATGCCCTCAAATGTGCGGATGAAATCGCGGCCAAGATCCTGAAATATTGCAGCCATGTGGCTTTCAAGTAAATGGCAAGTCAAGTTGATCGCCTGAGCTTGCACATAGCTGATCCCATCAAAAGCAAGGATAAGTCTGGAGACTATATAATAGACCGAAGATGCCACTGGATCAAGGGCTTTTTTATGGTGGAGCGATACGGAGAGAAGGTTTCCTACCAAATTGAAGTGCTGGTCTGCTGCCTTGGCACAATCCCACACCCCGATGTTTCTAAATAAATTCACTATAATTCCTTCCATAGAACTGGCTCCATGGTCGAGTAAAGCGCCCACCAGCCAAATCACCTGAAATGAATGCAAAAAAGTACCTTTGCTTGGATTTGTGGCAATAACTTGGCGAACCTAACATGAGATAAGACCTTTAAAAGGCCACTCACGAGCGAGAACCCATCCCTAACACTTGCGCATAGGGAGGAAAAATTCTACATTCAAAAAATATTGGCGTTTACAATCAAAGATTCGGAATCGTTTGGTGCAATCAACACTCCATACAGAAGGGCGGCTTGAAATTGCGAATGTCGCTCAGTGGAAAAAGAGCACTAATGTTGCAATGAGAAAAGATATCCACGAACCTGCTCAATTACAAATTGTTGCAAAACATGTTGGCCCTGCTGCAAAAGCGGGATGAGTTTGGAAAAAAATATCTTATTGGCTTCCACCTCAAATTCGTCTGACTCATCCAGCGGCGAATATCCATCAACATACAACAGCGAGATAAATCCAGCATTTTTAACAGGCGCCACAACCTGTGGTACCGGTGGCTCTGGATACATTTCCGGCTTAATAATATCCGGCTGCAACATATTACTGTGAATAAAATTAAAGTTTTCTGTTGGTGGGATATAATTAACTCCGGGAAACGATGTTGCAGCCGGAACAGGGAGGAACATTGGAGGCGAAAGTGGGTGTGCAATTGGACTATGGTACGCATCGGCAACCTGCATTGCATATGGGTATGGCATTGTTGGAACATGCTGTGCAAGATAATGCGCATGTGAATGCTTCTGTCGATGGCGGTGATGATCGTCATTGTCGTTATTATTTTCGCTACCAGGTCGCTTTGGCATGGCAAAAAAAATGCAAACTTGAGGAACTTTACCATGTGCTAGGGTTGCTGCTTTAGGGTTGATGTGGTTTTGTCTGAACCCTTCAATAGTAAAACCTAACACAATTCAGGTCCGATTGCATACTGGGTCCCACCCGGCACACCCACACCTGGCGTCAAATATGCAATTGATAACAGCAGTAACCTACATTTGCACATTTGAGTATAACATTTAAGAAGTACAGCTAAATTTTATTAAAATTCTGCACACAGGTGTCATGAATCCCAAAAAGTTCGCCATAAAGATGCTCTCTTTAGGAAGCTTGCATCAATTCTCTCTACGCATGGAAATTGCTTCAATGGCTGGCAAATCGCCTGGGAATTATCTGCTACGCCTTGGAATCTTTTCGGTCCAGCTCCCCCGCTAACGGCCTTTTTAAGCTCCGGAGTGAAGACATCTCTTAGAATCCCCTCTTTTGCCGGGGAATTCAAGGTGTGATGTTTGCAATTAATCGGCATTCTTGGTTTTAGTTCCCGGTTGCGGTAGTGGCCATGATGTTGCCCTGTTTTCTGGAATGGGATGGCGTTCCTATGGCCTTGACATTAGTCCATCTGCAATTAACCATGCTTGGGAATTGGTATTTTTTGCCTGCTTTCCTAGCATTCTCATGTGGGTCCATTAATTTCCTTTGAAGTTGGAGATTTTTTTCGGCACCAGAATGAATATGACCTAATATTTGATTATACGTAGCTCTTCCGTTGCAATCATTTTAGTTTCCTCTGTGCTTTGGATCCACAGCAGCGAAATTTATGGGCAGACAAGATGCTATCCTTGCTTCTTGCAAAAAAAGGCCAGCTTCTGACTTTAATGTTCCCTCTTTATGATGCCCCATCAGAAGAGAAGGAAGGACCTCCATTTCCATTGACTGAAGCCATGTAGCGGTTGCTGAAACTAATTCTTACAGCTATATGGACCTTCTTGCAGTGCGCGGATTTCAGGTTGTATATCAAGAGAATGATGTACCCAGCGCTAATGGGCGACAAGGCCTTGAGAAGCTTGCTCTTTGGTCCCTTTAGAATATGCAACCTTCGCTCTGAACCGGAACATATTGATGAGTAAAAAATTGAAGACATAAGTAATCAGAAATCAATTTACGCGCAGTACTGTCGATTTACAAATATTCCGCGATGTAACTTGACTTTTAGTCGTTGCATCGCTTGTTAATATTCGAAGACCCAATCCGTCCTCTTTTTCAATGATGCATTTTGTCTGCTTCGAAAGTTAGAATTTTGTGCTTTGACCATGCCTCTGATATCCAGCCGCATGTGCTGTATATTTTCTGAAGAGAAATCGAAATGGTCAAATGTATCAACCTTTTCAATGAATTTATTGCAGGCAGTTTTGGTTTTTGCTGCACAGCAATATATTACATGCTGGCGTGAAAATGTCCTTTTTTCCTTGCATCAGCCCTCTTTTGGGAGTGATGAGAAAAGGAACCTTTCATATTGTGGATCTATCAACTAATTGGCACGCACAATAATATGGCTGGATATGCACTCAAAATAAAGAAACAAGCCCCGGTACGGGACTCTTCTCGCCAATCGGGAAATGACCGTAACTTTCGTATCAAGCAGCCCCGATAGTCTATTGTTCCCTTTTTAGAGTTGAAAACAAGCTCACCAGTCTATTTTGATGTATTGAAATTAATTCTGTGAAACTCTCCTAAATAGTCGCCTGCAAGCACTCAGTTGCATCTTTGCTATCCAATAATACCAATTCTGGACGCGAGAAACACGAGGGCGGATCCTGCCATAAAAAGAAGGGCCCGCTTTGGGTACTCGTTAATTGCAAACGGCTGAGGCTCCACCATAGGAGCCCTGACTTCCGCGACGGTGGGTTGAAACTCTCTCAATGATCGAGATCCTGCTGCTTCTGCAAGGATCCCATCAAGCCTGTCCAACTTTTCCATCACCGCAACAGCAAAAGCTTCCTGCTGGCTTTCTAAAACACTAGGAACAACATGGCGAGAGTCCTCTTTGATTGAGCGAATGAGGGCAGCACGCCGCTTTGGTTCCAATATCATCTGCATGTAAAGGAAAATGACAATATTTAGTGCCATCAATGAAAAGGTGCCTGCAGTTGAAAGCGCACGGATCTTATCAGACCACGTCTGCTCACCTTGGTAACGCTCCTTCATTGCCTGTACCAGAAGCGCATGCGTTGCATCGACTGTGCGAGAAGCACACTCAGCGGCCAATTTTGCATCCTTTTCAAAGGAATCTGCTCGGATTTCGTCCTTGTAAAGTGACGTAAATATGGAAATCTCCGTTTCTGACCACGTTGCCTTCCTAGCTAATAGTGACTGAAGCTCGCGTTGCAGCATGGCGCGAGAGTCGACGGCAGTTTGATAGCGTCGCTGTGCTTCCTTGAATGCATCATTAGAGATGTCATATGCTTTTGAGGCTTCATCAACTGCTATCTTTAGTTGCAGAATGGAATCGTATCCTGTTTTCTTATCAATAAACTGCCTAAAGTTGGTTTCATTAATGAAGCTTTGTCGCAGCCGGGTGATAGATTCTGGGATTTCTATTGAACGGATCGCAGAAAGCGAATGCTGTGCTGTTAACAAAAACGGAGTAAAAATTGCAAACAGAGGGCCGGACGTCGAACGAAAAGACCCAAAATTTGAAGCAATCAATTCAAGATTTTGGGGGTTCCTTACGGCAGTGGCTATGCGTGCTGCTGGGGCAAGCAAATGCCGCCGCATCAACGCAAGGAGTTGTTCCATGCCTGCCGTATAGAAGCTGCTGCAAATATTTAAATTTTTCGCTTCCGACTAATCAAGTTTTTAGTTCTAAATTTGGTCCTAAATTCCAAACTAACTGCCGCAACGTATCAACATGATGCGTGCGCAACATAAAGAATTTTTGACTCTCTTGAGAAGATTCAAAAGAATATGCGCAGTTAGTTTGAAGCAATGATTGCCATTGTGTGTGTGTACTCTGTTAGAGGGACATTTTTTGTAGTTTATAAAATCGAGAATTTATTGCAATGAAATTCCCGACCCCTCGCGTGCTGCCGAACCTTGTAGAAAACTATGGCGTATACGAGCCTTCAGGTCCGTTCTAGCCACCAAAATTTCATAGAAGATTCATATTTACTTCTTGACGCCATAGAGGCGCTGTACTCGACACCGACATCTCATATCCCCGTACTTGCCTTGGAAATTGGAACCGGAAGCGGGATCATCTCTGCATTTGTTAAAGGGATCCTCAAAGGAAACAGTAAATGTTGCACTTTAATGGGTAGCTTTTGTTCTGGGGATCGATATCCATTTAAAGGCAATCGAGGCTTCGCATCATTGTGCGCTTTTGAATCGCTGCCAGATTAATTTGGTCAATGCCGATGCGCTTACATGTGGTTTTCGGCAAGCTTCGCTCTTTGATTTGATTGTTTGCAATCCGCCATATGTCCCCACTACGGAGGAGGAGCTTTTAGATGCCGTTGGATTGGAGAAATCGTGGGCAGGCGGCCCCACATCTGGCACCAACTCGATGATTTCATATTTGCTGTCGCAAGGTGTTCTTGAGGTACTTCCGCATTTAATCGGTAGTCGATGCTCTCACCGATCGGCGGAACTTTTCTGCTTTTGGTGGAATCTGCCAATCGACCTATGGATCTAATTGCTCGGTTTTTGAATTGCCATTCTCCAGAGCATTGGTGTATTGATGTACATTTTCGTGCTTATTTGTAGACTCTTCTTCGGCGAAAGGCCGGAATCGAAGAACTTTTTGTGCTCCGCTTTATAAGGCGATCTTAACCTCCGCCTGACGACGTATCCAATAACACCCAATGGTCTGCATCTGATCGCTGTGTTTGCTGCTCCGATTTATTCTAAATAAACCTGTTTCGTTTTGAACAGATGCTGTTGGACGAATCGTCCCAAATGGAACATATGGACGCGCCGGTGATTTCCAAAAATGCCACCGAGTTTCTCATCGGCGAGGATGTATCTCCGATCGCGAGGATCCTGAAGGTCCGCCTCCTTAATATGCACCCATATTAGTTTGATGGCCTCCGCAGAGGTGACCTCTGTCCGTCCGCCGAGGCAGATGCTAAGCTTGGGTGAGGCGTGTAAGACCGGAAAATTTGACACGCCTGTACGTTTCTTTTTGATTGGCGCAGCCTTCTTTTTAGATGTGATGCTGCCATGTATGCCTGTACTCCGCTTTGGTCGTTTCGTTGCCATACGTTCTTCACGGGCCAGTTGCAATGCTAGCTGGTGATCGCTCTGTTCTTGCAGGATTTCAAGCGATTCGGAATTGACATCCATTCTCTTGCGCAATTCAGATCTGATCTCCTCAATGATAAGCATCCGCATCTGTGGCGAGATAAGCTCTGGGCGCCCAGGAAACTCCTTTTCGAGCGAAATACGGGTCTCCTTCAGCGTGGTTGTCTGTGGATCGCTATGCATTACCAGCTCTAAAGTGAAATGGAGACTTACCTGCAATTTTCTGTTTGATCTCCACTGGCAACCCCGTTGTCTGTGCATCTGAACCCAACGGGGGGCACTTCATCAAATTAAATTCAAGGCCAATTTCAACTTTATGTATTAGGACGATGGTCCATTACGAGGACTACTCTGACGATTGCGATGACGACTACGCCGACAGTTTCTCGGACGGGGACGAATATGACGTCTCATTTTCCGCAAAGGTCAAAAAGCAACCTATCCACAGTGCTACAAACAATCCCAAAAGCAAGGATCAATCAAAGGATGTTAAGCAGCCCATGCAGCAAAAGAAGAATCACCAACGGGCCGCAAAGCCTGCATCGGGAAGTATCAAGCCAGCACCCACATGGATCTCTCTTGCTGGGCATGTGGATTCTGGAAAGTCTACATTGACTGCGCGGATTCTGCGATTGGCTGATTCACCTGACGTAACACCGGAAGAGCAAAGACATGGGATCACCATGGAGCTCATGATGAAAAGGATGGAAGGCTTTGTTTTCATTGATGCTCCCGGACATTCTGATCTTCTTGAAGTGACCAGTAAAGCTGCCTCACTCGCATCCATCATTATTGTTGTGATCGATCCGACTCCTGGTGAATTCGAGCGCGGCCTTGGGGCCCAGACCGAAGAGCATCTTCGTGCCATTTCAATTCTTGCGCCTTTACCTCTGCATTTGGTTTTTGCCATCAACAAGATGGACAAAGTAAGTTTGGTTCTAATTTCTAGCTCAGTTGGGATATGCTACGTTTCCACACCGTCGCCGAGATTCTCTCGTCACTGGTCGAGCAAATCTGGAGGGAATCCGTATTCTCCACACCACCAGCCACCATACAATGTGTTCCTCTCTCCGCTATCACCGGCGATAATGTCTTTGATTTGGATATTTCTAACTTGAGCATCGCCGATGGAAACGGCGCTACTGCAAATACAAACGATCATTTTCTTACGCTTTGGGAGGCAATTAGCAAGACTTCTCGTGCACAATCACAAACAGAGACTCCCAAAAGCATTGGCAGTGCTTTTTTACTCTCTGTTCTTCATACAACATCGGCAGCCGGATCCAATTCATTTGTACTTGAGGGCCGCGTGGCCCATGGTACCATTGCACTGGCGTCTGCCGGCTGCATGAGTGTTCGGATTTATCCAGGTGCACACCTTGCCAAGCTGTCCAAGCTTGCCCTTGCAGATAACGAAGTGCATTCTCCCTTGCCAGCGACTGTGCGGAGCACATCTCCGACCAAATCGAGCATCTCATCTGCAAAATACATCGAAACGGGAGAATTTGTGTCATTTTCACTTGATGCCGATCCTTCACTAGTAGCCACAAGTACTTCTCTGATAGTTTCGCAATCGTTCCAATGGCCGGTCCGTGAAGAGCGCATTTTCGATGGAAAAATTTCGCTCCTGCCCCTCAAAAAGCACGCCGATTTTATTGTAGTGCCTGGGTCAACGTTTATTGCCCTCATTTCGTCGATTGCAGGCATGAGATCAATGCCTTGTGAAATTATGGCAATCAATCCGACTGCCCCTTCTTTGCGTGCACCGAGGTTTCTCCGCCCAGGTGCGAGAGGCTGCGTACGCCTGCGGTTTGATTTTGCCATCCTGTGTGCACCACCGTTCCCGCAAATCAAATTCTTGCTCTTGCATCACGGCAAGTCCGTAGCGACCGGCGTAGCGGATGCCCCTGTAAGTACAGCCTGATAAATGTAATCTTTATTACAAATGTTGAGATCCAAAAGTACATTGAGCATAGAAACACAAAGCGCCGCGCTTTGGTGTAGGTCAAATGCAAAGCTGGTCCACTCCAGTTGGGGCTATAGTTGATGCACCGTAGGTTTCGCCCAACCCCTTCATCGTAACCCTTAAATTATGTTTATCAAAGCCATTTGGAGCACTTCATTTTTGTGCAATTTTAAATTTGTCAAATAAGGGCAGTGCGGTATGACTCACCACCCGCACATCAGGAGGTTTGTTGAGCACTTTTCCGCAACATCAAGGACATGAGCCAAGATTTTGTCTGAACGTTAACTTTGCACGCGCGCCGGAGTTAGACACGTATAGTGGACACCAATCATTTATTAAAATACAAAGGGGTCACTCAGAGGCGTCATTAATACCCTCTGCACTGATAGCAAAAAGCGCTTCCGACTCTGGAAGGCAGGGCGAGTCGTATATCTTACAGATGCGCGTCTCACCCCGTCCCTTGCGTAAATACAAGCGTGTGGTCGATGCGTGGGCCATGATATTGCCGCCAATCGGCTTTTTTGGATCTGCATTGAACATCGCACTTGCGCCATCAACCTGAGCAACAACTTGGTTCGTTATGACGACGGCGATCCCAAACTAACGCATTAAAAAAAGTTGCAAAGGCGGAATGTGAAAAATAAAACACGCAAAATTGATGCATGCAAAAACGCATTAAGGGCAGACAAATGCATCGATTTTCGCCAAATACCTCGTCGGCAAGCCGCAAAAGATTTCGAAGAAACCTGGCCAGATGCATTTGGCGAGCAGAGAGCTCTCCGCGTCCAGAGTAATCGGTTCGATACAGCGACGTTGCCGAATCCACAATAAGCAAGGCATATCTATCAATTGCACGACAAAAAAGCCAACCTTGACTCGGACATCATAGCAGATGCTTGTATTAGAAGTGCAGATTGGTGATCAGAGTTATAGGCTCTTGCGACGGCAACGTTTTCCAGCACGCGATCGCCCTTCAATCCATATCTATGGGCTTAGCGATCCAATAGCTTGCCTTTCGGCAACTGCCAGCAGGCGTTCAGGCCTGAATGTGCCCTCCGTATCGATGTACAGGCACTTGCCATCAGCACCACCTTGATCCACCGATAGCTAGCTGTTATGTGCATGTCTGCTACCTGACAAGTGACTGCAAGTGTATGGCATATTTGTGTCTTTCCTGTTCTAAATTCTCCGAAAATCTCGGTGATCGATCCGGTTTCAAGACCGCCTCCTAGGAGCTTATCAAGCTCAGAGGACCCGGTTGTGACTGTGATGATTTCAGACCGCCGTTGGTGGTACTCTGTTGCCGTGGAAAACCCCATCGGAACAAGCTTTGCGGCTATGGGGGAAGTTAGCGTGGTCGTGATGGTGTACCTTCTTGAAGAAACTTGTCTGCCTTTGCCTCTGAAATTCCTTTGACAGTCAAAAGTTGCTTTTTGGGCGTATAGGCCACCGATTCGATCGTATAATAGCCGGCGTCGACCAATTTCTTCACATCAGATGCAGATATGCCAAATTCCTATGTTCACTATAAGGACACTTGATCGGTACCTCCAGCTTCTGGATGGGCATGGGCCCATCCTCGCCCACAACATCTTCCTCATCCATACCTACTTCTTCATACGCAACGTCCGGCATTATTAAAAATGGAGATAAAATTAATTATAAATTTTGCAAATTATTTAATGGATCTTTAAATGGGCAGTTCATAAATACGCACAATATGCTTGTTAATGTGCTCCTTGTGAAGTACATATGACCCGGCAGGAAGTACACGGAGTCTATCAACAATGGCTTTTAAAACGGCAAGCCCGCCAGCCAGGGTAACATTTGCCGTGTGTGTGGCAAAATCTTCTGGATTCCATTGCGAAATACCGACAATATCATAGCGGTTCTTGTCCTTGCCAGGCGTGCGAGTAATAAATCCAACCTTGATATAGTCGGTGTCGGCAAGCAGCGCTTGAAGAGCCCACTTGGCCAGCTTGGAGCCGTTATTTTTCATCTCATGCCCAAGAACGGCCCCCTTTTGTGAGTCCAGACGAGAAAACAAGCCGCCCGATGATGAGCCGCTTCCAGACCCGGATGTGTTTCCAGACAAAGGATAGTATTCGTTCAAAGCAAAGAGCGAGACGGTCGCCTCAGAATCTTGGATCTTCACCACACCATCGACCGTTGATCTGCAAACGAGGAACAGATTATCTCCGAGTGGAAATCGGCGATACCTAACCGCACCAAGATCGGTTGAATTGTCGGACATGTCCTCGTCCATCGCTCCTGGGGATGCGATCGGGTGTGCCTCCTTCTTCAGAACCTGATCTCTAAAGGACTCATTAATCAGAAACGCCTCTTCAAATCTGACCCTCCGCTCCTCAGGATGAAGAGTGGCATCCGAGCTTGTTTCGTTGACCGAATAAAGACTACTGGCCAGAACGGCTGGATTTCGGGCGTCGAAAATGATCCGACCACGGCTATCCACTCGTGCAACAAGATCCCAAGGATAAAAAGAGCGAGGTGAAATCATGAGCAGTGCAAGAATGGCATCGGTTGCAAAAACATGCCCGGTGTCCGAGTCAGACATCTAATGTAAATGTACACATGCTGCTTACATGAAGGAGGACGGGGTCAAGAGATGTCGTGCTCAGTGAATGAATTTTTGGAATTTTCGGGGGATCATCAAAAAGATTTGAACGGCGCTGAGCGGGAATTTGTAATGACTTTGATGTCTTGCTCGATAGTTTGTTATATGATTTGTCAAAGGAACGCACATTTCCATCTTCCTGCAGAGTTTCTCCGAGGCCCTTTAGCGAGTCGCCCCCCAGTAAGGTGGTGGTGGCTGCGGCCGTTGCTGTGTACACGCTGGAGGGCAGAAGCTTTACAAGCGGGGAAAGGTCGATTTCGCAAATGAGGCTCCAGTTTGTGGACGGGTTAAGCGTCACCATTGACATGGCTGAGTGATGCCCATCAAATCCGCCACTCGCCCCATATCCGGCCGAAGACAAATGCTTATTGAGCTCTTTCCAATTTGAAGATGACGACCCGGTGGGTACGGGCGACGTTATTCCTGCCTTCCCGCCCGCCTTGTATCCGGAAGAGTTCATACGAGACGCGGAGCTTCCGTGCGTCTTGCGAGACGTTATAACGGTAAAACCTGACGGAGATTTTAAAGAAGAAGCTGCTAAAAATCAATAAAACACAAGGGCATACACTCAGCGCTACTTGTCAAAATAGGGGTGGCCGGCTTTTTGGGGAAAACAACCTTCAATGCCGGTTGTACAGGCAATTGGCTGTGATGCGAATGATGAAAATGATGCGTATATTCAGAAAGCCAATCTGCAATTTTTAATGTGGCATTTTCAATCGCTGCATTTGTGAGCACCGACATAGGTGGGAGAGTGGGAGAGGACCCTTTCATCTCATGCATGTTGCTCATTATTAGGTTTAAAATATAAACCAACGCAAAATTAATTAATTAATTAATTAATTAACTAATTTTAATCACCACCAATGCTACTCGTTTCAAGCTCCGGATGCATGCAGGGCAGCTCTAAATTTAAGGTCCGAGAAATTTGCCGCAGAAATTTCTGCTATCGGCGATACCTCGGCGCGATAGCCAACAAATAATTGGTCTTGCTTGACAACTTGCGTTGTATAAAATGTCTCTTCTTTATGTCTTTTATTGGCATGCTTAGGGGTTGGCAGCTAGGGCGGCAATTTTTTCGTAATAGCGACTCATGAATTCAAAAAAGGCAAACTGCGTTGGCTGGATGCCGTACGTATACACAAAGCGCGATGCAAGGTATGATCCGAAGATTGCCCGCAAGTATTCCATTGGAATCCGCTCCATGAGTTTGTCTAGACCGACAAGATCTAGTAGCAGTTTCGGCATTGCCTCTGAAAGCACATGACGACGTAGGGCGGAGTTTTCCCACAATGACGTATGTCTCAATTCCTCATTGAGCTTCACAATGGCAAACGAAATTTCGTCAGACAGCATCGAGCGCGAGATTCCCGTTCGCTTATTTTCTCTCCAAATCGCCTCGAACTCAAGTTGCGCATTCTTCTCAATGACAGCATGCACCGCTGCCACATACGCCTGGTAAAAGGAAGGCAGGGATCCGTCTTTACCCATCTGCATGTGCTCCGAAAATTCAGCATCCGTCATCGAAAGCGCCGCCAGGACTTCCAGAGACGATGAAGTTACGCCGCCCTTGTTCGCCGAAGCGTCTTTGAAAATGATGACTCCTGCACGCTCAAGAGCAAGACGCGCCTCTTGGGTAAAAAAGAGATTTGCACCCTCGACCACATATTTCCACTTGGGAGAACGACCATCCTCACCAGCTCCGGTCAAGATGGACGTAACATTGGAGGCATCCACGGACTCTGGGCGTCCTCCACACGGCACGAAAAGGTCGCAAGCTGCGTATTCGCTCAAGTGGAATTCGTTTCTGAAACGCAAGCCGTCCTCCACAATGTGACCGTCTGGTAAGCGCACGTCTTTATCTTCGATGAGGATCCGGGCTCCGCGAGGACCCAGTTTTTTATCATCAAAGCAAGTAACCATTTGCCGTCCATTTGCCAATCGCAGTAGCTCGCTGCGATTGAGACCATCCGGGTCGAAGATCACTCCAGAGCCGTCCACCACGGCCAGCGTACGATCGTTAGAGATTTTGATTTCATTTGACCCAAGGTCGCCATCTGGCCCACCTGTTTGTATTTTTTGAATCGATTCTTCGCGCAATCCGAGCTTACGATATATGCCCAAAACATATTGGTGCACCGAGCGTGTCGTCATTCCATACAGATCGTGAGGAATGCCGCCGAGACTCTGAGACTTACCGGTGGTAAATGCTTTCCAAAAGGATGCGCCCCGCTTTTGAGCGTGCTGAGAGGCCCAGTCCATGTACTCGGCACTGCCCTCGTCAGGGCCCAAGAAGAGGATTTCCTCTGCACCAAGGTGATCTACGATGCGTTCGTTTGTGGGGCCGCATTTGCCCGGATTGATGACCAAGTCGAGCAGTGAATCGACATACTTTTGGAAAGCTACCACTGATTTTTCCTGCTGATCGACATTGAGCAAAATGGTGCCCTTGGAACCACCTTCTGGGATGTCTTTGTTTTTGCGCTGCTGCGTTGCTGCCAGCCAATAATTCTCGTCAAAGAGCGAGCGGAAATTGATGCTATACGCCTCGCTGTTTCTGCTTCTGATGATTCGAATGCCTCCCCGAGCGATGTCTCTGAAACGGAGATGGAAGCCTTTGAATTCGGAGCCAATCACTAGGAAAAGACCGAAAGGGCGGATCGGATACTCACCCTGGGGCACAAATGCCGGATCCAGACGAAATGAGAGCGCCACTTTTGTTTGCAGATAAAAGTTTGTCTTGAGCACGTGGCGATTAAATGTGAGCAAGCTCTCAAAAACCTACACATAAAATGGAATAAACAAAGTCGTAGCAAAATCGTAACGACGATCGCCAAAATCAAACAATCGCGTTAAAAATAAGAATGAGAGAGAGATAAAGAGAAAGAGGTACATAACAGCAGATGAGGGGAAATACATACGCCCCAAACAAAAAGACCTCCATCAAGGAACGATGGAAACAACACATCAAAAGTGGATGAACAAATTTAAATTGTAAGCGGCACAATACATACCATATACTCGTGGTTATTAACGACTGTTCTGCGAATCAACTCAATGATTTCATCCTCGTTGAGCACATGGTTCATATGCAGGCGCTGGAACGAAAGTGAAGGCTGTAATGAATTTTCTGAGCAAGAGCCAATATAATGCGCCATTGCAAAATTTACATACAGTGCGCGGATGAGCACAGGATAGCGCTTGATGATATCAAGCACATACTCTCTGGTAAAAGTGTCCTGGCGCAATCGCTTTTTTAGCCTGGCAAGGACATCCAGGTGCACTGGATTGTTCTGGTCAACAATGGATGCCAGACTGACAAACTCAGACCCAAGTCTGTTGAGAAAGTGTCCCGCAAACACAAAACCCACATAGCCGTAAATGGCCTCCTGCACAGAAAGCTTTGCCTCTTGAAACAGACTTTGCAGCGGCGTAGTGGGGAGGCAATATATGAGCGAAGTTTCTTTCATTATCTGCAGAATAGACAGCTCAATCGGCGGTGGCGGTGGATGAGATCCGTCCAGGTGATGGTTCGAGCCAGAGTCCATCAGCGGATTGAGATAGAGCGTAATGATGGTGACTCCATTTGCAAATTGCTCGACATACTTGCGAGAAGAGAACAGTCCATAATAGTGGTAAAGATCTGAAAGTGCCGAAAAGAGGTTAAGCGTAGTTTGCTGGCGGTAGCCGATAACCAAGCGCTTTTGGCGGATGCCTTCAATTTCAAACATCTCAATGACAGGCCCAGTGCGCGTGAGCACGTTGAGCATAACTTTTTGGTAAAGGTCGAGGGTTTTTTCGGTCGCTCTCGACAGAAATGTGATGTCAGAGACCTTTTTGATGTCGGTTTCCGTTTCAGAAACATCGGGGTCAACCCATTGGCACCTCGAAACAAAGTAGCATCGTAATTGTGTAGTGGAGGAGTAGGAAACGGTGCCTAAAGAGCGATAGGACTCCAATCGATACGAGCATCTGCGTGACGAGATGTTGAGATATCGCGTGTCAATTCTTTTTTCATATTGAGGGCCAACAACCGTAGACACTCCCGGTTTCGATGTGTGGATGTAGACGGCGCGATCGTTGTCATCCGACTCGCGCTTTAAATTGATGTCAACCATTGAAGGGTGCTGGTGCTGGTGCTGATTGTTGTGATGGTGCTCCGAGGGAATTCCGCTAGGCGAAGAGGAGGCGTACCCTTCCTTGTCCTCGTCTCGGATGTAGGCGTTAATTTTGGCACCATATAGAGCCATAACGTGCTTTGCGATCACTTCGACGCTCTCCAGCGCGAAATACTGATCGTCAATGCCGAGATTGGAGTATAACCAAGCAACCTCATTTTCGATCAGAGATTCTGGAATAAAGCCTTTCTCTTTGATGTAGTTGGCAACTTTGATCATTTGGTCGGCTTTGCCTTCAAAAATATTCTCCACATATCCACTCTCGTTTTTGAGCATCGTGGGAACAGGAGAGATTGTCCTTAGCGTGTCATTTGACGTCTTCGTCAGCTCTAGGACTGTCATGGCAGTGTATTTCGGTGGAAAACTACTATGGTAAGCTTTGCACTGATGTACCGATACAAAAGCCTAATCTAGTGATGCGAAGATAAAAATTGGTATATTCATGCAAAATCTGTGAAATGTGTATTTAGTCATGCTTGCAATTAGTAAATGATAAGAATTGACACAACTCTCTGCAGATTGCGCGTAGCTGATGCAAACGATGATTAGCATTTGATTGCCTAAAGTAGGGCTATAAAGTTCGGGTTTAAATTGTCGAATTTAAATCGTAAAGTTTAATTGCAAAATGCGAATGCCCATGCCGATGGATTTTTAATTTTTTTTCGTGCCCTTCATAATGAACGTAACCGAGCAAGTCGAAAAATCTTTCCAGAAGCAGGATGCTGTCTCCATGAATTCAAAGCGCATCATCCTTCGCAACGGCGTCATCAAACGCTACTACAAAGATATTGGCCTTGGCTTCAAAACCCCCAAAGAGGCAATAGAGGGCACATACATTGACAAGAAGTGTCCATTCACCGGAAACGTCTCCATCCGCGGCCGCATCCTTACCGGAACCGTCAAGTCTACAAAGATGAAGCGTACCATTATTGTTCGCCGAGAGTATTTGCATTATGTTTCCAAGTACAATCGCTACGAAAAGCGCCATACCAATCTAGCTGCGCATTGCTCGCCGTGCTTTATTGGAATCCAGCCTGGTGATGTTGTGACTGTCGGAGAATGCCGTCCCCTCTCCAAAACCGTCCGCTTCAATGTGCTCAAGGTCCAGAGGAAGGATAACAAGTCTGCCACTGCCACTTCGGGAAAGCAGTTTTCCAAGTTCTAGTTTATAAGCGTTCGTTGTCATTAGTAAAGTTGATTTATCATGACCTTTGCACGCTAGTATTTGTTAACGTTTCGCATTTGAGCGCCTTTGTGGGATACACGCATCGATTGCACCTTGATGATGTGGCTCTTGATGCCCGTGGAAATCCCACCCGCAATGAGCGGTATTAATTAGGGCCCGGATTTTATTGTAAATTACAATGCCTGCAGCCCCTCTCAACGTGGCATTGGTGGACCGGTTTTTCGAGGCAAGAAGGGAACTCGCGTCCATTTATATATCCCCTTCGTTGATCCGAAAATCGGAGGCCATCATTCTGTCCGCTGGTAAGGTTGGCACATCTTCTAACCCTGCCATAGGCCTGGCCGGTCTATGTGTCGGTTCATACTGTGGACTTCTCATGGCATCTAAAGGAAGGCTTTCTTCGCTGCTATATGCTACAAGTAGATGCAGCAATTTCTTTCAATAGCGTTTGGCACGATTGGACTCACGTTTGGAGCAGGCCTCGGTGTTCAAGGTGCATTTTCCATTCTCAACGCGAAACGGCCACACTTCATGCAAGCCTTTGAAAGGTATCAGCTCCTGAGAAGAAAAATTCTGCTCCACGGCCGAGAAGAGTCTCTCTTGACTTCCGGTAAGTTTTTGCTCCAAACCACCGTTAGACCTGACCATTTCGACGCACTCAAAAGACGGATCCATTGAAAATGAAGTGGTTAAAATCGAGGCCTATCCTGCAACCGAAGAAGCCGAGCAAAGGTTAAAAGGTACGTGGCCCATGTAAAAGTTACTCCCATCACAGAGCTCTTTGCCAGACGGTAAATTTTAGGGTTATAGCCCGATTTAATAAATCCGATTTTATGTAATATGGGCCTCTCTACCTTCCACGACTCCACGTGCATGGCATGCGGAGTGAACCCCGCTGAGGACTACGACCTTTACGAGGAATATGCAGGCTTTTCTGTCTGCTTCAAATGCAAGCAAGCAAGCCCAGAACTGTACAAACGCATTTCAAAAGGAACGCTCCAAAAGGTACCCCGTTCAATTTAACCGCTAGGATTACCTTCTGGGAGACCATGATATCATGCTATTTGATTTAAAGTTTGTTGAAAAGCCCAATCCAAAGGGGTCCAACTATGCGCGGATGAAGTTATTCCTTCGCTGTGAGGCGCAAGCAGCTGCCATCAAGAAATACGGCTCGCTTGCTGAGTTGGAAGAAGAGAAACATCGTCGAAAAAACGCTGTGCTCCAGAAAAGAGAATCTGTTTATGAGAAACGGCTTCGAGAGCTGAAGCGGGCAAGCCTTGGCACGGAGGCGATACAGCTAAAGTCTCTCGTCCGGAAGCATGTCCATCAGTTCAAAGATGCCGAAGAAACCCATGACGTGCTCGATGACGACAAAAAACTCGCAGGAGCCCAAAACCATACCCCCTTACTAGACGGCAATAATCTCCAGGTCAAAAGATGTACCATCTGTGGGCTGCAAATTAGCCTTGAATCGTTTTAAATTTAAATTTTACTTTGTTAACAAAAGCGGGCCAATCGAAGAACGATAAATTTTATTAATTGGCCAATTGAAAGCCGACCGGATATGTGACATGTGATTTTGAGCGACCAATGAAAATAAGACATTGAGTCACAGCAATGATCGTATCCGGTTTCTTTTTATCTCGCTTTAGAAGCTCAGTACTTATTATTGCGCTTCTTGTTTCATTACTTCCTTGCCCTACGATAATTTTCTTACATCCGTAACCAAACCTACTTCCAATACTTTCCACACGAAATACATATACTACTCCGCGTCATTCGCTACCGCTCTCCATCGATTCGGACAACCAGAAGGCCGCTCATATCACCATGCCGATGAATGGAGGTAAGAAAGGCACGACATTTGAGGATTTTTCGTTATCACAAGAGGAAGCTTTCTCTCGTGAAAACGGACACATGAAGACCCTTCTACCATCCTCTACAAATAACAATAGAAATGCACCATACCACCACTTTCCCCATTTACAACAGACTCCTCACCATTCTGGATATACGGCGTTACAACATCCGCACATTTCTCAGCAAATGGGACAGCACCGTTACCCTAACCCTCCAGTCCACTCTCCGCAGCAACATCAGCTGATACCGGGATTTGTACCCCCTAACACAAGCCCGCCATGTAATGGAGGCGGATTTTACTTAGAAAATGAAAAGATCTCAACATCGTCCGATTATCCATCTCCCACTCACCAAGTAGGCGTTCGGTACCCGGAGGCCACTCATGGAGCATCGCAAATGCAGCCTCAAATGACACTTTCCAATTACCGAGAAGGATATCCCAGCTCTTTTGTTTATCGCAATCCGCAACCTCCTCCTCCTCCTCCTGAATCTGTACATCAAGCCCCCGAAAGTCTTTTCCGGTCCATGCACATGCCTCCTCATATTTCCCCGAATCAACATATGTTTATGATCACAAAGAGAGATGAGATCACCGCTTCAGTCTCAATGAAGCTAAAAAAGAAGCGCGAGAGCCACAATGCTGTTGAAAGGAGAAGACGTGATAATATCAATGAGCGGATCCAGTTTCTTTCCTCAATCGTCCCTGAATGCAAAAGGAGACAAGAACGCTCATCAATCGTGACAGGAATGGATTCCAAACGCTCCCAAATTCTCGTGCCCAATATGAAACTTAACAAGTCGTTCATTTTGCAAAAGGCAACAGAATACATCGAAGCGATGACAATGTACATTGAAAGGCAGTCCGTGTTGTTGAAGGAAGTTATTCCATCGTATGTTGGCGGCATTGAAGAGCTCAATGCTTCTGTCGTTGAAGAAGGAAACAACTTTATCTTTTCCCTAGAAAATTTGCCATCAGACTTCCAAGGACTACAGGAAGAAGAAGAAGAAGAAGAAGAAGAATCAAAGCAAGAGGCCACCCAACGGAGAGCCCCAGAAGAAGCCATTCTTCAAAAGAAGCTTCAAGCTGAGTTTCGAGATCAGACATGACAGCCTCCAAACAGGCCTGTCTGCATACGCCCCGAATTAAGATTAATAAATTGCTGCTTTATAAATTGGGGTTTAAATATTTGCGAGAGAAATTCCATTTCCGGGTCTCCTCCATTGGCCAAGCCTTTGCTCATACCCACCGCACAAAAATTAATCATTATGATCAAGTTACCTGGGGACTGCGATGCGTATCAAAAAACAATGATCCGCCCTGCTGCTCAAATCAGATATTTATGCTTCTCTTGTTTCACTTGAAGGTACAGCGATCACCGCTAAACGGAAATATCATCCAATTGATCAGCATGATAAATTGAGCGTAGCTTGGGTGAAAAATTAACGCTCAAGCATTTTGATAACTTTCAAACGGCCGGTGACGCATCAAGTCCCGGCTATTTGGCTAGAACAAAGGGTTAGGCAAGATTTTGCCCAAGCTTTCGCTTTGACATCATATTTCTGGAATCGAAGACACTTTATTGGCTCAAAAAAGTGTAAGCGCCTACAAATGACGAATGGATTTTATCGCAAAGATTCAAACACACACGTTAGGAAAAGTTTGGTGCAAATGGAGGTAACAGCTAACGAAATGTAAAAAACGTCCTTTCGAACTAAATAAAAAAGTCAACACGAGAATGTTATATTGTGATAGGGATTTATTGTCCAAGATTTTATGTGCATCACAGGAATAGATGAAGAAGCATCACAAGCGCAATAAAAATGACGGCAGCAATAATCAAATACACGGGCTCTCTAAATCGATGAATGTTAACACAATGGGATACACTTGCGGACCGGGTGTTTCGGACTGGTAAAACTTATTGAGCGTAGATCCGGAGTGTGAAGATATCTTTGGCGAGCTTGCAGATGATTGTCGTTTTCTACATGTAAGGATTATATGGGAAGCTCACATGAGGACGGAGGAAGACATTATGATTGAGATCAGTAATTCCAAAAAATTTAAATTTGTAAAATTTATGGTGATTATTGGGGAAGGACATTAAATTTTCATGGTCTGCGAGCCTCCAATTGCGCTGATGGTTGGAGCTGCACGGGCTGCCTCCAAATATACGGAACTTATCCGAACCTCAAAAGATGAATCGCTAAAAAGAGCCTCCTTAAAAACAGACTGCTCTCCAGTGACAGGTTCTGCACCCAGCCTTACCATCTAGCCGCTGATATTGGCGCGCAGGCGATCATTATCTCTCACCTTCGCCAGTTCCCCGATGCATCGATACTTGCAGAAGAGGACTGCAGCTCTTTGGAAAACCGCTCGGCACAGTTTATCGAAACAGTGTCTCAAATACTTTGTCCCTTCATATTACAACAAACGGATGGGAAAAGTGACAATCAACAAGCTGCCATGGGTGCCGATGGGCAAAAGATGGATCTGTTCCAGGTAAGACCGTGTCTAGATTACTTGAAGTTGCTTGAATATAAGGGTAACGGTGCCCATTATTACTGGGCCATCGACCCTGTTGATGGAACCAAGGGATTCATTCGAGGAAATCAATATGCCATCTGCATTGCCTTGCTTTCGAGCCTTGACAATAAAGTGATTGCCTCTGCCATGGCATGTCCAAATCTGCGTGCATATTCTGCCCAGGGGTACTCATATCCATTATCATCGTTAATAGCCCCTCTGTTGGCACACTTTTCTTCGCTGCTGCCGACAAGGGCTCATATGAGATTTCATTTGATCATTATGATGAGCTGTTAAAGGCATCTTCGTCGTTGGAAGTTTCAAGTTCTCGGTTATTTTCTGCCGCGCGACGGCTCGTTGTTTGTGCAAAATCCACCAAGAATAGGAATATCACCATTTGTCGATCCGTTGAAGCAATGCATTCTCCTCCGGCGCTGATAGAAGCGTATGTGAAGGAGCGCGTGGATCCTTCTCTCAAAACAGAGTATCTTGAACTTGATTCACAATGCAAGTATGCCCTCGTTGCCAGGGGGGATGCCGACGCCTATGTCCGCATTTCTGATTCTCGGGCAAAAATTTGGGTATCATTAGTGGTGAGATAGCTTTCAATTTAGGATCATGCTTCCGGATCTTTACTTGTCGTAGAAGCAGGCGGAATGGTCTCCATGGCATCCAATCTTTGCATGGAAATCACGTTTTCCAACTGCCCAGAGATGCCATTTAATGATGGCATTGTGGCCCACTGCAAGGGAACATTCTCCAAATTGAGTGTCACTCTTTATGGTGTGTAAATTCTTGGCAAAATTTGCCCTTCAATAAACAACACAAAAGTGATAAGAACGAGAGAAGCTGTCAATTGCCCCGGTCGATTTTTTTCCGAAATAAGAAGGCCCTTTAGACGCCTCGGCTTGATACATGTTGATGGCAATTGTGCAGAAATACTATATCAGCTTCTTACATTGTTGAGCCCACGTGTGGATGGAAAGTTGGCGGTAATGGGATTCCTGTGGCACTTTAAAGCTTGGAAACACCCGAAATTTGCTCTCCAGGAATCTCTAAAAGCCTCAATGTGGCACCAAAATCTCTGTTTGGGGAAAGAACAGTCAGAAGGATATTTGATTGACAGTCAAATGCCATTAGTGTCCCTCGAATCTCGCTCTTCTCGCTAGATTTCAACAGCACAACAACCTCTGACCCGAGGTAAGAAAAGATTTCGTCACACGAGAAAATTGGCTGCTCATGCATGCAAGTGGATGGCTGTAAAAATGGCGTGCACTTGTACGCCACGGGATGCTTCCGGTACCCCACACATGTGGGCTCCACGTAGCAATTGCAATGGCCGTTCATCATAAAATTTACATTTGGTGCAGATTTCTAACCCTAACTCCGGTGCAATTTAATGCACATCTAAAGGATTGTTAAGCCCCCGAGTAATTTTATTTCGCTTCATAAATTTAATTAAATTGCTGCGCGGTTTTCATTGTTGTCTAAAATACTTTAAAAAGCTACCACAACCCTTCATCATAAGAGGACACCACAACAGTAACAAAATAGATGGTTGGCGATAAAATTGATCGCAATTACATTTAGCGTTGGTCGCACCGCTTACCTTTACCCCGAACGGATACAAAATTAAATTTATAAATCAGAAAATCAAGCTAGGAAGAGGCAAAGCGGCGTTCGCCGCTAATCGAAGACCGTGCAAACTTCTTACGCTCATTGGCATCGAGGAACTGCTTACGTAACCTTATGCTTTTAGGTGTAACCTCGATCATTTCGTCATCTAGGTGCAAAAATTTAAAGTCAACAATACCTGCAACATACGCAATAAAGTCTTCAAGCGAGAAAGCTCTCGGCGGGGCCAGACGAATGGCCTCATCTTTGCTGATGGCGCGGTAGTTTGAGGTGGTCTTTGTCTTTGCAGGATTGACATCAATATCGTGGGACCGGCTGCATTCGCCAATCACCATTCCAGGATATACGGGCTTTCCTGGGCCTACAAAAAGCGTGCCCCGGCCTTCGAGCTCTCCAAGAGCAAAGGAAGTGGTGATGCCCTCAGCCATGGAAATCAGGGCACCCTTCCTGGCGCACTCAATGCGCCCCTTAAACGGCTCATAACCGGAAAAGGTGTGGTTTATAACACCTGTTCCGTGAGTATCATTCTTGAATTCCGAATGGTAGCCAAGAAGGCCCCGCGTAGGGATCTTGAAGATCAGGCGGGACTTTCCAAGTGCTTCTGAAACCCGGAGCAACTCGCCTTTACGTCGAGTGAGCTTATCGATGATGACACCTGTGTACTGTTCATCCAAGTCGATAGTAATTTCCTCAACGGGCTCTAGCTTGACCTCCCCCCCATCTGAATGTTGTTCAGTCTTGAGGAGAACCTTTGGCGGTGAAATAGAAAATTCAAGCCCTTCTCGCCGCATTGTTTCTATAAGGATGGCAAGATGAAGCTCCCCTCGCCCATAAACCTCGACAAAGTCCGTGTTGGCGGAAGAAGAGCCCGTAGAGACCACATTAAGTGCCACATTTGTTTCGGCCTCTTTGCGAAGACGCTCTGCCAACTGCTGGCAAGTCGCTGCCCGTCCTTCTCTTCCGGCTAGTGGTGAAGAATTTGACGAGAATAGAATTGAAAGCGTTGGTGGATCGATTGGATCCCACGGAAGAGCTTCTGTGACCTCTGGTGCACAAATGGTACTGTTGACGGTAGCAGTGCAGACACCGGAAATGGAAATGATGTCCCCGGCTGCCGCCTCTTCAATAGGCACCTGAGAAAGCCCCCGACGGATAAAGAGGCGAACTACGCGGGCTTCCTCTGTGGAGTTTGGCTTGGAGGCCTCTGGCGTGATCACTTTGATACGGTCATTAAGACGAACCGTGCCATGCTCCACTTTGCCAAGGAAACATTTTCCCACATATGCTCCAGATTCGATGTTGTTCACCAACATCGAGAACGGCCGAGATCGGTCTCCCAAAGGAGGGGGCACATGTTCGATGATCTTTTTGAAGAGGATCTCCATTGATGACGGCCCATGCTTCCCAAAAAGCCTCTCCTTCAAATATGCAGATCGTGCTGAAAAGTCCATTGCCGGGGTATTCTTGATGGCTTCTAATAGAATGGAGGATGGATTGATCTCGGTTGCCCATCCCTCCTTTGCAGAGGCAAACAAAATCGGATATGCCATTTGCTTTTCGTTTGCGCCCAACATGCAAAAGAGATCCAGAATATCCGAGTCAACCTGGTCCGTGCGAGATGTTTCTCGATCGACCTTATTGACCACCACGATTGGCGCCAGACCGCGACGCAGTGCTTTGGAAAGCACAAACTTTGTTTGAGCCATTGGACCTTCGGTAGCATCAACCACCAGAGCCACACCATCTACCATCCCAAGAACGCGCTCCACCTCACCGCCAAAATCGGCATGCCCCGGCGTGTCGACAATATTGATGCGGTAGCCCTGATACTGCACACTGGTACTCTTTGAAAGGATTGTTATTCGACGCTCTTTTTCCAACACATTTGAATCCATGCTGAGAATTCCATCTCCGTCTTCGCTGGCAGTGCCATTGGAAGAAGCGAGGGAGTAAAGAGCCCCGCTCTGCTTAAGAAGGCAGTCCACCAAGGTGGTTTTTCCATGATCCACGTGTGCGATTATGGCTAGATTTCTGATTTTGCTTTGATCTACAATGAACGATGACGATTCACAAGAGGATGTTGAAAAAAACCGCCCCACACGAACATGCTGCAATGGAGGTGCATGCGGAGCAATTCTAAACACCCGCCTAGCTTTAAACATGCAGCGACAATAAAATTTCAACCAAATTAAACGGCATTATTGCAACATTTAAATTTTATCCCTTCAATGCGCTGACAGACACATGTTTCAACGCATTGACATGCATGTTTCTTGCCTGCTAGTCTGGCCAATTACTTTGATCAACTGACTGCATCAGTGGATTGCATCAACATGCTTTCCGAAAAAGGGAGCAGTAGATCGCCAAATTAAACTGCTTCAATGTTCATTCTGTCACCATGCATTTTTACCAGTGAGCCGGTATTCTCATTGCGAGCTTTCCAATACCAGGTCAATGCAAAAATTTTCTGCATTTTCAGATGGCCCCAAAAAGGCTGACCAGGCGCTTTTGCTGCTATTTTCACCACGCTCATCATAAACTGTATGCCAAGGGGCAACAGGCGACAGTAGCGACTCCATGTTTATTTCTCTATTGGCGTCCTCACTTTTAAGCTTGACGACCACATAAAACGTCGTTGCCAACGGAGATTCTTTGTCTTTGTATCCCGTATCAAGCACTTTCAAAATCAATGTTTGCAACTTGGTTTTTACAGAGAGGAACTCTTTCTCTACAAGAGGAGCCGTCGGTGATCCGAACGATTTAATGAGCAATGAAAGCCTCTCCAAAGGCTCTTTTGCTTCCTTCGTACATTGGACAATGGTGAACGCGGACATTGAATTCGATTTCATCAGTCCCCCAATTGAGGCAAGCAGGGTTTGCAGATATCCGCACAGCACAGAATGTCTGCATCTCCACACGGGTGTGTCAAAGGACGTGGATTGCGCAAAGAACGAACTTGGATAGATGGATCTCGAATATAAAAAGCAGTGTAACGACGCTTCAATGAACTCCATCAACATGGCAAAGGGAGCAGCGTGTTCCATGATTTCCAGTAAAATTGTAAATTAAAATTAATTTGCAAAGCCAACAAAGTACCGGAGCATGTTGACTGACCAAAGATCAAGAACGCATCCCTACAATGGCATTCAATGTGCCTGAATATTGCTATGTTTGTTGTGATGCTTTAATAAATACAGCTACTTGGAATACTCCTCGCTTTGAATCCACACCGAATACAGCATCTTAACAATAATCGATAAAGGAATAGAACATCGCGGCTTTTTCTGCTGCTCAATTAGAAGATTATACAGTCGAGGATAGTTATCAGGCTGAAAAGCCTCCCTCAATTTTGAGTCGTCGATGGTTGATCCTCCAGCATGTTCAGCAATGCGCTGTGGCGGGCCATAACAGCCCAGTTCCGTGGTTAGGGTCATTTGAAAGGGCAAAGAAATTAATTAAAATTCCGGTCCATGAATGGAGAGTCACTTGAAATTGGAAAGATTCGCGTCACTGGAGCCGACAGGACAAACCATGCGCTTTTGGTTGAGCTATTTGATCCCCTTTTTCAGTGCAAAAGTGTTTCCGAAATAAACGAGGCCATCTCAAATATTGATGGCCAAATGCAGGCCTTTGAAATCACCAAAAAGCCTCTCAGTGTTTCGCTCGAATTTTCCTCTTCCAACCGTGGACCGAAAGTTCCAGTGAATCTTGTCGTTGCAGTCGATGAGAAGAGCCTAACCGCAAAGACAGGAACAGAATGGAGGCATAATGAAATAACCATGGTAGGACCTCTAGCTTGTTTATAATAAGAATGCTGGATGCTCCATCCATAATGTCTTTGGAAAGGGGGAAAAGATCGATGCAAGCTTTGATCTGGGCAAAGAGTACACGTCCCCATTCAATGTATGTCAACACCTCATAATTGCTAGTTTACATTTTCAAAGAACTTGTTTTTTGATCGAAACATTCAGTTTCGCACTTTTCTCTTTTCTTCAACGAACGAAAGAGAAAATCATCTGGTCAAAGAACACCATCGCTTTTGCCATCGAAGCTCCTTTTCCGTAATTTGGTCTTTTTCAACTAATTTATTAGTGGATCAAAGGCAGCTTCTCTCACATTTTCTCGTTTGGGTCTGTAGAAAGAACGCTCTCCGCCCCGGTCATCACAGAAGATGCAATATCTTCTTTCAAGTCATCTATTGGTTACCTATTTAAATACGACACCCGCAACGATCCTCTTCTTCCCTCGTATGGGAAATATTTCCACGCATCCTCGGAATGCAGTTTACTTGACCAGCATAGCGGCCTTACAGTGAAAAACGAACTGTCATCCCAGTTTCACTTCCCTGTATGGTCTAATCCGAATTTAGTAGGTCTATCCAATTTATTTAGATACTATCTCTTGGTGGCTGCTTTGGATTGATCTTTCCCTCACATGTTCCTCAAAACACGCTTTCGTTTATTGATGATAAATTTTTTTTAGGTGGACCCACCTCGGTCAGGCTTTTTCCTTTGAGGAGCTTGGGACCGCAAATCACAATGCCAGAGCCCCCTGGGAAAATATCTACCGGTGGTGATCTTTCCGCTGCATTTGGAGTTTCTTTCTCCTTTCCAATAGTGTCTGATCTCGAGTCCATCGTTCGGGGTCACATTTGGACAAATTTCGGGCATTTGTCAAACTACCATTGGAGAGGAGAAAACCTTTCAGGAATAAGTTTTGGTTCTGGCATCATCTTTAAGATCTTTAACATTGCCAGGTTGGAGGCAAACTTTGGCTGGCGCTTCACTGCAGATAAAAGGGAGAGCCTCTCTTCTTCCTTTGTGGGCCCTTCACTTGGAATTAGCACCGAATTTCTGTGATTAAATTAATAGTTCGCACCTGCAAAGATACGCACTACGCTCCAATCATTTTCTGTCATTTGGACTCTCGCTCGCTTCCTCCCCTTATGTGCACAAACAGTTGCAAGGATTTGTCGAGATTTTAATTAATTAATTAAAAAGAACGGTACACGTTTTACAAAGGAGAAGTCACCATTGCGGGCGGAGACAAATTGATGGAGTTTATTTATCTAGAAGGAGTTATTAGAGACCCGCGAGGAAAGCGATGAGCAATAAGGTTCCTGTCAAAAAAGAGGAAACGAATGCATGGGAGGCGTCACTTTCTCTGCTCTTAATTTGACCAAGCCCTTTAGGACCGGGAGCATCCTTAACTTTGCTCTTGGCACACTGGTCGATTGTGACGACTTTGTAGCCCTTCTCAAGAACATATTCAATGACATTTTCCGTGGCTGATGCGGAAGACGCGAGATAATCGCGCTGGACGGAAATGAAACCACCCTTGGTATTCGGCGACATTTTGTCAAGGGTTTGTTTATAGACACCGAGAATATCATCCTTGGAATAATCATAGGAGTCGATATTATACGTTGAAATGATATATCCTTTTGAGATGATTTTTTGCAGCTGCTCGATGCCGAGATCTTTGTATTTCGGAATTCGCAGATAAACAGGTTTATATCCGACCACCTGTTTGATGATATCTGCACGAGCGGAAATCTCATCTAACAAATCTTCATCGCTGATGCCATTGAGTTCGAAATCCTCTTCAAGCGACAATCCAATTAGATGGCCCTCTTCAGCTGCACGCTGCAAGTTAGCTACAATTGCTGCTTCATTGAGAAAAGTGACTACTGGATGAAATGTGGCTTTAACGTTAAGATTCCTCAATGCATCGAGGATATCTCCAGTGTAAAGACTTGGCCCCTGGTCAAATGTGAACGCAAAATATCCAGAAGGGCAGAGATTAACTACAGGATCTCTTGATGGGAGGGGAGCAGCAACTGCGCTTTGATAAAGAGCAAATGCCGAGATTAATGAGAGGGCTTTGAACTTCATTATTTTGAGAAAGAGCCGAGAAAAATTGTTTATACATATCGTCTGTGTTGTATACATATACCATCTAATCTGTATCCAAGCATCTGATTTATTGATAAACTAAAGGGGTTGTTATGCGATTTTCCCAACCTTTCATACCATCGCCATCACAATATCAATCAAAACAACAAAAAGTCAACATTTTAATAAAAAAATCGTAAATAAATAAATATTCTCAGAGGGAATTTAATAAATTTGGACTTCAATTTATTAAAATTCAATTCAAATTGGACAGGGCTGGACTAGATGAAAGGGCAATCTATCATCGTAATATGCAATATAAAACTCTCTAGATTTGAGCATCAAGATTGGAAAGCAATTGAACAAGACATTTTTTGGTAATGGCGTCGTCTGAAATTAATGGGGCAAATGAATTCGTGCGGAGTGGTTCTGGAAGGCACTGCTTCAACGCATCTTTGGCCCTAATTAGACAATAAAAACCAAACTTTTACTTTGGATTTTCTGATAGCCGTAAATAACATCTAACAACGTGCTTCAGTAGACGAGTCGATGGCATTTCCACAAGTTGGACCGTTATGACATTTAGTACAGATATTAGCAGGTACAGGTGGTCATAGGACTGGCAAAGAAAAGATAGGCCATACTCGTCCAAGAGAGTTTTTTGAATGATGAAGATAGCAACTGTCTTGCAAAGCTCATTTCCGGTCTCCATAATTCGCAAACAGATCGGAATGGCCTCCGTGTTAATAAGGAACTTAATAACATCCGAAGAGTCGTGCTTTACCAATGCTCCAATGATACCAAGCGACGTCAGTCGCAAATACTCGAATGGACGCGACCGAGAGGTCGAAGACAGAATCGGATATAAATAGAGTGGCAGTTGGGCCTGGATAAATTTTATTCTTGTTTCTGAATGAGAAGCAAGACATTGCATCAGGGCAAGCGCGTTACAAACGCGGGTCGATATTGCTGCTGCAAGGGTTGACTGATTCAAAAGGGGGTATATCGATATAACCTCAAAAAGGAGAACCGAAACCACAGCCGGGTTCGACCAGAGGAGAAATGGAAGGGGTTCATATGACTCCCGTATCTTGCTCAACTCTAAGAGGGAGTGATCTCGCTCCTTTGGGGCTATGAGCGACGAAATTAGAGATGAAACTTTTGATTCAGAAATTACGCTAGGGGAGGACATCAAAAACTGAAAATTAAAATTTGAATGTTCAAATTGGAAGTCGAGCTGTTGGGGGTTACAAAAAGGACTGCCTCAACCCTAACCCTCGTTTACAAGGCGACAGTTGGTCAAAGAGATCATTTATTGTGCAGCTATTTTTTGTTGATGACCTTCAACTTTATGGTTTCGTCATTTACAAAAATCCCTTTTCCCTTGTATGGTTCTGGCTTACGAATTGACCGAAGTTTGGCCGCAAAAATATGAAGCTGCTGCTTATCCACGCCTTTCATCTCGATTCTAGTGGGCGAGGTGCAACCTGCAGAAATGCCGGCAGGTATTGGTATTTGTGTGAAATGAGAATATCCAACCTTTAGAATAATTGAATTGTTTTCGATTCTTGCTTTGTATCCAATTCCAACCAGCCGTAAGATGACCTTATGCCCCTATAAAATGAGTGTTTGGAAAATAACCTCTGTGATTCCGATGGCAAAATTGGACAGGAGCTTTTGCGTAGTTCCCCACATGGACTTTACAAATTTTTCTTGGTATTTCGTCACCTTTTGTCCAGAGAGAGATCTGTCAAGATCCAGAGACACAAAAAGCTCTTGTTCGCGTGAAGAGTCGGTGGAAAGTGTATCTGCACTTGCAGCTAGAGTAGGATCCGAATTTGTGTTCAACTTGTGACTAACGACCAGTCCTTTTACTATTGGGAAGGACACAGCACCAAGAGGGCCGTCCATTCTTACCAAGGTAGCATACTCGGTGCGCTTGAAAGTTTTAGAAGAGTCGTCAATAATGGGAGAAATCTCGATCTTAACACTGGCGTCAACCAAAATTGGCTGCTTCCCAATAAATGAGTATAACCGTCGGAACCTTAACAAAGAAGATGCACAACTTGGCTTTGGTAAGAAGGTCATGCCCCCAAAACTAAAATTTAAATTTGAAATTTGCCTAATCGGTACAGCTTTGCAAGCATGTTATACCATGCCATCCCACTAGCTACATAGCCTGCTGCTGGATGTTTTAATTGATTCTGTCTTATAACCACAGTATCTTTATGAAATTTAATAACCATTTTTTGTTTATCTAAAATGCCATTTAATCATTAAGAGTCTAGACTAATGCCGCAATGTTAATGTGGACCAAATATACACGCGTCATTGTGATTTACGTCATCGATACCCTGTAGGTATTCATTGATCTCAAGTTTAAGCTTCAGAGAGTTTTAGAAAGAGCCTCTATTTGATAAGCAGTCTGTTTGATCGGGTTAAATTGATAACCTTTTCAGTGACCTTTTAACGCACTATTTCGACAACACGCAGCCAAGATAGGAAAATTGGCCGGTAGTGTGTCTGGTAGTAATCAAATGAACCTCTTTTGGAGGCTCGACTCGTCTGGTAGACATGACATATTAAAGAGCCGTCTGAAATTTGCTTGTTGGTGTTTCCTCAAAGTTTGGGTCGTTGGTGCATGTTCAAACAGCAAATAAACACCAGGCGGAGCATTAAAAATCAAACCATTTATTAAAATATTCACATTTGTATGGAGTAATTGGCCCCTCGATAGAACACGAAAACGAGACCTAAATTGTAAAATGGCGAATCAATAGTTGATTGTATACCGGACACGAAAAGCAAGGCAACTTGGACAGAGGATTTTCCAGAGAAAACGGCCTTAGAACTTTGTACAAGTAATCGATATCTCCATCCTCAGAGGTGCTTCCAATGGTTTTTTCAATCCTTCCTGAATAAATTAGGGTATCTAGAATGTTTGAGATATCCTCAATCGACAATTCAATGTTAGATATTCCAGAATTGCTAATAAACAAATGGATTTCATCCAAAGATGCATATCCATCATAATTAGAGGGGAAAACCACAGAGGGATCCTTGGGAACAGACTACAAATTAGACCCCAAAATCAGACTACCTTGGAGGCGATAAATTTGAACGACGCTTTGCAGAGGCCCTCTATAAATTCCGAGTCAAGTTCATTGTCGCTGAACCAAGGACCACCTGTGACATCTACCGATGGTTCAATATCAAATAGCATGTATACTTTTTTTGTTGTGTTCTACAATTAGAGCAGGCTCGAACCTTAATCGACTTGATGGACTTTACAAGCTTTTTTGACTCTAAAGCCTTTAGGATCTTTGTTAATACGTTCTGATGCAGATTCGTCTTCATCTTGAGGTCTTTGATCCAAATTCCTACAAAAACATCATAGTCGGTACCTTTGTTTCCAGAAGACTTGATTGTATGATAAGTGATTTTTTCTTCCGAGGATAGTTCGGAAACCCTATATGCGTTAGATAAAAATGTACAGCGAATATTCGGCAATATCTATGAACTTGTATCGCAAATGTGCGCCATGCTTGTGGAATTGGATGACGCCCTAAAGTAAGGAATCACAAATACTTTAGAGGAAAGGGAATTGATCAGCTCAGCGACGTTTGCAATGGTCCATGTTGGAAATTCGGCAAATATATCGTCGTCGCCGATGCCCTAGAATAAAAATGCGGCCCATACATTGGGACACTTGACTCCGAGCTCGAATAGTAGTTTCTCATTTGTGGACAAGTCCATTGAAAAAACCGTAATCCCATAATTGAAATTTTGGGTTGAACATTTAAATTTACAAATCAGGCGCGACATTTTATCTTTGCGCATGGGTAATCTCTATCAGTGACGTTTTAACGGAGGTGAGATTATTGCTAGTTGAAAACTACCCCAATGCCCCGCTCTATGGCTTGCCATAGGGCAATTTTTGGAGGATTGTTTTGCCAATCCATCACCTCAGTAATGATAAAACGATGTAGTTTCCGACCCGACAAAACGATATAGTTTACCAGTCAATAAAAGCATATAGCGTTATAAGCCAGCATCCCAAATTTGCGTTTCTATTATGGTTCGGTGCAGCCGTTTTTCCGTTTATTATTAATCAGTGTAACGGCTTTACCCTAGCCTGCCTGGATAAACCTATCCTTTTTGTGGGTGATAATAGGACCGATTTAGAAGGTGAAAACTGGGACGTTATTTCCAGATCTTTAACTAAGGATGTGGTCTTGGGTGATTTAACATCAACTGCCTTTCGCCCTCTAGCAGCCACTTTGGGCTTGACAACTTTTTTTGGTGGCGCTTTTTTTTTTGAGGCTGCTCTGCTTGCAATTAGCCTGGATTTTAGAGACCCCTCGCCTGCTTCATTCCCAGAACTTTCTTGAGAGCCAGACAATTCTGTCTCACTAGACGAATCGGTGTTGATTTCGTCGTTGTCGTCATCATCATCCATGGTCAACCTGGACATAAATAAAATAATTTATTTTGAAATTTTAATTTATGACTTTTTCAAAGGAGCAAACCGATGATTTTATCAAGTACCTCCTTTTTTAACAATAGACAATGGGAGCTCAAAATGCATGAAAAGGAGCAATCGGAGCTGAAAAAATTCGACACCGAATTGAAAAACATGAAGCTCAAATCGGAGGAGGAGTTGTCAAAAATAAATGCAGAATTGGAGAACAGCCCGACAGAAAAACCAGCAGATATCCTCCCCGCGGGTGGGGAAATTGAAAACGAGGATGGAAATCTTAACTGGCTAGAGATGGTCAGGCGGATTGAAGCAGATATTTCAGAGGGTAAGACCACGCTGTCGGAAGGTCAAAAATTCATGTTAGATTTGATAAAGAAAAAGTCGACGCAATAAATAAATTGTCCCGAAATTTTATTTTTTATGGGTAAAAAAATTAAAACCGAGTCTGCGGTTGCCTCTGAGGTATCGCCCACAGCTGAAAAAGAATCTTCTTGCGATGCTATTGTTCCCGGTACGTTGTCTCCGATAGCCCATCCGCTTGCAGATGCAAAGCTTTACAAAAAGATACTCAAGACCGTCACAAAAGGTATCCCGCGGTTTAAATCACCCATTAGCATCTAAATTCAAGGTTTGTAAGCGCGGCGTCAAGGAGGTTGTCAAAAGCATTAGGACGGGAAAGAAAGGGTACTTTACTGCCATTTTTTTCTAGGCTTGTAATTTTGGCTGGCGATGTCAGTCCAATGGATGTCCTCAGTCACCTCCCAGTTTTGTGCGAAGATAATGCTATTACGTACGTGTTTGTGCCTTCAAAAAGCGCCCTCGGCTTGGCCTCGTCGACTCTTCGTCCAACATGCTGCATAATGCTCCCAGAACCTGACTCCAAATCCAATTCCGAGTATATTTCATATTTCGAGGAAAGCCGTAACAGATGCAAAGATTTGTTGCTTAAAGCAAATTAAACTTTTCCTTTTAAAATTTTGGTTGCCCATATGGTACACACGTTCCAGATGGTATTTAATGGCCTGTCGATGACCTCTTTATTTTTGACAGCCGTCATTATAATTATCTATCTTAGCAACCAAAAAAACGATTTGCTTGTTTTCACAGGAATAGTTATTTTCCTAATCCAGGGGATGATGCTTATGAGCTCCGTTTTTTATTCGAAGAACTTTTCGGACCATGAGTGTTATTCAGGCTCTTATCTTTGTATCATCCAGGCTATTTTTCTGAATTATGCAACGATTTCCCTGCATGCTCTTGTGGCYTGTATGATGTATCATACCTGGCTGCAAGTAATATCCTGGAAGCCCTCACAATATCCATCGCCCAAGTGTGTACAGAGTGAATTGCATTTAGGAATCTCATCGGCGGGTAATGGGTTTTGTTTAAAACAATGGAAGCAAACTGCAAACTCTATCCAATTTGAGGCCAATAATAACTCTCCACAGAGCACTAAAGATGGTATCAAAGAGGACCAAAATCCCGGCGGAGTTTGGAAAAATCTCGGCAAAAGTGCTAGCCCTTATTGTGTCATTAAGAGCTTCCACTCAAAAGATCACGGAAAATTCAAGAAACCACGCCTAGGCACGTTAAACCAATATCTGTTCATCTCGTTCCTGATTCCCGCTTTTCCAACCGTGCTACTGGTCTTTTTTATCCTTGGCTGGGGGTGCCACATGAAAACGATTGTCCAGCCATTTTCTTGCTTTTGCTATATTTCTGGAACCTTTTGGGTCAAATTTTTTACATTCATCGGTTGGTGTCTGGCCTTTTCAATACCGGGACTGGGATTTGCCTTCCATCTTCTATACAAGATGCTGTTTCTACGCGAGCAAAGCATCCAGCTCGGCAGGACCACATATCTTACCAAGGTATCGATTTCTAAGATAGCCCTTTCCACGTTTATCTATTTTCTATGTGTCTTTTCCAACCTCATCCCGCACATCTTTTTTTTCCCAAATGATCCAGAATTCCCACTTAACACATCTTTACTACCAACTTTGTCTTTAAGCGATATGAATCCATATGCAAACAAATATCTCTGCTGGTGGATTACTCCGTGTTCTTTTAAAGATATACAAAACCCCACCCAAATGCGGCAGATGTTCATCAATAGCGAGCTTTCGTTTTTTCAGGACCCGAGATTGGCTTACTACGCATACATGCGATGCCCAACCATTTCGTCGCTGCTGCCGTCTCTGCTTGGAATTGTGTTTTTCCTGATGTTTGGATTTGGAAAACATGCTTTGTCGTTTTATTTAAAAGTCTTTATGAATGTAAAGCATGCATTTTGTCAGGCCCAAGAGGCGGTTTTGAAGTGTAACCCTTTGAAACTGTGTCGGGAAACCTTCTCAAAAAGGAGTTGAGCCTTTGTACAAAATTTACCTACAACAACAAGGGCTTACAAAACGCCATAATCTGTTTATAAATAAAATTTATTTTAACTTGCAAGCCAAACCAAACCAAACCAAAGAAAAGAAACCCAAACCGGACCCAACAACATTCAACTTCAAATTTGCAAGGTTCATTTGTAAACACAAATTTTCAATTCATCCGAAGTTTAAGCTCATACTCTTGGTCCGAACCAATCCAGGTGTTAGAGATGATCAAAATCTTCAGGCACAAAACATCACCAGATGTCGCCTCGCTAGGCACAGAAGCCTGCAATGTCAGTGATAATTCGGCGCTATTTTCTGCTGTTTTAGTCCAAGCCCCAAATGGAAACCTTTTTATTGCCATGATGGACTTTTGGTATCCAACAACGGCCCAACCGCTCTCTTCATCCCTTTGAGAAAACGCTTCTTTTGGGATATTCGGGACAAGTGCATACTTTTGCTTGCCCTCTTGGCTAGGATCCTCCTTAAGGATGGGGGTGAAATCGCCGTCGACCCATGGTCGGCTTATAGCAATTTTAATGTATATCACATCTCCTGCAGAGCATTCATACTCGGCATCTCCATTTTGCGGGTCAAGCATAACAAAATCACACGGTTCGTTGAGCGAAATAGAGTAGGCTACGTTTAAAATAGGGTATTTCTGCGCTGCAATCGTTTGGACTCTAGTAAGGCTTTCAATGGACAATGCAGATCTCAGTTCGGCATTTTCAAGCAGTGAAGGGGGAGCCATCAAAAATTTAATAGCCACTTTAAATTGAAAATTAAAAACTACGAATTTCGCTCACTGCGATGCACATTAATGAACGGCGAAAGGCAGTTTTGGGTCCTGGCGAGTCGGATCCTCTCGGTCCATATGAGGAGGAAATACGCGAAAGAAAGGGCATCTCTGCACGAGATCCAATCAACCAGACCCTATTTAGACAAATGGAACGGAAATTCAAGAAATTCTTGTCCGCTTCCTCGATTGACGACCCGTTGCCTCCAATCGTTTCCGGAAATTTATCCGATGGCGAGCTTCAACAACAATTTAACGCATGTGTGTCTTATGTGTCTCCAAATTTGGATTCCGAATTTGCCGCTGAAGAGAGCATAATTTCGCCCAAGGTGCGAATAATTACATTTCCAGAAATCCCGGGACTGATATATGCTCCATCAATGATACGGTCAAAAAGTCAGCTGCCTTTATTGGTCTCTATAATGAAGGATGGCATGAAACCAAATTCATCATCCAATTTGGATCTCCTATTTCAGGAGGGAGGCAGTTTGGGGACTAAAGCGAAGCCAAACGCGCTTGCTGCCATTCCAACGGAGGGGCTTTTCTCCAAGATTCTTTCACAAACATGGGAAGCCTCTGATGCATTAATTTCGCTGTTCAGGAGATATAGATGGGTTGCCTTGGGGGTACAATATGACTGGACAACCAAGGAATATTCATGGGAGGCACCGCCTTCGCCTATCCCTGCAGAATTGGCAAAGCTTTCAACGGAAATTTGTACAGTACTTGTAGGATCTTCTGGAATCAATTACAAACCCCAGGCTGGGATTATCAATTTTTACCGCCCAGGCGATACATTGACTGGGCACGTCGATCGATCAGAGCCGGACGACCAGTCCCCACTCGTCTCCATAAGCATTGGTCTTGATTGTATTTTTCTTGTGGGCGGCCCTACCAGAGACGACTCTGTACTCCCATTTCGGCTGTCAAGTGGAGATGTTTTGCTGCTCATGAGGGAATGCCGTAGAAATTATCATGGAGTTCCATTGGTAATTCCTGGATCACTGCCACAATGCCTCAAAGCCTCTGCACTTGATGGATGTGATATTTCCGAGGAAGAGTCCCTGGCATTACGATTAATAGATGATGCTCGCATTAACGTCAACATCAGGCAGGTTTGGCCTTCGTAGCATATCCAAGATACGTCCAACAGTAAATTTACTGTACATCACGCGAGTTCTTTTTAGTTGATTGGCAAATACATTTGACAATTTCACCCTATTCATTCTTAGCAGTTTATCAACCATTTGGCATGTTTGCTTCGTCCCCAAAAGGGGCTAGGTTGCTGCCATCAAAAAATCCATTGTCTAGTGCGAAAAAATATCATGTTGAGGGCATTTGTAAAGTAAGTTGCCAAACGACCCGTTGGGCCCGTAACATTTTAAACCGCTTGCTGCCTTGCAAAATGACGCAACATGGTATTTTTCATGGTTAAGAAAATTAAATCTTTTCAAAGTGCTCACTAGATAAATTACAAAACGTACATTGGAATCACTCTGACGATTTCTTGCGGAACCTTATAAAAACATGAAGTCTTTCGAACGTCAGCAAGATTTTTTCTTCGCTATTGGAGAGTATAATACTTTTTAAAATTTTCGTCTTCTAGGACCTTGAGCGCTTATCTTTGGTTAACAATCCAGATCCCGCTAGACCCCCAATTTCATTTTGAGGTTCAACTTTGATGGTTAAAAGGCTATTCTTTAAAGGGCTTGAAAGACCTCGGTTTTTTACGACAAAAGCTCAAGGGAGTCCGTTTAAGCATATCAAATTGCTACATTCAGATGGTTTCAAATGCGGATTGGAGCCGAGGTCTTTTCTTTGAGTCAAGTTTTAGCATTTTCGTTATGATTGCTATGCATTTCTTGCATAAAAGGGTTACAAACGCGTGTTCTCAAATCCCAATAGTCAATGCCAACACTTTACATTTGCAAATTTTTTGGTCTTTTTCATCTTTTCTGGAATAGAAAACCGCGGTTGAAATCCATTGGATGTAAGATCTCTGGGTTTTAGCACACGTCAGAGCACAGCAATTGATCCACTGCTTTTCTCTGGCCGAGTTCTCCAAACTTGATCACAAAATTTAATAGCAATTTTGTACACCTAAAAAAGGGCCGGAAATTCTTGACATACTTTCGGTATGTTATCAAAACTAACAAAAGTAATCGCAAAGGCACAATATCCGTCCATAGCGATCGCAGGTGATTCTTTATGAGTATAATAATCATACCCTGGTATGTTCATAGTGTGATGATTTCCTCACATTTTCTATTGATCGATATGTCGGTGTTCCCTTTTCTTCAGCCCTGTCCACAACTAAAAGGAGAATGGAAGGAATGAAGGCGGCTATGAAAGGGATAACGCTAACTATGGAAGGAAAAGCCAAACTCTTGGAGCCCCCATTTTTGTAGTGTTCTTCAGAAAGCTGTTTTCTTGCCTCTTATAGATGGCTTTTTACTCGGGTCTTGGCATCAAATGCAAGCCCTAAATCAAAGAATTACTGAAGGACCAATTAGCTCTGGTCAAACGGCCTGTTTATCAAAGATCCTTAAAGGATTCCATTTATCGATGTAGCAATAATACTACTGAACATGCATTATGTAGATGCTGTGAAAAATTCTCCGTGCATCTCGGGCTTCTAGTAATATCGGTTTGTTAGTCCAGCTCCTCCATCACTAAACGACATTGTTGATAGGCAAAAATATTTCAAATTAAATTTTCCAATGCCTTGTGCACATGAGGGCTTGATAAAATGGCAAGCCAGGATTTAAGCTTGCCAGTGTACTTTAGATTTGTAAAATTACAATATTTTAATTGCATCCCGATCATGGAAAAAATAGAGGATATCATCCGACAATCTAACATTCTTTTCGAGGTAGGCTTGATTTTGTTTACGTCCCAGTCTGAAAACATCTCTTCAGCAATTGCATATCTTTTGGTTGCAGAGAAACACGCCAGACAAAACGAGCTTGCAAGTGAAAGTGCACTCATCACCAACCATATTATGTCGCTGTGCTTAAACTCGGGCGATTTTGAGCTCTACAAGTCAACGCTAACTACGCTTTGCAAAAAAAGAGGCCAGCTCAAACAGGTACGCCATTCGCTAACTTTTAGACCATCACTTCCCTAGTGCAGCTGGCTCTAGAGCAGCATCTGACATTAGAGCGTGACAATGGCAGGCGGGAATCGCTTATTGAAGTCCTGCGGGAAATCACCGATGGAAGAGTATCTTTTTCCCTAATCAATAGGTCTTTGTGGAGGCTGAACGTGCCAAGCTTGCCTTGTTATTAGCCCGCATTTATGAAGCCGATAAAAAGGATGTACAGGGCGCCGCCCGTATTCTCAACGAAATTCAGGTAGCTTTTGTGTCCTATTTTTCAGATTGAGACCTTTGGCTCTCTAAACCTTCAATCAAAGCTGGAGTTTTTACTTGAGCAGATGCGGCTGACTCTTGAAATTGGCGACACGACAACGGTCCAGATTTTGTCAAAGAAGATGGCCCCTAGGGCCTTTGACGAGCATGAGGCTCTTCGAGCCCGCTACTATGACTTGCTTGCCTGCTGTAGTCTTCGGCAAGGCGAGTATCTTGCCTGTGCCCGCGCCCTCAAAATGATCTTGGAAAGTGCTGTTTCTAATTCGGAGTTACAGGAGCGCTATCCGCTTTCCGGGCTTTTGGAGAAAATCATTTGTTTTGTGGTTCTGGCCCCATACTCTCCAGAGCAACAGGATCTCTTGCTCTCCATGAGCAACGACGAACGTGCGCAGCAATTGTCTATCCCGCTCTTCTCAATTTTGACTCTCTTTAAAGAAGAGCTGCTGATTCCATCAAGCTCCACTACACAACGTTACGGGGCAGACCTGCAACGTGTAGCCGGTTCAAAGGCTGTTGCTGGACTCAAGGAACGCATCATGGATCACAATTTGAGGATCATTTCAATTTATTATAAGCGAATCTCGCTCGTGCGCCTCTCGCAGCTCCTGATGCCGGATGGTGAGTTTCTAATGGCAATGTACCTCCCATCGACCTCTTATTCTTTTGAATCTCTTTCAGATACATCGCTGTCGGCTCCCTCTATTTCGTCAATCGAATCGCCTTTGGCGCTTTCCAAGCCATCAGGGTTTACTCAATTAGAATTGGCAGAGCGACAATTAAGTTCGGTAATCGCTAGGGGTATTTTGGCACCAAACATTGAGGCAAAGATTGACAGAATCTCAGGCGTGGTCTCCTTTGAAAGAGCTTCCACATCCGTCGCTCTAGCTTCGTGGGTTGACGGCACCGGTAAAATGCTCAAGGACGTGGTTCATCTCAGCCAGCTGATTGCAAAAGAGGAGGCAGTCCGCCAAGGCGTCCATACTGTCAGTCAATAGATAATATAGGCTCCGGATATTTCAGAACAGTCAGCGTAGCTAAACAACTAAAATCAAAAAATTAAACTCAGGCTAACAAGCCAACAAAGCAAACGGCAGTTGGAATTGAAAAGGGGTGCACTTGAGGATTTAGGGTTGGGTTTTAATTAAAATCCTGCAATTAAAATTCACAATTTAAACTTATGCCCTTCCCGGATGATGCTCACCCTGAAGCCGTAGATGACGAGCTTATGCGCATCAGAGCCAAACGAGCTGCTCTCTCATCAGCTGCAATGCTTCCAGAGATCGTGCAAGTGTCAAGCGATTCTTTAGAAGAGGAGCTTTATGTGGAGACAATCGAGGAGACTAATGATACATACACCAGCGACCAGCCTCACCATATGGGCGACGAGCTACGCCAAATATCTCATGAAAAAATTATTGCAAAAAGAGAGGATGAGTATCATTCAAGAAGGCGCCTACGTACCCTTTCACCCTCGCGCGCAGATCCCTTCAGTAAGATTCGGCATAATGCTGACGAGCAGCGCTCTTATGCGGATGTTCTCGCAGAGGGAAAGCTTGCTCGCGAGCAGGCCTCACTGGTACGTGAGCTCAGGGGCTCATATCGTCAACGCCAACAAGATGTGTTGGAGCACAGCACTATGCATTTCGAGGGAGATATTACACGTCCAGCAAAACGACAATGGGAAATGTCACCATCCTCCGTTGTGGCCGCTGTACCAACAGAAGAAACCCCGGTTAACAGTTCAGAGTGGGAAGATGATGAATTACGGGCCCCTGATAGCCAAAGCGGGAAGGCTTTCTCATCAGGGGAAACCCCATTATCTGCAAGTGGCACTCCATTATCTTTAACGAGCACACCACTTTCAAGTGTTTCTTCGACATATTCAAGACTTACACGGTGGGATGCCACGCCTGCTCTTTCTGAAGGCATGGGGACGACACCAGTACGGGGCAACAACTGGGCAGCAGGAGCCACACCTTTGGCAGCGTCTTTGGCGCCAGGTGAAGAGACACCATTACGCTCCGATGTAGGGGAAGAAACTCCAATGCGAGTATTGGGACGGATGTCTGCATCAGTCTCGACCATTTCCCAGCTGAATATGGCAGCCCGCAATGCGTTCCTTTCAGATGACGAGCTTGATGTAATCCTGCCCTCTACCGGATATTTGATCGTAGATATGCCAGCATCGTACGAAGCCAAACGCCATCCCCACACAGAGTCTATGCACCGAAAAAGCCCTGCAGCAGAGCTGGGCCTCTTTGCACTTGGTGGTGAAAGCTCATCATTTATGGCTGATGGTGGATGGGGCACGGATTCCACTGGTCTTGGCAGCGGGCTTCCGCCGATGAAGCCCGACGACTACCAGCATTTTGGTGCCCTTCTTGGAGCCATGGATAGAACGGGCGAAGAAGTTTCTTCGCTGACACTTGTCGAAATTCGAGAGCTAAAGTTATTGCGCTTGCTACTAAAGCTCAAAAATGGCACGCCGCCTATGCGCAAGATTGCACAGCGACAGATTGTAGAACGTGCACGCGAGTTTGGGCCTGCTCTGCTTTTCGACAAAATTCTGCCATTACTAATGAGCCCATCGCTGGAAGATGGGGAACGTCATTTGCTTGTCAAACTTATCGATCGAATATTGTTTCGGTTGGAAGACGGGGTCCGTCCCTTTGTGCATAAAATCCTCGTAGTTGTGGAGCCTCTACTGATAGACACAGAGCGAGCTACGCGAGCAGAAGGCCGCGAACTTATTTCCAATCTTGCAAAGGCAGCTGGCCTGGCTACTATGATCGGTGCCATGCGGCCAGATATTGACCATCCAGATGAATATGTGCGGAACTGCACTGCACGAGCATTGGCCGTGGTGGCAATGGCCCTCGGAATTCCAGCTCTCTTGCCTTTTCTTGCAGCTGTGTCTGCTTCGCAGCGCGGCGGATGGGAAGCACCGCACACGGGCATCCGCACTGTGCAACATATTGCGGCAATGGCAGGCTGCGGAGTGCTTCCACATCTACGCGAACTTGTCTCATGTGCCTCCGCAGGGCTTGTTCTTTCAGCAGCGAGTGAAAAAAACAGGCTATCAGACGGCGACAGAGATAGCTCTGTTTCAGGGCCGCCAGCAAAGGTGCGCACGGCATCTGCGTTAGCGCTCGCTGCATTAGCAGAAGCCTCTGCGCCTCATGGTATTGAAGCTTTCGAAGGCGTGTTGCGGCCGCTTTGGCTGACCATCCGCCAGGCTCGCGGCCGCGCTTTAGCTGCCATGCTCAAAGCTATTGGGGCCATCATCCCGTTGATGACAGAGGAGTATGCCTCGTACTATGCGAGAGAGCTCATACCGGTTGTGGTACGTGAAATGGCCACTCCAGACGACGACCTTCGACGCACAGTGATCAGCGTTGTGCGTCAAATGGCCGAAATTCCTGGAGCGCTTGGAAGTGCACTTCTCCATTCAAAGATTTTGGATCCATTCTTTAAACACCTTTGGACACGGAGGCTCAGCGTCGATAGACGTACCGTCTTTTTGGTGGTCGAAGGTGCCTTGGCAATTGCCAAACGCGTGGGAGCTGGTCCCGTTACTAAGCTGCTGCTTCCAGCACTTAAAGATGAGGCAGGTAGTTTTCGACGCATGGCATTGGAGCTGTTGGAGCGTTTAGTCCGCGCTCATGTGCCAGTGGGCTGCCTACAAGCAGCAGGTGCCGACGCTGAGCCCACTCGTTCTGTCGCGCTACTGGTTGACAGTCTTCTTTTTGCGCTACAACATGAGGATGAAGAGGAAGAAGAGCGCGATGGACTTTCGCGTGTTGCGCGGGCCATGGGTGTGGCCCTTGGAGCTTGCGGTGCATGGATACGTCCACACCTTGGAGGAGAGATCTCCTCCATGCTGCTGTGGCGCCTCAACAACAAAAGTGCGCGCATCAGACAGCAAGCGGCAGATGTGATTGCCGAGCTAGCGCCGCTCTGGATTGCCTGTTCGGAAGACGCGGCATTACAGAGGCTCGCCGGGGTGCTTTTTGAGTACCTCGGGGAAGAGTTCCCAACCGTGCTGGGTTCCATTATCCGCGCCTTACATGCCATCGTCAAAGCATTAGGTACCTCGCGCATGCATCCGCCCATCAAGGATTTGTTGCCGCGCCTAACACCGATTCTAAAGAACCGGCACGAAAAGGTGCAACTTCATTGTATTGAGCTTGTGGGTCGCATTGCCGGTTCGGCCGCAGAAGCTGTGTCACCACGCGAGTGGATGCGTATTTGTTGGGAACTGCTAGAAACACTACACGCACACAGGCGCGCCATCCGCAGAGCAGCTATTCTGTCTTTTGGACACATTGCTAAGGCCATTGGGCCTCAAGATGTGCTCTCGACGCTGCTGGCCAATCTACGCGTGCAGGAGCGCCAATCCCGTGTATACACCACCATTGCCATCGCCATTGTCTCAGAGGTATGACACGATCATTTGCCTTTATTTTGTTGCTTGTCAATTGATTTTGATGCGCTCTTGCTTTCACTTTCGAGTTACTTATGGTTAGGTATGTGCCCCGTTTACGGTGTTACCCGCATTGATGGCTGAATACCGAGTGCCCGAGCTTAATGTTCAAAATGGTGTGCTAAAGTCCATTTCTTTTCTTTTCGAATACGTCGGCGAGGTCGGCATCGATTACCTTTACGCGGTTACACCGCTGCTTGTCGATGCGCTCATGGACCGGGACCATGTCCATCGGCAGACCGCTGCCGCTGCTGTGCGCCACGTGGCTTTGGGTTCTGTCGGCCTCGGCTGTGAGGATGCCCTGCTTCATCTGCTCAATAACGTTTGGCCAAATATCTTTGAACAATCGCCACACGTCATTATGGCGGTGGTAGATGCGCTGGAGGGGCTCTCCCTGGCCCTGGGTCCCGCCACGGTCTTTTTATACCTTGCGCAAGGGCTCTTTCACCCTGCTCGGCGCGTACGGCAAGCCGCATGGCGCGTCTATAACATGCTCTACGTGCTGGGCCAGGAGGCCTTGGTGCCGCTTTTTCCAAGTCACGGAGACGTGCTAGACGCACAGCGGTATGGTCGCGATCATCTGTATCTTGTGCTTTGAATCTAAAATAATTAAAACAGGCAATTTAAGTTGACTAGCCACTAGTTAGGTACGAATGGCGTTTCGCATATCAAGTCGCCAGCAACGGTGGGAGCCCGAATTTCCGCTCTTCATTGGCCAATCGCACAGCTTTAATTTTAATTTAATTGATGCGCTTGCGTATCATTTTGCTTGGCCAGCTTCTTTCGGTCCTCAATGCAGCATCTCAGCTCTTTTCTGAGGTGCTCAACAAAAGGCTGCTGGTCGACCTTTCAGGCATACAACCTCTCATTGCATACATAGGCATTTTTCTCGTCAGCTGCCCTTTTTTCTTCTTTCTGCGGAGAAAGAGCACGTGTAGCGAAAAGGGTAAAGATGGTGAAACCTTGGCAAGCTGTGAGGATCGTTTGATGGGGGTCTGTTCGCCCCACATGTCTGCCCTTAACCGAACAGATATCTGGAAACATCTGGCTGCAGCATTGCTGGATTGCAGCGCAACATTTCTGGTCGTCCGCTCTTTCAGACATCTCTCAATTTTCCACGTGGTGTTGCTATTGTCACTCTCGACACCCTTTTCCATGATCTTCTCTGCATTGCTTCTCAAGAGACGATTTTCAATGCTGCAAGCCTTTGGAGCCGCTCTTTCGCTGGTTGCCGTTTCAGCATTCATTTTGTTTCCAATGAAAGGAATTTACGAACACCAGAACCCGAGACCCGTAAACACCGGCTCTTTAACCATGAAAGCCGAGAACGAATCCGGGTCTTGGGAATATACATTGGGATTGGCAATGGGCGCCTCTTCCGCCGCGCTTTATGCGCTCTCAAATATTGCACAGGAGTTGCTTATTAGGCGCAATGGGATTCTTTCTTTCCTATTCTGCCTCGGTCTTTTTGGAACTATCGCCTCACTTGGCCTGTGTCTCTTGATAATCGAAAATCCAATCGGACTACTCCGGTCGCTTTTTGAAGAGCCTAATGGAGAGGGGGAAGGCATAGCGTCTTTTCTCTGTCTCATGGGATTTGGTGTTTCCTTGCTTCTTTTCTACTGTATAAATCCTCTTTTTTTGCGCGCATATGGGGCCACGACTTTCAATCTCTCTCTGCTCACATCAATTATATATAGCAGTGGCGGTACCGCCTTGTGGTGGTGGCTGGGATGGCGGTCGGCCGATACAGAGTTCAATGGAATGGGCGCCTTTCTGATCCAGTATGCGATGGTTCTTGTCGCCGTGCTTCTTGGTCAGTATCTTTTTCTCAGGAAAGATTGCAAGCAAAATTTGATGAACGCTGGCCGAGTGTTCGACACATCATAATGCCGGTTTAAGGCTTTCTAACTCCGCCTCGGGAAGGGCATCAAAAATGGCCTATTAATTTATTCGCAATGGGGTTTGATGTCTTTTAAATTTAATGGCATTAAAGCGCGTTAAAATTGCAGTTTATTAAATTTGCTTCAAATCGTAAATCGTAACATCATCCGGAATGGTGGAGAGGATTTTTGACTCTACACTCCCGCTTTACGTTGTCCCCATTCCTGCACATGCCGCCATAGCAGCAAATGCAGGCACAGACGGAGCATCTTCCTTCGGGATCAGCCCTTTGGATCAAGACTCCGTCCCAGGCGCATATGCATCTTCTAGCTCGCTTATGACGACTTTCCTTCCGCTCAATTTTTGGTTAATGGCCTCGCCTGCGGGAATCTCTGGAAGTTCCTCATCACCATTGGGTTCTTATACTACTACATGTACCCGCCGGCAGTTGTCCGTCCAACTTGAGCGCGGGAAATCGGATGGGCAGCGAGTAAGGCGAATTGTAGCTTATCAGTAGTGGATGGCGCTCTCGATTACAGATCCCACGGACCCCCTTTTCTATTATGAACAGAGACTCGACGAAGAGGGTTATGGGCGCATGCGCGCGGAACAGCAAATACTGGTTCCTCTTGAATCTTTTACAGAACAATTGGCAGCCTTCCTGAAGGCCACGGCCCCACCGCACAATAATGGCGGTGCGGCAGCACCTGTTATGCCTCCAAAGTACATTTTTTTGTCATGACGTAGAATGGCCGCCTGTCTTGCGACACATGCCGCCGGCTGGGCCCTTTTTCAAATCATCGAAACGTCCTCCTTCAAGCACATTGTGCATCTCTCGCTTAGGGTTGATCGTCTCTCTGACGATGGCATGAAGCGGCGACTTGCACAAATGGCTATCTCAGCCCTGGCAGAAGTGAGCGCTCTTAAGGCTCGTCTTTCGGAAACACTTCGCGACACGGACTCCTTTACACATTCCATTACTGCCGAGAGAGATGCCCTTAGGGCATCTCTAGATGGTCTTTCCTCTTCACTTGAGAAGCTTGGACGAGACGGGAGCACTGCCCAAGGCACTACTACCATGCTTGGACCACTTGCGGAGCGTATTGCCTTGCTTAAGGATGCCCTAAGAGATCGAGACCTTTCTATGGCGCGGAGTTCAGAACTGGAGGCAACTCTTCGTAAAAGAGATGATGAAATCGCAGTGCTAACTGCATCAGTCACCAAATTGAGGGACGAACTTTCGCGCGTCGATACGCTACGCTCAGAGCTTGCACGAAAACGTGCGCTTTTGGAGGAAATAGAATCTGTTTCAGCTGAGCGGGAGGAGCGCATCGTCGCCCTTAAGACAGAGCTACGTGCAGCTAAAGAGGCAAAGGTATTTTGTCCTTTTGATTCGTGTAGATCAAAGCAGAAGAAGAAGCTGCTTGCAATGTCGCCAAAATCTCGCAGCTTGACACGGAATTGTCGATGAAAAGTGATGAGGCCCTTAAATTGACCGAAGAATTGGTAACGTTTCAGGCAGAAGTGCGCGCAGCTAAGGGAAAAACTCGAGCCAAATCTGCAATTATCCATTCCAAGTCGCAGGAGCTTGAGGCAGCGCTTTCCAATCTCGCTGAAGAGAGGGCAAATATTTCTCTGCTGACTGAGGCGTTGAATTCTGCCCAGGAGCGCATTAGTCAGCTCGAAAACGAAAACAAGGACCTAAGGGGCAGGATAGACAAGTATGACAGGGGTAAGAGATCAGTTTAAGTCAACTCTAGTTTCTGAGTGGATGCGACGGCGATTAGGTGGCGAAAGCGAGGTAATTGCCCCGCCCACTGCCTCTGCTTTTCAAAAAAAGACTGGTGCTGGCGGCGCAAACACGCTTGCAGATCTGCATTCAATGATCACCAGATTGGGAATGGCCACACCTGGGGGGCATTTATCTTCAAATCCTGTAGGAACAGCCATATCACCCCCTCTTCAAAGCACATCATCTTTTAGCCCTGTCGAGCCAGGCGATCTCCCTACCCCTCCACAGCCCTCCGGGCATCTCATATAATCTGCGAATCCAGAAAATTGCGGGATACCGTTGCTATTTTATTGATCTTTACATGGGAAATTTTCCGAGTTATGAGATTCGCAATAAATGACGGAAATACCTTAAATAGCCGATTGCCTTCAATTTCAAGGGTTTACACGCGCCAATCCATTTTCAAGCGAGCGTTTAAAAAATTAAAAAGATAGAACCTACAGCACGCAGTATTCCCATGCGGTCACCCATCATAGTACTGACTGCGCCAGCACTGGCTTGACTTCGGGGATCGGACGAGACCCGGTGTTTTCCAGTGTGTATGGCCGTAGATATTGAGCTGATAAAATAATTTAATATATTAATAAATTTTGAATATGTATCCGTATTATCAACACTCACCGAGACCTTTTGCTTGTATATATACACGTTGAAGCTTTTATAGATGGGTTAATTGATTGTTTTTCATCGGAATCAATATGTAGCAAGGTATATATGTTTATTCTTGGAACATTGATAATTTATTTATTTATTTATTTAATTTTTATCCCATATGCTTCGTCCCAAAAAGCCTCTTTCTTCACCTGGACAGCTACTAACGAAGCAACCCGGCCTAGAAAAGGCTCGATCTTCAGGCGAAAATGATCTCGATAGAAATCTTTCCTTCATTAAGGTTTCCAAGAGAGGTTCTGTTGTCCCTGTTGTCAAAGAAACTTATTTTAGAAAAGCTACTTCATGTGGGGTTTCATCATGCAAAGCATGTGGCACAGATGGCCTTTTATCACACATTCCTCTTTTAATTCCAGATACGAATATCTGCTTGCATGAGTTTGACCTTTTGGCGCATCGATCCGTTTCATCGGTCATCATTCTCCAAACCGTTCTAGATGAGGTTCACAAGCGAAATATTAACGTGTATGAAAATCTACGTGATATCATCCGTAAAGAGCCCAATAGATTTTTTGTTTTTACCAATGAAACTTTCCAAGATACCTTTGTCGAAAGGTTCGATGGCGAATCGTCTAATGATCGGAATGACAGAGCCATTCGAACAGCGGCGGCTTGGTATCAAAGCCATTTGCAAGCCGAAAAAATCTGCTCTTCACAAAGTGATATCGAAGAATCTTGGAGTTCGGATGCATCGCCCAATTTTTCTCCTGACAAGGCTGTTTGTAGGAAATTAATCCCTTCACGCGTGATTCTTGTTACCAACGATGTCGCAAACAGAGAGGCAGCACTTTGCATGGGCATTGATGCCAAATCAGGTATGTGTATTTTGTTTTCTTTTTTAGCCCGCTCTTTTGTTTTACATTTGGCTACCGCCCACACGCCAGAAATCATTTCGGAGCTTCTTGATCTGCTACACGTTTCCGATGATACTCCATCTCCATTTGATTCGGATGTGCTGTTTGATGCATATGTCGATACAGAGGTTCTCTCTCACAACATGAAAAGCAACCAATTCTATCGTGGAATGCTGAATATTTCGCCCTACAACATCAACGAGGTTACGATTTTTCTTAATTTCTAGGGATCCATTGTAACTTGCATTGATGGAGTCTCAAGCTCCATCCTCATTGTTGGAAGTCAAAATTTGAATCGAGCTATTAACGGAGATGTTGTTGCTGTGGAGTTGACGTCAGCGTCGGATGACATTTTCTTCGAGTATGTGACCATGGGCGATGATGATCCGCTTGCTCAAATGGAGGATGCAAGGGCGGCTTTAGGTGCTGTTCGCCGTTCACAGAAACTTTCTGAAAAGCTGAATCTTCGGTATGGACGTATAGTTGGCATTATGAGCCGGCCCAGACGCAGGTATTAAAAAGTTTCTTAGGCGATGTTTAGAATTTGTGGATCCTTTCTTCCGGCATCCACTACTCATGTCACTGCCTCTGATGCTGGAAATACCACGGGATGGTACATTTTCCGTCCAGTAGATCGACGATTTCCTTCGCTATATGTCCAATCTACCCGATCGCTCACATTTCTGCTTCCATATCGCATCCAGGTGGCTGTAGATGGATGGCCGGCTACCTCTCGGTTGCCCAGGGGGCACCTCATTTCAATCATAGGACTCTCTGGTGATGTCGATGTGGAAACCCAAGTAATACTACTGGAAAATGAGGTTCCATTTGCGCCATTTTCAGAAAAGGTGCTTTCATGCCTGCCGGAGGCAACCTGCGGCAACGAAATTCCTGTACAGTGCAATGAAATCGAAAGCGTTAGGCTAGATCTCAGGCACTTGCCCTGTGTCTGCTCAATTGATCCACCAGGGTGTACAGATATTGACGATGCTCTACATGCGACCATTTTAGATTCGGGGAGTATCCAGGTCGGTATCCACATTGCAGATGTCGGGCATTTTGTGCACCAAGGCAGTGCATTGGATATCGAGGCTGCAAACAGAGGCACCACGGTTTATCTTGTAGATAGGCGCATTGACATGCTTCCAGAACTCCTAGGATCAAGTGCCTTATTGGTTGAGATTAATATGTAGATCTTTGTTCCCTGATTGCCGGTGTAGATAGATACGCACTCTCCTGCATCATTGAGATGGACCTTGAGGCTCAGGTTAAAAAGGCCTCTTTCACCAAGTCGCTGATAAAAAGCGCTGCTTCTCTTACGTATTCCCAGGCCCAGGAGATTTTGGACGAAAAATGCGATGAAGATGGGATGTCTTTCCTGAAAAAGCCGGCCTCAACATCGACATGCACACCTACTTTGGCGTGTTCTCCCTCTTTGGTGTTGAAAAATAGCATTCGGCTGCTCAATTTTCTCGCTCAGAGGCTACGATCAAGACGCATGGAGGCCGGTGCGCTAACGCTTGCCTCCTCCGAAATTAGGTTTGAATTTGAAAGTGGCGAGCGCAAAGGAGCGGATCCCCTGGGAATTTCCTCAAAATCAGTCACCCCTGCAAATGAGCTGGTGGAGGAGTTCATGTTGCTCGCTAATGTTGAAGCGGCCAAGCTGATATATTCTGCATTTCCCGATCAAGCGCTTCTTCGAAGACATCCGAGTCCTCCGGACAGCAATTTTGCCTGGCTTCTGTCTGCATTGAAAGCATGCAACTTGCCTCCTTTAGACATTTCGTCGTCAAAGCGGCTCGGCGAGACCCTGGATCTCTGTGATGCTGCTTTACTGGTTCATCTTGGACAGGGTTCAAATGCATGTTTGCCTCCAGAACCGAGCCCTATTTGCTGTTCAAATCAACAGACCAAGCTCCCACCAAAGTCTTCAAATCAACAGGTCAAGCTCCCACCAAAGCTTGATTCTCCCCTTCGGTTGATGGCGACGCGTGCCATGATGCAGGCAGTCTATTTTTCCTCTGGAAGCGCACCATCTCCATCCGAGTTTTGGCATTATGGACTGGCGGCACCAATATATACCCACTTCACGTCTCCAATCCGACGGTATTCCGATGTGATCGTCCATCGCCTTATTAGCTTAGCCCTGTCACTGGAGGATACAAACTCGGGCACAAAGGCGCTTTCACGCGGCGATTTGGAAAAAATATCTACCCTTCTCAATCATCGCCATCGACGGGCACAACTTGCATCCAGGGCAAGCACAGACCTCTTTACATCCCGGTTTTTGGAGCGGCCTGGCGAGACCGATAAGGTCCTTTTGGCAAATGTCGTTCGTGTTGCCCAAAATGGGCTTGTACTCCTGATACAGTCTTTTGGCATCGAGTGCTTCCTAAAATTTGCAATGCCACAGCCCCCTTCAGACGCGCTTCCCATATATGATGCGGAAATGATGGCATGGAAGCAGGCAGCCACCGGGCAGATTTTCGTTCAAATTTTTGATTCCATCAACGTGCGGCTGCATGTTTACAAGTGTCCAAAAAACTGCACCACAAAGCTATTTGTGCAATGGGTTGATGTCCCCGACCCCATGAATATCCTTCTCCCGAAAGAATATCCCTTTTTGTCTGATTCCGCTTCGGGACATGCGAAGAAGCCGAAATTGATCGCATAAGTTTAGCAAATTGATCCGATAAGTTTAGTAAATTGACAAATTTAATTGTTTGTAATAATGGTCGACTCCCTAACTGGTGTCTACGACTGCTTCCTCGTTGTAGGAGAAATATTTTGGAATCAAGAGACCCCGGACGATGGCCATGTTCAGCATGATCAAAACCGAAAAAAAGAATACTTTTGTCCAACGATGCGTCCAGAAAATAATACACACTTTGATAAAGACAACGAAAAACAATCCACCATATTTAACAGCAGTCAACATCCTGATGGAAGCGATCCTATCACAGCCGCACAGCTTCATGGGACTGTTTTCGGCGGCTTTTTTTAATGGATCTCTGATGGATTTCCAAAAACACCGTGAAATCAAGGAAGTAAAAGGCCAAACAAAAATCGTTCCCAGGTTGAGCAATTTTCCCAAAAATGTCAGCTTCATAACAGAAGGTTTAATGCGCGACTTTGAAGTACCCTTTTCTCCATCTTGACTTTTTTGAGAAAATGCACATACCTTATTAGGAATCTCAAATGGATGAATGATATCGTATTGAGAATTTTCAGTAAAAAGGTTCTCGCACGCACTCCGCACTTTTTCCATGATTTGATCAGCTTTAACAGGCGATTCAAAGGGGATTCTAGCTCCAATAACTATATTCACGTTTATCGGATATGCATACGCACACTCATAGTTAAGGAGTATTGGAACTACTGATGCCTTTCTAAACCATTTATCTTGGAAAAACTGTTCGATTATGCTAGCAAATCCAGGTTTAAATTCTTGCAATTGATCGTTATCATGGGAGCCTCCTTCTGGAAAAATTATAATAGAGCCTCCAGACTCTAAAACTTTCTTGCTCTTTTTTTTGAAAGCTTCATTATTGTATTTTTCGATCAGATAATATTTTTCTTTTTTCAGGCTTATTGGGGTTGTCTCATTTGTAGAATTAAAACACTCTTGATTTTGCTTATTTTTAAAGAAATATTTCCTTCCATCGAGATCTAATACTGCCATAAAGCTATCAGCATTTTGAATATTATGAGAGCATATAATATTGTCCTTAGTTACTTCTATCTCAATATCACAAGTTCCTTTGTAACGATGGTCATCAAGTCTCTCGGCAGAAATTGATCCTGTAAGGAAACTACATATTTTCAAAATGATGTTATTTCGAGAGCTTTCTGCTATCACTGGATTCGGATATATTCCTTTTTTATAGAAAAAATCCAACAAAACAATTGCATCCATAAACTGGTTGGAATGAGGAAATACCACATACACTGTCGGAGATGTTTCCTCGCATTTTTCATCCCCAATTATGCTCGAAATAGTTTGGGTTTTATCAATAACAACAATATTCCGAAAATTGAGGAATGCCGTGACAGAAAAAAGACAGAAAATAAACAGTTTCCGGATCCATGTAAAATAGTTTTGAAGGATCATCGAGGCTTAAAAAACACTGCCCGCTAAATGAGCTATGGACTAACATGTGAGGGTCAGGTGATCGCCAATTAATAATATTAAACCCAAAAGAAGATGTACACGTTATTTGATAGCAAAAGCTCTCTTTCAGAGAATTGAACCCCGGTCACCCGCGTGACAGGCAGATATACTAACCACCATACTAACAAAGATGTATTGACATCCGATTTTAAATAATTAATATCTGTAATGTTTGGGTAAGCGAGAATGTAAATTGTTTAACCTGTTAGGGCTAGGTTTTTTGTATGTCAAATTTATTCGATCCATTGAAGCGGAGCAAGTAGCCTTCTTCCGTGAGCACATACAAAGGGAAACGAGCAATTGGCCAATTTTTCAAGCATCATACCCATTTGTCGTAATGATAGTCTATCTCCGAATTTAACAGCACCTAAAATGGTAAGCTTAGACGTCTACCATGGCAAGCAGTGCTCTTCATAGCATTGTACAATGAAGTTGGAATGTGTTGAAATGCATATTGCTCGCTTGAGATATCAGCTATTATTGCGCGGATAAGCTTAAGGATCGATTCATGTGACTGAGCAACAAGAAAGGAGGGGATGGAGGCAAGTGATACCTCGACGTTTGGATATGAATTCTTCAAAACAGACCTGAACCCATAGCCCTCCAAAGATGTCAGCATGCAGCTTAACGAAGCGTGGGTGGCATGATACTGACAACTATAATCCAGCGGCGTTTCAAATGCAGCCTGCTCATTACTAGTTAGTATCTTTTCAAGACGAATTCTTTCATCCACAGCATGCTGGTCAAAAGCTATCAATATCCTTCGAGTCGAGATATTTGCAATTCCCAAAATGACCTGATGAAGGCCATCTTGTCCTACAATTGTGACATCGGAAATCAAAGAGGAGGAAATGAAAACACCGTTGGAGAGAGAAGGGAGGGGCAATATTTGGATATCACGAAGGGTATCATCAATTTCCTCATCAATGCTATCTTTGACGAGCTCTTCTTTGTACGCATCAATAAGATAGCGTTGAATAGACGTCAGCAACTACACTCACAAATAAATGCTTACATCTGGCGGGGCTTTTGATACTTCCAAGAGGTCGCTTTTAGAGACATTTAAGCCGATTTGATCGATAACCAAGAAAAAGTCGTAGCATCTATTTTTTATAGAGTGGGCTGAAGTGATGACGGATGGGACCGGGTATCTCAGCTTTTGCAACAGTTGATTGAGAAGAAAAAGCAATTTAAATGGGGAGCTCAAAGTTGAAGTGAACATCTTTTTTTGGTGCCCTATCAAGTTGGTACAAAACCTTAACTGCATGATCTAATGGGCGAAAAAGAGCTCGTGTTTGCAGAAACAATGCCTTTGAGGGAGAAAAAATTTGGAAATGAAATATCTATGCATGCAAATAGACCAGGATCGATAAGCGGATTTTTCCATAAAAAAGAGAGCCCAGAAAGTCTTAAATAAAACGCCGCATAGAGCGCAAGAAGTGATTCTTCTTTGCAAGAATCTCTCTTAAAAGTGAAGAATGTTGTTGAATCAAGTTGACCATGAATATGGAAACGACATTCGCTAAAAAGAGCAACATATGCAGATAGAATAAATACCAAATCAACAAATAGAGACTGTTTGTTAATGGCAGCGAATCGCTTTCTTGCATATTGGCACTCAAATATCCTATCAATTGTGACAATAGATAGGGGCAGACGGTTGATCCATTCAATGAGCTTTGTCTGACCTGCGTTTGGCCATCCCACACACTTCAACACAGAGTTTTTCTAAAAACAGCTAGAGGGACCAATGCAATACATGGAAAGTGCTTTTGTCCCAGACGCACCCATCGACTGTTGCCAACAAATTGATGCGGCAAGCAAACGAAACAAGCGTGTCTACAAACAATAAAGCCCAATTATAGGAGACCATTAAGCGTAATATCTTTGCTATCAACAAGAAATTGGAATTCCTCTTTTTGAAGATCGAAATGGAGAGAGAGAGACGTAGACCCCACATTGATGCCTATAAATCAGCGGAAAATCCCAACAATGCTGCAGTATAAATGAAACAATGGCTTGAACGGATGGAAATTTGCACAAAGCCTGGAGGGACAAGGAAGAAAACAGGTCAAGACGCTGCATTGCCATCATTTTGTGCGTCAATGCATCCAATATTCAACGCTTGCATTGTGAAAATGCCAATTTTTTATTTTTAAAAATGTTCGCATGGACACATGTAAAGAGGCTCTCCGTTCGTCTGTCAAGGGAGGTTCGCCATTTCTCATCGCCATATGCAGCATCGGGGCAAAGATTGCCAGAATATTTTACAGAGGAAATCATTGCGCCTCATCTTAGCTATGATTTTCTGATCAGCAAGGTGCGTTCAGACTTTGTCTCCCAGATGCGCGTCATCAAAGTCCGCCTGTTGAAATGCCAGACGGGCATCGAAAAACGTCGCCAATATAGCGTGGCTCTGGCTGTTGGAAACGGAAAAGGCGGTCTTGGCTATGCTCTTGGGAAGGACAGATCTCCGGTCGATGCTATGCAAAAGGCCACTAAGGCCGCAGAACGGGCCATGACCCACTACGAAATGTATGCAGATCGGACCTTATTCCACGAAGATACCATCAAGTATAGAGACACCACGATCATTGTCCGGCCAATGCCTCCCGACTCTGGTGTAAGAGCACATTGGGCCATTCAAGAGCTCTGCCGATGCCTGGGCTTGAAAGACCTTTCTGCAAAGGTGTATGGATCAAGAACGGCCATCAATGTGGCAAATGGCTTTCTGCTTGCACTTTCGCGGCAAAAGACGCCGGAAATGATAGCGCGCGACTCGGGAATGAAGGTTGAAAACGTGCTCAAAATATTCAACTCCGGAGCAAAGTTTGTCGAGTGCTCCAAACTTCTGTCGCGTCGCCATATTGATGGAGCAAGGACGATTAGAAACCAGGTCCCTATTGAACAGCTGGATACCTCTTCGTAATTTTATTTAATGAAACTTTAAATAAAATTTTTAATAGACAAGCCATCACCAGGTTGAGTTTAAAAGCCCGATTGTCAATTAGTTGCCGATTGGTCAACAAGCCCGAGTGTTTTTTCCTATACGACCGAGCCAAATATTGATAAACATTTAATGAAAAACAAAATATTATGTAACTATCTAATTGGAAGTTAGTTGCTATCCTTGTTCAAAGACGACCACTCCGCCCAAGTCTTATATGGCCCGTGTGAAAAGCTCAAATAATCATGTTCTTCCCAATCCTGGGTCTGGCTCTGGTCCTTCTCTTCGAGTTTGCCAATTCGAATAATCTGCAAGGTAGAAAGCTTGAAGAACTCTTTTTCAAAATTTTGCAACAACAGCCAAGAATCCCATATATTCCCGAAAGGGTGGGCTACATACCTTCTGTAGATACACAAGGATATTATGGACAAGGACCGTTTCAGAAAACAAACGATCATATTTACAAATGTGTCAACCCGGGCAGTGTTGCACTCACTTTTGACGACGGTCCCTCTTCATTTACAGAAGCCTATTTAGATCTTTTGAAAACTCGAAATGTAAAGGGAACTTTCTTTGTCATTGGGATTAACATCAGATCCTCATACGAAAGCCATCTGTTAAAAAGGATGATCTCAGAAGGCCATACTGTGGGATCACATTCCTGGTCTCACCCTTCGCTTCCAAGCCTCTCAAAAGGAGAGATTCTCAAAGAAATCGTCAGGACAGAGAAGGCGATATACTCGAGTATTGGAAAAGTCCCGGCACTCTTCCGGCCGCCATATGGTGAGTATGACGAAAGGGTCAACCACATTTTAAAAAAAAGGGGCTACAAGTCGATCCTGTGGAATCTCGACACAAAAGATTGGTCGGTTAGGTTCTATGACCCATCTTTGATTTTGAGCGAATATAAGAATGTATTAAGCCAAGCAGATCCACACTCTACATCATGGATTGCTCTCCAACATGACTCCTATGATGCTTCCTTGAGATATTTGCGAAGAATCATTAGAAACATCAGGAAAAATGGATTTAGAGTTGTCGATATGGCCGAATGCCTCGGAGTAGATCCATCTTCCTTATATCATGACTACTGGGATAACTACCCAAATTCTGAAATGTATTTCAATAACAAAGATGTGGAAATGCAGAGCTTTGATCAAAAAAAAATCAATCGAGATCCTCATTTCAACATTGGATATCCTCATTTGGACACTGGATATTCTCCTCAGCTACAAGCAAACAGAAAAAAACGCAGTATAGGCAATTCTTCCAAGAAAATCTCCAGCCAGTTAGACAGCCTCTCGAAGCATTCTATTCACAGCAAGGAACAAGACACCGATCCAGAATCAAAGTCAAAGAAAGTAAACCATATTGGTTTGGAACACAAAAATATGGGGTTCGAACCGATTAATGGGAATTATTCGACTCAAATAAAAAAGGAAGTAGTCACGCTGAATTCGTTCTCAAGAAAGTGACGACGGCATCAGACAGCATTCGATTCTGAGTTTCCTTCCAAAAGTTACACTTGATGCTTTCAAAATAGCTTGGCAAATAAATTTTTTACGAATTTTTGGAAATACCACATCCCGATCGTCCCTAATCCGTGGGATTTTAAAAGATGTCAATTTCCTGGGAGAACGCTTGGGCCACCATTCTTAGCTACAGAGCAGATCACCCTGCGCCCGTCGACCAGATGGGCTGCAATTCGTGTGCTTTATCAACGGACTCGCCCAACGTAGATGCTTTGGCAATTTAGAATTTAGGCAAGGCGGTTTTCCATTCTAGTTGCGTTGCTTTTTTCTTCGCAAACCAAAGACCCACTTACCTATTCAGTTGTTGGGCGGCTGAGGGCTTTTCTTCAGCCTGAAGATTTTTCCCCAATCTCCATTCTGGCTAGCTTTGATATCAATGACGAGCATTCTACTCAATCCCTGGAGAGCCTTTTAAAACCCATTTCGTTTTTTAAGACAAAGGCCAGGTATGTCTTTTTCACTTTTTTAAGAAATCTTCTCAAAATATCGGCCATTTTGGTGGACAAATATAATGCCGATGTTCCTGACTGCCTCGATGATGTATGCTCGAATTCCTGACTCTCTAGTTACTAGATCTACCAGGAATCGGAATGAAAATGGTACGTAAATTATGAGCATATACCAAAACATAGGCATTATTGTGCCTGCAGCACGCCTGGGGAAAGTTTGAACATTGTACCTTGCTGTTTGTAGGACGCTTGGCATATCTGTAGATACCCACATCCATCGGATTTCGAACCGGTTGAAATGGGTCTCCACAAAATCGCCCGAAGAGACGCGAAAGGTAAAAACGGGCGTTTAAACTTGCCTGCCTTAAAGAAATTAGAAGACCTCATTCCACATGAAACATGGCCAAAAGTCAACGCCACACTGGTAGGCTTTGGCCAGACCGTATGCTCGGCCATCAAGCCAAAGTGCACTGAGTGCCCTATAAGCTCGCTATGCCCCTACTACTTTGAAAGACTATTTTAATAAATTTTTAAATTATTGTGAGATGAAACCAGTAGGAACGTGTTCAATCCATGCCTTACGGCGCATTCATCAATGACCAAGAACTAGTTCAAGATCTGCTTCACGCTCAGGAAAGAACACCGTGCTTCGTCATCCTGGTTTGGTATGCGCCTTGTTTGAAGAACGAAGACGGGACATATACTATACAAATGATCCTGTAAAGTACAGTCGTAATCTTCAAAAAAAAGAATGAAATTTATATGTTAAGCAGAAAATTTTCACTTGTGGGATGCATTTATTTCATTAAATTCAACACTGCCTTGATGGCACAAATTGAAGTTTCAGTCTTCTAAATTTTTGGCGTGACAGCTAAACCACTGCCTCTCGCTTTGATTGGCTGGAGAATGTCTGCTCTGAAGACGAAACATGAGGCAGCAACAATAAGCTATCGGCAGGATTGGTTGCTGGGATCGTATACGAGGTCAGACCAAAGAGCTGGCCAGCATACTTGGCATCGTCTATTTTGTCGTCAAAAAAGATCCTTCTCATTTGGAAAAAGGTAGTCGCTGTTAATAAAGAGTCACTTCCGGCCTGGTGCTGCGGCCCTATTCTCATGACGCCCAGGGAGTCGGCGACATCTTGGAGACCGCCTTTTAGGTTTTTACAACTCTTCATCAAGTGTTTTACATCGTAAATGATAGGGAAGAACGTTTTCAAAAGCGTGAAAAATTGTGCTTCCGTATGAGGCAGTGGGGTACAAATCAGAATCTTCAATAAATATCCGAAATCATAGCCAGAGTGGAAGGAGATCCAGCGCACATTGTCGCTCATAATGACGCCAGAAGATGTTAAAAGGGCGCCAAAATCTTCGATGCTGATCCCGCTTATTTCGTGCTTCTGAAAATCGATGCCAGACTTTGTGAGGAGCTCAATTGACTCTTGGGAGTACATGTCTTCCGTCAGATTGAATTTAAAGTGAAACTGCCATGTGCATGGCCCGTTTGTGGGGTATCTCCCATTTTCGTCAGTAAATGTGAGCCCAAGCTGGATAAGATTGAGAATGTCGACGTTGCATTTGAGAGTCTGATAGGAGATATCTGCAACACATTTTGTTGGATAAAGAGGACGGGCGACGATCCCAGGGAATTCAGTATCCTAAAAAAATAGCTTGCACTCTTACCATGGAGATGTAGTTGTAAATTCCGACGGTGTTCCGAATGGCCTCCATTTCCCACTCCAAGTTGTCGCTCCAGACATTCCGGATCAAAAGCGAGGGGTCGACCATCAAGTCAAAATCGAGTAATTTAAAATTTAATTTAATTATTTTGCCGATGTTTCCCTAGTTCTGAGGGCCATACTGGCCATCAAGGCGCCTACGCCACTCAAAAAGCAGCTGAAGGGCGGAACGGGCACTAATTGCATCGAGGTCACACTTTTGAAGCTCACAAAGAATGTTCCGTTCTGCCAAGCCTTTTTTTTGTGCAAGACCTTCTTTTTCTACCAAATCTTCTGTTTGCTTGTGTTCTGGTATGTCTGACTCGATGTTCCTTAAAATTGATTCCGGAATACCCGCAAGCCGAGCAACCTGCACGCTATTAGAAGTTGAGGCAAGGCCAGGCACGATATGATGTAGAAAAATGACGCTTTTTGTAAACTCGTTTGTAATTGCACTCGTTTTCCAAAATACAATTGGTGAAGATGTACTACCAGCAGCTGAATTTCGACGGTGCAATGTCGATTTGTGGCCTAATGGGGAGCTGTTTGGGCCAAGCGCTTTCCTCGAACCATCTGGTGTCATCTCATGATCTGCCATGATCCCGCTATTTACCATACCGTTATTTTGATCGACAAAATCAATTTGAGCCTCACCACTCTCCTTTCCATGTGCCTTTGGAGGAAAGAAAGGGCCGCTGATGCCATCGACAAGCTCAGCATAAAAATGCGTAGCAAATAGCACCCGACTGCGATTCATATCAATCAGATACTGCGCTACGGCTCTTGCAATAGCCTTACCTTCGGATGGGCTTGTTCCTCGCCCAATCTCATCCACAATCACCAACGAACGCTTGGTGGCGTGTTTCAGAATGGCAGCAGTCTCCTTCATTTCTAGCATGAAAGTGGACTCATTTGTCGTTAAACTGTCAGAAGAGCCGATTCTGGTAAAAATTGCATCGGTAATTCCAATTCGGGCAGAGTCTGCTGGGACGAAAAACCCACATTGTGCCATTAAAACGATCAGCGCTGTTTGGCGCAAAAAGGTGCTCTTGCCGCCCATATTTGGCCTAAAGGGTTAGAGGGGAATGATACCCGGTTATCAGTGCAAACCGAGCCCCTTTTGTACTGGTTAGATTGTCCTTTTCTTCTTGAGCAAGTATGCAATCATTCTTAACAAATTGGATCCCGGTGTGCGTGAGTCCAAGTTCAACAACGGGATGGCGACCGCCAAATATTGAAAGCCCAGTCCTAGAAAAAGGTGATAGACCGTGCGTACCCTTCGTTAATGTCGGGTCGTACATATCCTCGAATGGTTGCCACACGTGCCATGGTGGTGAGAAGATCTAGTATCGCGAAGGCCTTGGCCAGGGCCCGTATTGCAGGCGCATGCGTTATCATCTAACGATGAGCCCATGGTAATTGGCTTCACCTGCTCGCAGATCTTTTTATAAATATCCATTTCCAACTTAAGAGACTCTTCTTGATGTGTTTCCGAAAAGGAACACAAAGCATTAAGTTCTGCAGTCTGGTATCGAAAGTACTGTGCTGTTTTAGTTTCCTGAACAAAGATGGGTTCAGTAAGCGGACCATCCCGCAGCGGGACTTCGACAAGCATGTAGTTGTTTCGATACTCGATGATCTTTAGCGCAGAAACACCTACATACCGTTGATATACCGTGAAAGATGTCCAGAAATAATCGATAAAAGCAACATTAGCAAAGTTAACACGAATGGAATGCATTTTTACCTGTAAGTGTCCGATAGTGCGCCTCCAGTGTGCCGATCTCTTTTTTTAATTGGCCTTTCTTCTCCCGAATGGCCGCCAATGCCGGTCCAAATTTGGCAATTGGGTATCTAGGAAATTAGCACCACTGATCGGTACGATATGGAAATAAAGTTCCCCTCGGAAAGACGATGTGGCGGGTCATCCACTATAATTTCTCCCAGAAATGCGCACAGGTTGGTATTAACTCCGGCTGAAAGCCCATCCATTGCCTTTGCGAGAATTTCAATTCCAGTTGCAGAGAGAATAGCGCAGCAATCCAGCACCTCTTTGGCACAGATAAGAGACTTTCGAATGCTGGAGAGATGCCGCAAAGATCCATATGCATCTCGTCGCAGTATGATGGTATTGAGGTGCCGTTCGAGGTCTGTCAGCTCTTTAAGATAGCCACGAATATTATCTACAAGCTGGAGATCTTTAAAAAAAAACTCCACACCATCTAGGCGATCGCGTATTGTCGAAACATCCGTGAGAGGTGCCTGCAGCCATTGCGAAAGTAAACGGGCGCCCATTGGTGTTTGGGCCATGTTGAGAGTTCCAAAGAGGGAGCCTTTCTCAGTGCCTGTGCGAGAGCCTGTAAGAATCTCTAATGCACGAAATGCCTGTGAGTCAATGGTGAGTGGCGGCGACCGCGACTGGAAATGCTTTGCCGCCATGGAGTTGAAGAGCGTTGTGGCGCTCTCGACCTGTGTCTCCTGAACATACTCCACTAGGCTTGTCAGGGCCAGCTCCTCTTCTCTTGTTGCAGGGGAAAATCGTTTGACGATGAGTCTCGCGTTTGGAGAGAGATTTAATAAACGCAAAGTGATACAAATAGGATTTCCACCTTTGCAGCGGCTAACACGCTCTGCAATTTCCGTAATAATGGCAGAGTATTGTTGAGAGACGAGGATTTCTGTTGGTGATAGCTTTACCAAGTACTGCTCGATGCTTTCTAACGTTGTGGATGCAAATGAGATATCTCCGGTTGAAATGTCGATCCATGCAAGACCCATACGTCCTGCCACAGGAAATGAAGATTCATCCAAGGGAGATGGAGTCATAGAGGTGTCAGACCTCAATTCGCCACTGATGGCAAGTAAAAAATTGTTATTAGAAGCTGACAGTACAGAGTCTTCAGAAAGCGTACCGGGCGTGATGATGCGAGATATTTTTCTTTCAAAATTCCGTCCGCTAGAGGGATCTGTAGACGGGAATTGATCGCAGATCACCAGTTTGTATGTGTTTTCGGTGACCAACTTACGCATATGCGAACCGGCTTGGAAAGAGGCTACGGGAATTCCGGTAAAGTAGAGTACTGGTAAAGACGGCTTGCTGCGCCCACTATCATCTGCGGCTTGGCAACCGCTTTTGGGGAATCTAAAAGCGAATCATTATGATGGTGAATACCGTTGAAACAGGTTTCGCCCAAAATATGACGGGATCTTTTTTGTGGTAAGGCCAAGTCCCAATACCCGAGATGCGACCAACGCATCTGGGCCATAAAACTCGTAAAACTCGCCAATCTGATACAGCAGCAAATATGAGCTACATGATGATAGCAAGAAATCATACTCTGAGAGCGGATATTTCTCCTTGAGCTCAAAATAGTGGTATATGACCCCGGATTGCGCGCCCTCTGCATTTGAGGCAGTCTTTGCGGGCTCCTCTGATCCATGAATACCTTTTGTTATGGACTCATTGCAATCCTCTCCCTCTGGCTCCAAGGTTCGAGAGGCTATCCTTGCATAATATGCTGAAAATGCTCGAGTTAAAATTCGGAAAGACGATAGAGGGCAAAGCGCCCGATGTAGGTGATGCCCTAACCATCCTCTTTTGAGCGCAAAAAGGGCAATCATGTGGAATTGAACTCGAAAATTTTGATGCCCTTTTTACATTAATTGCAACAAAGGACATTACTTTAGCAAGTTTTTATCGAAATACAGACACCTTTCTGGTGGCTGGGATTCAATATGCAATGCATAGCGATCCGATTGCTTTCTATTTATTTATTTATTTTTCGCCGCCAAAAATCAGCCGCCCAAGTGCCGCACGGAGAATCACTAAGCGTGTGGCGTAGGGCTCCTTAGCCGCCATTTTCTTCAGCGGTAGCACGGTAAAGCCACCAGAAGGTAATGCAGACCCGCCGTCGAGAATTCCAATCAACAATCCCTCGTTCATAAGCAACAGGGAGAGCTTATCTTGAAAGACGACCTGAATATTCCGTGTGCTGAGCCGAAAAAGCAAAATCCCATCAACAGCAGCGTATTTTACTAAAAACTCCATTTGCCCAGAGCCCGCAGAAGATGGAGTACTCCCTTGCTTGCGAAGAGCAACATTCTCAAACGTGCTTTGAAAGTACCTAAGCACTGTCATTTTCTTTGACAGTTCGCCTGGAAAATCAGGTACTGTGAATTCGAGCTTAACAAACTGTTTTTTTGGTGAGGTATTCTCTTGGTAGAGATACTCAAAACGACTATAAGTGAGAGGTAAGCAGTGGTTACCCAGATTTAGGATCTAGGATCATCATGGTGGCATCGTTAAAATATGCCCCCACATTGCCATCAGAACAGATATAGCCGAGTCCATATTTTGAAGAGTAGTCAAAAAAATCGACAATGAAAAACTCATTCCCCTGCTGCGCTATTGATAATCATCATTATGATTGAAAAGCTTACATGGCGCAGTATGTTCCAGGGCCTCCAGGCTCTCCGCTGTCGAGATTACTCTACAAATATTGTGGTAAATAGACTCGATCAGTCCGAGTCTCCTCTCAACGACAGGTAAAACTCCGCCGAGGACAAGGCCCTTTTCAGTATTGCCCGGGTGTCCCTTCTCTGCACCTATGGGATTGAATGTAGCTTTAGGACTAGGAGTAGTATGTTCTAGCATGTGGATGTTAGTATGGGCAGGAATATTTTCTTTGGATCCCTCTTTGAAGGTGCGCATCGGCCTTGGCGAAGTTTCTGTGGCCAAAGTATTCTGTAATTGTGTTTCAATGCTTTGCAGAATGAACATCCGAGATGAGGCCAGATCGTCATAAGAGGGATCCTTGATGATGACTTGGTTGAAAAACGAATGTTGAATCAACTCTTTGACTTTCGGCCGCTTATCTATCGGTAAAAAGCGGTGGATATCACCTGGATCTGTAGTCAGCATCAGTGAAATCAATGAGCATGCTGCAGTCGAGACACCCGTATTTTGGGGAAACGTATACGCATTCTCCTTGATATTTCTGCACAATAAATTGGATTGTTTCCCACCTGTAGATACTTTTCACCTCTTCCGACTGGAAAGGAGGCCGTCCAAAGAGCAGTGTATACCTATACGATGATTGGGACATTCATACATGATCACCCCCAGTGCCCAAACATCAACCTCCACGCTATGGCCTCGCACCTTATCGAAGAGTATTTCTGGAGCAATGTAGTTTGGCGTACCACAAATGGTCCTATCATAAGCGCTGCTTAGGAAAACTTTTTGCGGTCTGTGAGCTGGTCGAGCGTGGTAGCAAGACCAAAGTCTCCAACTTTGATTTCGTTTTCAAGGTTGAGGAACAAATTTCCCAGCTTCAGATCTCTATGGATAATCCGACGCGAATGGAGATAATCCAAAGCTGCAAGTATCATCCAAACGTACTGTTGCACCTCGTTTTCAGAGAGGGTCTTGCGGATCCGCAACAAATCAACCATTGTCTATAAACGTCAGTAAATGGCCCATTGACATACCTATTGTGGGATTAGCATGTGGGTTGATACCTACACTCAGAACGGTTAGGGGTTTACCTTATTTTCGCATAATTCCATCAGCAGGTAGATGTAGCGCTCATCGTGAAAAACTCTATAAAGCTTGACAATGTGTCGATGGTCGAGTAATTGGTGAATTTCAATCTCATTGAGCAGCTGAAATTACGACGCAGTTTGTACCTATTTGTAAGAACAGCCAATCGTGCCTTGCTTTGCGCTTTGAGCTTGACCACAGAATCCAGGAAAATGGCCTTCAATGCTAGTCGCTTTCCGGAAAGCTCGTCGATGACCTCGAAACACTTTGCAAATCCGCCCTTTATGATGATTGTGATTGGATGCACATACCTCTCCCAATTTCTTGCCAAGCTTAAAGGTAAAGCCGTGGTGGACAATTACATGAGGCGGGTCAGGAAAGTTCCGATCTGCCTTCATAATTAATTTGTACAAATTTTCAATTTACGCACTTGCAGCTTGGACCCAATGGGGATGGCTGTAATTTAGCGCGGTAAGTGGCTGAAAATGCATGTATATGCAATGCTGGCATGCAAAAACTTAAATCAACCAATACGTAGGCCCGTATATGCATGTATGGCCACAGTATGTATTGACAGGGGTCTTTATTGCACTAACAGCGCAGAGCATCCAGCGCCGTCAAGAGAGCATCGCTCTTTTTGGCAAGAACATCCAAAGCTTCGTTGACCAGAACGTAGGGGGATAAAATTCCCGTTGATTCGATATTAACTACAATTGATTATTGAAAAGCTTACATATGAAATAGTCCCTCCGGCGTCCAAGCTCCACCTTGTGTGCAAACTCTGGATGACGAAGTACCTCTCTTGTCATGGTGTCCAAGCGAGGGTTTTCCACCACGGCCCGCATGCTCTTTTGGCCATTTACGGCGGTTTTCGCTATCACGCCAGGTGGGAAGCAACTGATAAACTTTTCAACAAGCCCGTTTTCTTTTCCCTTCTCCTCTTCAATGGGTGAGGTGATATTGATCACCGGAAGCAGACGGTATGTCGCCGTTGCCACAGGCGACCATTTTGCGTGCTCTTTTCCAAGGTTTTTTTCGCAATGCAGTTCTAAATCGAGCTCCTGGCCTGGACGCAGTTTTGCAATCAAAATGTCTGGATGCACGGGCCGGACCGGTGAGTCTTGAAACTCTGTGCCTTGGTTGCCCTGCGGTATCCATTGAAGCATCGAAGAATAGACTACGCGGTGAAAAGCGTGCACATACCATTTTCGTTAATCATCTGCCTCGGTTCATTTCCGACCTTGGGCGCCAATTCACACTTGACCTTCAGCTGAAAGACAATTGTGTTCATATCGTTTGCCTCCTCGTGTGCTCCCTTTGCGGAGAGCCGCCGCGGATCAATAAAGATGGGAATGAGCCCTAACCGCTGTGCTAATATTTCGTCTTGGACGATGGAGGTGTTATTTAGAATGTAGACCTTCTCAATAGCAACGGTGGGGATCTACAAAAACAGCAAAAAAGACACCCACCTCTGCTATTAAAATGCGACGTATAGCATTGGCGATGGATGAGTCTACACCGACCAAATCGAACTCCAGCTCATCCTGATCTGCCGAAGGATATACGATTACGTTGAGATTCAATTTGAACTTTTCGATATCAAAATATGGGTCAACAAGGTCAGCGGAATATGTTCCCGGATACTCGTCAAATGACACCTAGTCGGTTAAAAAGCGCGTTTACATTTGATATGGTCTCTGCACCGACGTTGGCTATCCTGGAAATCGGAGGTTTCTCCTCTTTGATGTGTTCCGTTTTGACCTTTGTCTTTGCCATTCAGAAATTTGTATTTTGAATGTTAAAAATTTTTGCCAGAATTAATTTGTATTATTAAATTTACAACATGTCGGCAGTTTTATTACCAAATTATTTGATATACTTTTCCATGAACTTGMGATGGAAATCAGACCTGCCCATGTCGTTGATAAATCTCTTTTGTGGCTTGAACTCACCAGTACCTTGGTTTCTAAAAACGGTGTCCTCCGTCCACGGCACCACTGCAGCGGCCTTTTTCTGATTTTGAAACCTTAAGGGATTGCTGCCCATGATCACAGAGTCTTCGGTATCCTCGAGCTTCTTTCTTTCCTCCATGCGTTCCCTTTTTATTTTTTCCAATTCCAACAGGAGCAGCTCTGTATCGTCTTCTTCCTGATCATCAGAATTTTGCTCTTGCTCAAAAGAACCACCATGCTCCGGCTCATCAAGTCCAACATTTGTGTTTTGATTTTGGGATTCATTTTCGGGCTCGTTTTCAAGACCATCATGTGTGTCAGGTTGGACCCCACTTGTCCCTATCCCATGTTCACTGACATGCTCATCAGCATCTCCATCTTCGTCGAATCGCTGTGAGAGAGATGCTAGCAATTTAAGCTTTTCCTCCGTAGCTTTGTCGAATTTGATCCTTTTCTTTTCAATCTCCTCAACTGAGCTCTGGCCTGGCTGCCTAACCGAAAATTATAATTGAGCCCATTACCTGATCTTTAGTTTTTTGTGTGCAATCTGGTCTTTTGCCGAATAGTACAAAGACGGCGCTGCATTGATGTCTAGCTCGTCCCCTTTTGCTGGACACCAAGTGGGTCTAGATGCAGTAGTCATACAAAAATGGCCAATCAAATATTTTAAATTTAATTTCTAAAATTGACATCCAAAACTCTACTTAACCATAATTGGGATGTGATATACATAAATGTGGCCGGCATGCCGTACCCCATTCATGTCGAAAATCGATTACTCCCTGCCGGACATGCAGACATTTACTTCTGAATATCTTCCCGAGATAGCCCGAAACGTCGAGCCATCGCCGACGGCCAGTCCGTCTACGTCCCCAAAGTCTCAAAAACGGACGGAAAACAAATTGCCAGAAATGGTGTCCAGTCCTTTCTACAAGCCATCCGCCACGCCCGATCTTGTTTCCCACGTGTCTTTTTTCGACAGGAATAATGATGGGGTAATCTTGCCTTGGGAAACATATGAAACGCTGCATTCAGACCTTGGTATTAACAGCATTATCTCTATGGGAGCTACTGCTGTCTTGCATCTTTGCATGTCATACGCTACATCTGATAGCTGGATCCCTGACCCCTTTTTTGGGATAACAGTTGCGAATATTAGCAGGTGCAGATTGGGATCCCATTGTGGTGTCTATGACAGCGACGGAAGAATCGACGTAAATGTGTTCGAGAAGCAGTTTGGAAGGCTGGAGTTGAAGGATTATTTCAAATCTCCACAGGCTAAATTGGCGGCGCCTCATTCTCTTACTCCTCGTCTTACATTGGCGGATGCGTGGGAAATCAGCGCGCAAAACGACAGCCTGCTCGATGTGGCAGGCTGGGTTGTAGATAAAGTGATGTGGATCCTTTTGGCAGTGCTCGAGAATAACTCGATCTCAAAAAGCTCCCTTCTCGACTGCTACAAAGGAAATCCCTACTTTGAGGCAAAAAGGAAGCAACGATCGACAGAAAATCCCGGCTAATTGACAAATAAAATTTACAACGGTGCAATTGGACATGGCCCAGGGTGGGGACACAAGGTGTGCTATACCGGCTGAAGATTTTAATTAATCGGCATGTTTTATTGGGAAATATTACACTCCAAATTTTGGCACAAAAAATACAAGGGACCATCATTTTGAGAGCAGCTTTGCAAGCGCTTGTCTTTTCTCTATGACCTGGCTGATTTCTGTCTGGATAGCATTTTTGGTGGCCGTTAGTCGCTCAAGCTCTTGTTTTGCTACGGTAGGGTATGGCGAGGAGGTTTTCTCCAATTTGGAAAGGGTGCAAATGTTCCCAATGCCAGCCCTCTTCATCACAGACTTTAGCGAAGGCGAGCAAATTACCTAGAGGGTTAGAAGAACAGGGTACGATTTCGTTATAAGATTCAGCGATCACCGAAATCAGAGGCGATGGCGGAGGAATAGGAAGTAAGATGCCGTTTTCTTCGGAAGGATATAGCCTCAAAAAGTGCACAAGTTGAAGAGGCTTTGAGATGGAGTCCTTCAAAAAGATCTTGATTTGAACTTCAAACTCTCCCCATCCTAGCTCGCTGATCTCGAAAGGCCACTTTTCAACGCTCCGGAGTGGCATGGCAAATGAGTCGTGAAGCTTGAAAATGACTTTTGAAATAAAAGGGGACATATCTGCATGTGGATCAAGACCCCGGACATATAGCGTCCACCTGTGTGTAAAGTCTGGGTTCGTAGTTGCAAAATCAGGAATGTTCTTCAATGGGGTCGAGACATTTCCATACACAATGGGAATGCATGCAGAATCGTCATGCTCCTACAATGAGAACGCACAAAATACATTTTGGAAATGGCCCAGCTCCATGCCGAGTAAAATGGTAAATTTTAATAAAAGTTTCGTTTTCAACTAAACCGGTGCTGATGACGGCATTTAACACTTGTACGGCATTTTGGTTCAAAAAAAAGAGTTCTTGGTATGCGGTAAGGGGTATGGTTCCCTTAACCCTAAATCATACAAAGATTAAAATGCCGCCATTGATCCATAAATAGCAGCCTTCAGCAGCTATTGCAGTATGGGGATCCTCAATTTACATTTAACGATAGAGAAACATCACATGCAGATCCAACCCATTTAATGCCCAGGTACTGTGTATTTTGTAAAGAATTTCCACGTGCTTTGTTTGAAAGCAGAGCAACCTTTTATACAAACTTTTATGATGTGCTTAAATTACTGTCGATTGCAGATCTCATTCGTCTAAATCAAGACCGAATTTGGCATATTGCTCTCGAATAGTCGTGCCCTCGCATTCGGCAATTTTCCCCAAAGCCATCTGTCCGGCATCTTTTAGTTCATTGTAGGTATGTAGGGAATCGATTTGAGATCTAACAGTCCTAAAAAACAAAAGCTATCGTCGATACTTTTCGCTGTTTTCTATACTAAAGCCCTCCTGTTCAAGTTGAGATATCGACTCTTTCAATTGAGCAATGGCATGGGAAACCTGCTCACGCTCTCCTAACCAGAGATATATTAACAGGCAATTTTCGGCAACGAAAATTGCAGAAAGAGGCCTGTCTGAAGGCGGCCCATTATATTCTTTCCATATACCGGATAACTGGCTCTAATTACGTAAAACATGACGCGTATATCACTTGGGACTCAATGTCAATAATGCCTTTAGCAGAGGGTTCCTCTTCAATTGTGAAGATTGTATCTGAAACTTTTGTGGCTTCTTCAAAGCATAAAATTGATAACCCGTCATCATAGTGGAAGAATTTATGGCTCGACGGCATAAGAATCAAAAATTAAAATTGCAATTTATGTTTTTATTTGGATCCAGAAAGTCGCCACAAGAACTGTTAAAAGAAAACCAAAGGACCATCAATAGGGCAATCAGGGAGATTGATCGCGAGCGGTTATCTCTTGAAACACAAGAAAAAAACTATCTCGTCACGGCTAAACGAGCAGCTACGTCTGGACACATTTCCTCCGTAAAAATCATAGCAAAGGATGCCATAAGGGTACGGTCGCAAATCAACCGATTCTTCGAATTAAGGACACAGCTCCAGGCAGTTTCCCTGCGGCTGCAAACCTTAAAATCCACACAGACAATAGCAACGGTTATGATGGGCGTGGCAAAGGTTAGAGGATATTTTTTCATTTCCAGGTGAGTTCATGGCAATCATATAAATCTGCAGGCAATCAAAGCAGTAAATAAAAAGACCGACCTTGATGGCTTGTCGAAAATCCTACAGGATTTTGAACAGCAAAACTCAATTATGGGGGTCAAGGAGGACGCATTGGATAGCACCTTGGATTCAATGGTGATGGAGCAGATGATAGACGTAATATCAGCAGAAGAAAACGGCGAGGCTGCAGCAGATGAGCTTACGCGCAAGATATTAGAAGAAGCTGGAGTTACGGCCGATGCACCAGTAGTGGCAATTGACCCTTTTCTTTAGGTAAAACGAGCAGCTGCGCCAACGCTTGAACCCCTTGCACCGGCCCAGCTTCGAGACTCGCTCTCGAAAAAAATCGAGCTCACCTCTGAAAATGGTCCCCTCAACAGCAAGGATACCGAACTGGAGGCCAGGCTGCACAGATTAAAAGATAAATAATTTTTCGTGTAATTTACAATCGTGTAAATCGACACCGAAACGCAAACATGTTCAAAGGATGCCCAGGGAAGGTTCTTATTTGCGGGGGACATTTGATTTTAGATCCGGTACATAAGGGAATTTCTTTTCCCTTTCCGGCGGCCTGCATCTTTTCCAAAGCGCGCAAAAGCTATGTAGCGCACACAGCCACGGAGATACACATACCTTACACACCCTCTTGCCTCCTTAAGTTGTCATTTTGCCAACGCAATGAAGGTTCAAAGTCCAATGTTGACTTTTCAACCTTTTCGCTACTTGCTATATTTAAAGATGTGCAATTTTCGCCTCCAGATACAATCACATTACATGCTTATCTTTTACGCATCGAATCTAATTGCATTTCTGCCAGGGAGGGCTGGGCTGTTATTCCATTATGCCATCTCAAGGGATCCTCTTTCGCTACCCAAATATGTCTGAACGATGACCCTGTACCTTTTGAACAGTTTTCTTTCCAAGCTACGACAATTATGATTTGGTACCTTGCCAATTACAAAAGTTTACAGCTATGCAATGGCGAGGCTTATAACCAAAAACTTATGCTCATTGAAATGGAGACCATTTCGGATCAAGCATTTTACACTACGCCTCCCTGTAAATTTGCGGATCAAAATGGGGCTCCAATTTGGAATACACCAATCAAAAAGCTGTGTAAAAGTGGTCTGGGGAGCAGCGCCGCATATGTCTCGTCTTTGGTTTTGGCGCTTTGTGAAGATGACTGCACCCGTACTCTGCTTCTAACACAGGCATTGTTGGCCCATTGGATTGGCCAGGGCTGCAAAGGATCTGGATTTGATATCTGTACTTCTCTTCTAAATGCCTTAGAAACCCGCCCGGTTTGCTTAATATTTTCTCAATCAAGAGAAGTGAGTCAATTATTGCCCATCGTTGCCTCTTCCATTCGATTGCTTTTCAAGTCTATTGGGAAGCTTTCTTTAGTAGAATCGCAACTTTTGGCTTTGGTGGAAGTATTTCCTATTTGTTCACCTATAGGCTGTTGATAGTTGGGACATTGGAAAGTTTTCGTTTCCTTGCTCGCTCACCCTATCTCTGGTGATGACGGATAAAAGTTTAGGGTCTGATACGGCGACCTTAATTGATGAGGCGCAGAAACTAAGCAATGCCGATGCCAAAAGCAGCCATTCAAATAGCGATTCCGATGCCAAATGGACCCATTCAAATGGCGAAATAGTTTCGTTTTTCACTTCAACTAGCCTTGAAAAGTGGACTCCAATGTTATCTCGGGAATTGTCAAGGCTGTATTTGGTATTTTCTCATCACTTTTCTTTGTAGGAATATCGAAAGGCCATTCAATGCATATGCAAAAAAAGTATCCCTTTGGAGCCACCTTGTTTTCGAGAACTTCTAAACTTCATGATGAAAGATGATGAACATGTTTCGGCAGCAGGTATTCCAGGTGCGGGTGGATTTGACTCACTCTTCGTGCTTTCGCTTAAAGATTTTGATCTTGCAGCCGTACTACAAAAGTGGAATACTTTACCTTGTTCACTGTCTTCGGTATCAAACGCAACCATTCTATCTTCATGGAATCTCTCTCAATAGGGGTGTCCAGAGATGTCCTTGTTAATATTTATTAAAATACGCTCTGTTTCTGTGCATCATATATACAAAATCACGTCAAGTTTCCAACCTAATGTACGAAATTTAAAGCGACTAAACCATCAGCATTTTCAAGCCTTTCTGGGAAAGAAAGCTATTCCCCGTCAGCTTAGATCAATAATTTGGGCTGGTCTGACCAATATATTGGGATGAGGACTAGTGTCCGTATCTTCTTCAGTAAAAGCAAGCGAGGTATATTTGATCGACCTTGTAGCTATTGGGGTCAACACTAATTGAGGATCATTGTTTTCCTTGCGTGTTTGTGCGGTCAAATTTGTGGTGTCGCTCAAATTTCCATCGCCTTCATCAAGATTCTCGGACACATTTTGATAATAAATAGATAGTGAATGCCTATCCCCAAAAGCTACCGTGTTACAAACCAAAGGTGACGGACGCTCGGATTTAACTGGAATTGGATGGTAAAATATCTCTTGAAACTGCGTTTCATCTATCAGAATGGGACTCTTATTCTTGTCGATAAGGAGTGATCGAAGTGGATTGAAAAAACCCCCATCGAAATTGGAGCATGTTTTCGTGTTGAAGGCAATATTTAGATTTGAGTATCCGCTGATTCTGCTCAAGAACCCCTATCAGTTGTTTAAACGAGGCCCTTTGCTCAGAATCAATCAAAACATCTTTCTCTTCAATGGTAAATACAAGCAAGGAAAGCTCTGAAATTCGAGCCTTGTATTTCCGAGAAATAAAGTCGAGCGTTCCAACGGGGCTAAAAAGATGAACGTAGTCGTTCCGAGGAAAAGATTTGTAAGAAATGCACTCCCTCGAATACAAATATGGATGTTTTCTTTGATTTTGAGCTAGGGCAGAGAAATTATGAGCCAAAATTGAAGGCGAGGCGACTTTTGACTTTAGTCTCCATAGCACTTTCCGCTGCTTCCAAAAGAAATGTCGAGCGCAAATTAAAATATCGTCATTCAACGGGGTTCTTTTCACAGGAAAGTGCATGCCGATAAACTTAATTTGGCTTATGTACAAAATACTGGATAAACACACTTGAGTAGAGTTCGCTTGAAAAAACTCTTTGTTGAGGATTTTGATTTCAATGTAGCCATCTTTTATGGAAAAAAGGGAGCCAACGAGGGATCTTCGGTTTCGTGCTAAGGTCATTTGGCAGAGAAAACTTTGTGCGCCTTTGGAAATGGCATATTTGATCATCTTTCTTCCATCTGTTGCAAAATCATCCTAAATAAAAAATGACAAAGCTACCTTGAGAAGCTGGACAATCGGATAGACGTCCTTTAAATTGTAGAACAGTGAAAAATAGTTTTTTGAAGACGGAAAGATCTGGCAAGGAATGCAATGTTCTGGCTTGGCTTGTAAAAGAGTTGTATTTCGATCGTCAATGTTGATGTAATATTTGTCATAAGATATAAAACAGCTGGAAATAATACTTTCTATCCAGGAATTTCGAAGCCAAAACGCAAGTACACCAAGGTTTGGCTGCTCAATTTTGCCTCCAACGCCAGGGACATGGGTGCACTCTGCGATCCGATCAGATGCATCTGATATGGACCCGTTCGAATTGCAATCATTCATAAAAAGAAGCCAGCCCAATCAACCGGAATAGGGTTGATGGAAAGATTATACAACTGACAACTATTGTTAGGGTTACGCTGGGCAATTTGTATTTGGCGCATTAAAATTTATTGAAATTTAAATTATTTTGTTTTATGGCTGGGAAAAAGGAGACGGCTCCTTCGAAGAAATCTGAAAATAAGGTCAAGGCCAAAATCATTGAAGACAAGACATTTGGTCTGAAAAACAAAAACAAGTCTTCAAAGGTTGGAAAGTATGTTGCCCAAGTGGAGGCGCAGGTCATGTCTGCGGGCTCGCGAAAGGCCCAAAAAGAAGAGGAAGCCCGTCAACTTGCCAGGAAACTCAAGAAGGAAGAAGATGAAAAGATCAAAATGGAAGCATCTTTACTGGCAAAACCAATTATTGTCCAGCCAAAAGTTCCATTTGGTATGTCGTTATGTTGATTTACTTTGCAGGCGTTGATCCGAAAAGTGTTCTATGTGCCTTCTTCAAGGCCGGCCAATGTACCAAGGGAGACAAATGCAAATATTCGCACGATCTCAATGTCGATAGGAAGTCTGCGAAAATTGATTTGTTTTCAGACATGAGGGACGAATCTGCGCCCTCTTCTACCATGGAAGATTGGGACCAAAAGCAGCTTGAAAATGTGGTTCACAACCGCCATGGCCCCGGCATAAAGACAACAACAGAGATCGTTTGCAAATATTTCATGGATGCAATTGAGCAAAGAAAGTATGGGTGGTTTTGGCAGTGTCCAAATGGAGGCGATTCTTGCAAATATCGCCACGCACTTCCTCCTGGGTTCGTCCTGTCCTCGAAAGTATCACACTCCACTGATGATATCCCTGAAGAAGACAAAATTTCGCTAGAGGAATTTTTGGATCAAGAGGTACGAGTTTATTTGTATGATGCCTTTCCCCTTTAGAGATACAAACTTGGGGACAACATAACCCCAATTACAGACGAGTCATTCAAACGATGGAAGGCGGAACGCAAGGCGAGGCAGCAGGTGGAAGAAAGCGAACGTGCCAAAAAGAAGGAAGCTGAAATTAAAGCTGGCAGGGTTACGGCGTCTGGAAGGGACATCTTTACAGCAAATCCAGAACTCTTCCAAGTGGCTGATGAAGAGGATGCCCTTGACGATGACATCCTCAAAGAGCGTGCACATCAGACCGAAGATGATCTCAATTACTGCGACTCGGCGCCTGTTGATTCGAATCTCTTCTGCGCCGAAAATTCGCTTGATGATATTGATCCAGAGCTGAGCGAGGATATGGAGCACCTTGGACTTCAATAGCAGAAACAGAGCAAGCGGCGTATTTATAACCTTTAATTTAGTACAATTTTTACCGTTAAATTTTGGAATATTTTAATTTGACGCCTCCGATAGTACGAGCCGGTCGCAGATGGCCCCGGTAAAGTCAGAGGTGGACGAAGTGCCACCAAGGTCCCTGGTCCGGTATCTTCCTTCAGAGATGGTATCCAAAACTGCCGAGTATATTCTATTTGCAAACGTATTCATCTTCATATATTTCAGCATCATTACGGATGAGAGAAGAAGCGCCGTTGGGTTGGCAATATCTTTTCCCGCGATGTCTGGTGCCGTGCCATGGACGGACTCGAAAATTGCACCATCGGAACCAATATTTCCGGACGGAGTTAATCCCAATCCTCCAACCAAGCCAGCACAGAGGTCGCTAAGAATGTCGCCATACAGGTTTGGCATCACCAGAACGGCATCTTTAAAAAGGGACGGGGTTTGCACCATCTAACAGGGAAGGGCAACTCGATCATACTTGAAGGCATGCCTTATCAAGAGACATATCCACCATTGCGATGTCCGGATACTTTTCAGAGGCCTTTCTGGCAGCATGGAGGAATAGCCCATCAGAGCCTTTCCTACGAATAACAGCTACGCCCATACATAATGGTGGCCTTGTGTACAACGATGACATTTGGCCGGCCAATGTCCCTGGCATATTGAAAAGCAAACTCTGAAACACGTCTAGATGCTTTTTCCGTGATCAGCTTGATGGATTGGGCCACGCCGGGAACCACCAAATGCTCAATGCCAGAATATTCTCCCTCCGTGTTTTCTCGTACAATTACGGTATCAACATCACGATAGCGCGTTTCCAAATTCGGCATGCTACGGCAGGGCCGTACATTTGCGTAAAGATTGAAGGTTCTAATGGACAAATAAAAATTGCAACAAACTTTCTTAGCAAAAGGTTCAGCGAAACATGACCGGTCCCGATTGGCGTTGCAAGCGGGCCCTTCAAGCCGATTCGTGTCGAATGGAACGATGCAAGTGCCTCCGGAGACAAAGATGTCTTTCCATCTTCGCCGATAATTGGGGTCACATTTACCAGATCCCATTCAATAGGCACCTTGGCAACAAAGAAGATTCGTTGCACGGCTGCGGCAATTTCGGGGCCAATTCCATCTCCCGGAATAAGACTAACCCGTTTTATTGCGCTAGGGGTTGACGAGTAGCTTTTCATCGATAGAGCAGCCGTTCTGAAACGCCCGGCTGGCATTGAGGCTCTGTGGAGGGGGAACATTTCTGATAAATTTATTGCTTAAATTTAGCAAAGTTGCACATTTTAATTTATTGCCATTATGTCTACAGTTCCTGCTGACCCGATCCAGATAGCACAAAACTTTGTTAAATATTATAACGACACTTTCAACACAAACCGCGCAAGCC